CGTTTTTATCGATAAAAGTATAACGCTTAATTTTAAACAAAACAATGCCAAATTGGAATATTGCGATCACAAGAAACATTGGCACCGAGTTCCGACTTTGCAGCAATCACACAACAAATGAGACGTAATATTAGAAAAACCAAAACAATTATTGTCATTTCACAACTTTGGTACGGGGAAAGGTTTTGTGCTTGAATTTTAATTTCGTTATAGTCTTTGCAGTTTGGAAGACGAAAAAACCATACAAAACATATTGAAAAATAAATAAATATATAAAAAAAATGCATTTCTAATGATAAAACTGGCAATATTATTAAAATTAAATTAGTTAATTTGTGATTTATTTTATAAGTAAAAAGTAAAATTAAGTGTTATAAATTTACCACTTAAAATGCATTTTTCTAGAATTTCTCAATAAAAAAAAAATAAAAAAAAAGTATTACTTATTCGAATGACTACAGTATAGTTATAAGTCTGTTACGGCTATTGCCATAAAGTACCAAAGGTGCGTTGAGTCAAGTGATTGTAGCTTACAGCTGGTATTGATATGAAATTGTGTGCAGTTGAATAAGCAAATATAAATTTAGGGAAACGTTTTGTTATCGCTTTAAAACAATTTAATTTTCACAACAAATCCATCTTATCTTTTAATATTAAAAGATATTATTTTCTTACATGAGAAAATCTGTCAAATTATCGCTTTTCGTACATCGAGGAGCGATAACAAAATCTTTCCCAAATTCGGCCATTCTAAACTAAAGGAATATTGACCTTAATAAGAAGTAGTACAAACGTTAGATTTAAAGAATAACTTGACTAGCGAATAAAATTACATTTATACATAATATTTTAAGTAATACGAAAGCGTATGCACGTTGCTTTCCTCGCGTGCGAGGCGCAGCCCAAATACCATAGGCCTTTAAAACTAGCCTTATTTTAGAATAAAGCTTGTCAAAAAACCAATTTACGAGAAACATTAAGAAAAATGAGATTTTTTTGTTAATACTTACTATGAATTTTACAGAAAGTTACAAATCATTCAATCGTTCGAAAATGCTCTTTCGTTCATTTCCATTCACTTTGATTAACCATTCTTGTAATACTAGTTGTGTAAAAAATTATAAATTTTCGTAATCACGCAATGTTTTAAGGCTAAATTGGTGCTTACTATAATTTGTCAGAAATATTCACCAAATATGGTCTAACGGGAGTAACCATGGACCATGAAATTTTATAAAAACAAAAAAAAATTTTACTAAAATTGTATATAAAAATATTTACATGTTACATATATAAACGACGAATTTAAAAATTTTATGTTTTACAAATAGGATATTTAAAATAAAAAAATTAACACTTCACAAATCCAAAACGCTTGCGCTCGAACACCATGGTCCATGGTCACAACCAAACCCATCGATTGATATGAAACATTCAAGTAGAAAAAACACGAATAAAACTCTTAAAAACTTTAGAAAATAACGAGTATTGATTGCTGAGATACAAAAACGATAATCTTTGGCGTATTGAGCAAAACTGTTATGGCATCTAGCGGCACTAAACGCTTTCATTATATAAACATTTACATGTACGACTATAGAAATATACCGGTTATGTTTTATCAATTCCCTAATACATAGGATTACCCTATACCCCTTATCTACATACATATGTTAAATATAAAAAAGTACATATTGTAAATAAATGCATATGGCAAACGTAGGAATGATAGGAATCTGTGGACGTCGAATATTGTACATAAACAATAAAGTGAACATATACTAGAGTTGTGAGTTTGTTGATTTTTATAATTGGTCTTAACTTAAAATGTGGTCATTTGATATTTAAATATTCATTAGTTTGATGAAGAACTATGTAATGTTCAAAATCTCAAAAAAAAATACCAATTTCTAAAAATATTAACAATTATTTTATTTAAAAGACAACGTTTAAGGAATTTACAATCGACGTCCAAAATATAGAAAACTTTATACATGAGCATAAAATGAGCATAATCACGTCATTTGGTCGAGTCTATTGAGATCACAACACGTTTATATCGTTATTTATATCATATTCTAACTTCTACATTCTGTCTCGGTCCGATCTCATTCGGGTCATTCAGATAACTATACACTATCAAAAAGACAGTGGTAGCCCAGTGGTAACGCGCTCGCTTGGGAAACCGAATGAAGCGGGTTCAAATCCTGGGTCTCGTTGAGTAGGCTCTAAGACTGGTTCATTATGAAGTTTGTAGGCCACTACATGTATAGAAGTAGAAACCGAAGACTGTTTACAAGATATATTTAAAGGCATGTTATTGGATGGGTTGGAACTATAGATTTCCTCTTTATGAAAAGAGGCTATTAACTTAAAAACTGGTTCATTACTAACTAAGAGAATTGATTTGTTTGTCAATAGGGAATATCTATTGTAAATGTAAAATGAGAAGCCGTTCTGTCTGTTGAAGAAAACTCAACTACCTTTACCTTGTAAGGTTGTCCATGAATTAAAGGACTTATATCAAGATATTTTTTGTTGGTCGTAAGTAAAAATTTCTGATATTCTTAAATTTGAATAATTTGCAACATGATCACCACTTGTCTTACGGTGAAGGAAGACATCGTAAGGAAACCTGCATGTCTGAGAGATCCTAGCAAGTTGTCTGCAGACATGCTCAGTCTAGACTATGGCCTGATCCCCCGAGTATTGGAGTGAGGCCTGCGCTCAGTACGTGAGACGTTAAAAAGGTCTGAATACAATACACTATTAAAATCATCCTAGGATAGGATATAAAAGGCTAACATGGCAATGAGTCAAGTCAAACACTATTATCAGCAGCATCGAATTGGATGGGTGACCATTTCTCAGAAAACTCAAGTTTGTTTCATATCTATAGTTAGCTCCTTTGAAAAGTGAAGATGTTCTAAAAGTTTTTACTTTAAGTTAATAATTTACGTTAAAATGTTTGAATGAGTCGAAACCGAGACTGTGAATGGAACCTTAACGTTTATCTAAACTTACTCGTTCTATTTCGTTCTTTATCAACGATGTCATTCGTTTTTCTACTTAAGCTGATCGCCCTACAGTAAATTCTTTACCAGATCTACTGGCCTACGAAAGATATTCATTAAATTCATTACGTACCGCTCATTCTCTAAGCGAATGGTTTAAAAATATGCAAATTAATTTCATTCGAGAAAGAGGCATTACTAGAAATTTGATAATAAAATATTGGCGTCGCGTGAGCAGTGAATTTGACACTAAAAATTTCAATAAATTCTAAAATAATTTTGTGACGAAACAATACTTAGTGTATTGCATTTATTACAATAACGTGCTTTAAATAAAATATTTAATATTAACTATATACTTGTACATATTTGTCAAGTTTATTTATCGATTAAATTTCATGTCTTGTTTACTTTTCAAATACATTATAAAATTTCATATTGTTCATTCATTCGTTTCAGTTCATTCAGTCATTGTTCTAATTGGGTTAAAGTTTAGATAAATTTTAAAGTCATATTCATATTACAGTTGCAATAAAACAATCGGATTATACATTTCATTCATCGATCAAAAAAATACTAGATACAAAATTCCATTCCAAAAGTTCTCTTAAAACTGTCACCAATTGCATTTAGGTATTTATTCTAGTTGAAATAAATATATAAAAATGTAAATTGAACCTTAAATACAATGCTTAAAGTTGTTTTCACAAAAAAAGTTAAAACCGCGCTCAAATGTTCAAATGAGCACTCATTCGGTGAGGACATTTTTTGTCGCTGATTGTGTATCTAGTACTTTCTTGATCGATGATTTCATTATAAATTATTACTACATTATAATAGAAATACAAAAAAACTACAATAAAGGATATAAAGTATAGTAAATTAAAATAGTAAATAAGTAAATTGGTCTCGATATTAGTTAATATGAAAGTGTATGAAAAAAGATGTGTCACTAAGAGTAAAAGATCTCCACTGTGATAAAATTGCATTTGCTTTGGAAAAAAAAAACATTATTTTACTGTCACATTTAAGACAATTTCACATATTATAATGTAAAAATCACTATTTTTCCTGTGTCAGCAATCTCTTTACAATATCCATGGCTTTTATATTTTAATGCATGCAAAGATCATATTAAAAAAAATAGATTATAAAGAAACTTATAACATGTTTTAAATATGGCAGTAAAATCCGTTAAAAAGCTACATCACTATATATAAAGTTACGTGTATACTAAATCGTATATAAAATATAACATGAGGGGCGAGTATCAAACTTTGCTAGTAACCTACGGTTTCGTTTATCGGATATGGACTAAGACGGATCTACTTGTTTTTCATTTATACTATATACTTATGTAAAAACATTAAACGTGTAGATTAAATAAATATTTCTTAATTAAAAAATGAACGATTTCGACAACTTCAAAATCACTTTGCATGTATGCAAAGCCATCTTTTGATTATATGGTTGGAACCTTTCCTTGAAATTTATATGAGATCACATCTTGTTGATGTATAACCTTATACCTTTAGAAAATGACTAAAAAATCATAAAAAATCGATTAACGATTAGTAAACATATACGTAAATTAAATACCCCTCTTTTTGTAGTCAGTTAAAAACAACTAATTACAGGCCTCAGTTTTCTCGATTAGATTATCAAAATCGATATACCCAAATACTTTCAAACATAAATAAAAAATTGATTTCAAAAAGTTTTACATAAGTACATAAAATAAATAAAACCTACGTATACTGCACCAGAAGATAAATCCACTGACTATATTTAAATTAGAAATCGAATACCGCAATGAACAAACATATGCAATTTTTTGCTTAAAAAACAAAAGTGTCTAAAATACATTTGTTAAATAAAATAATTATAAATAAAGATTATAAAGTAATTTGAATACTTATATTTTATCCAATTGAAATACATTCAGTGAATGATTCGTACCGCTCATTCGTTCAGTGAATGGTTTCACTGCTCCCACTCCGCGTCGTCGACGCCCTCCATACTGTCCTGCTCTAGTTTCAAATTCACTGTCACTTTGGCGCTCATCGCTTTCATTATCTGTGGGGAAATAAAATTAATTATATTAATATTATAACGAGGCAGGGTTTGTTTGTTTGAACGCCCTAATCTCAGGAAATACTAATCAAATTATTGAGGAAGGATATAGGCTATAATTATCATATAATATATGGTCTATCTATTCCATACTAACCGTTAAAACGTACCTAGGGACGGACCCGAGCGAAGCAAAGTAGAACCGCTAGTATTAAATAAGTTAATGTAGAATAACAAAAAAACATGATTTGATGATGACACACGCATGTTAACACGGCAAAATGAATATTATGTCCTCACTCACTCTATTTATTTTCTGATAATAATAAAATTGTAAGTGAGATTACGAAGGACCTCCACTTTTATGCTCAAGTTGTTAAAAGACTACATTTCTTTCCATAAAGCATAAATATAATACAACATTCAAGTACTCTCCAAATAAATGTTTTTAATAATAAATATTTTTTTCGGCGGACAAAATAAGACACTTCAAAAGAAGTAAAAAAAACGCATTCAAAATGGCTGACTAATTATAACACATATCAAGCTAAATCAAACTAAATTTTTAGTATATGAGTTGTATTTATATAAAATTTAAATACTCACACTATCCTGTTTCTCTTTCGGGTCCATTGGCACATGGGACTTGATTAAATCTGGTTTGGGCTTTTGTGGGGGCTTCTCTTTTGCCGGAGTCGGTGCTGTGTGCTGTGACACTAGAAGAGACAATATATTATATAATCTATACATATAATAAAATTGTAACTAAGCCGAATCTGTACATTAAATATTTTTTGGAAAATCTTATTGAAATAAATATTATTATCGATACAGAAGCCGAATCTATTCGCTAATCTCTAGTTTTTAGAATTTTTGTCTGTCTGTCTGTTACCGCATCACAGAAAAACTACTGGAGGGATTATGATGAAATTTGATATAGTGATAGCTGGTTATCCGGGTCAACAAATAGGATACTTTTCACCGTGAAAAAATATCTCATTTCTGAGAAAAAATGCAAAAACTGCATTATAAGAGTATACTAATCTATAAAATCTAAGAATTTGGTTTTTGGTTATCTGCACGCAGGCGGAGCCGCGGACAATGCTAGTTTTATATAAAATCTCGTGTCACGGTGTTTGTGTTCGCACTCCTCTGAAACGGCTCGACCGATTTTAATGATTTTTTTTTGTATATTTGGTAGGTATGAGGATAGGTCGTAAAGTATTTTTCACATTCCTACTCCTACGCCCACATTTTCATGTCATGATTTTAGTGTTTTTGTATCTTACGTTAGGTTTGTTTAATAATTTATATGGCAGAACAATATTTGCCGGGTCAGCTAGTAACAGTATATGTATGTATTAATTAAATATTAGATTTACATTTAAGTGCTTCAAATCTTGTATAACTCAATTTGGTAGTATATTGCGTAAACAGTACGCATTATAAAACAAAGTCTGTCTGTCTGAACGCGATTAACTCAAAATTGTCCCAAGGCGTATATATATGTATGCTCGTCCCGAAGCGTTGTGTTGCATATTGGTAGGTGCGTAGTGATGCGTCATGTATGTGACTGTATGTATGTATGTATGTGGCTGAAGAACAGCCGCGGTGGTCCAGTGGCTTGTATGTACGGCTGTAAATCTGAAGGTCTTGGGTTCGTGTCCCGGATTGGGCTAAGTTTAATTACTGAGATTTTCTTTTAATATATTCTTAGTAGTCGCCCAAAGCTGGTGAAGTGAAGTGTGTGTTTGTGTGAGTATATATGTATCAGTGGCGAAGGCTCCATACAAGACGTCTTACCTTAAAATGTATTTTGCTATAATTTTATATACATACATTTAATTTATTTAAGTGTTCTTTTGGGAATATATATATAATAATAGCAGCTTTATTTCTTTCTGCATTAATACGTATATAAAAATTGTATATCAATGTTTTTTTTCTGTATATTTTTTAAACGGTTTACTTCTGCTAAAATTTCACTCTTCGCCACTGATATATGGGTGTATGTGTGTGTGTGTGTGTGTGTACGTACGCGGCTGCATGCCGGGCGGGTGCAGCGAGGCGAGGCGCGGCGGCGCGGGCGCGGCGCGCAGCCACGCGGCGGCCGGCTGCCACGCCTGCCACGTCACCAGCGTCGGCGGGAACAGGTCGTCTTGGAAGAAGTCGCTCTGCGGGCACAACATGCAACACATACGATAGATTAATGACACTCGAATTTAACACTGCTACCAATAAAATAATGTTAAGGCTAATGCGGTTAAGAAAGTCGTGACCGCATGTAAAACTAGTTATTTGTTAGTATAACTTCAGCTCATGTTAATGCACAAGCCCATATTATAAATAAATATACATTTAATGATTAAGATCAAATATTTATGTACGCCTTGTTCATTCATACTGAGAAATCTATAAAATACAGTCTCCGAACTACAAACCCACACTAGAGGTGTATGTCTATGACAATAAGATATAATGTTCTAACATCACCCACATATTACACTTATAAAGTATAAATGCATAACTACATCCTTGTTACTTAAAAAATATTTCATATAATCTTATGAACGAAGAGACGAACCTATTACTTAATTTGTATTAATTCAATAATTCCTTCCAGTTTATGTAAAAACTTAGTTTTAAATGACTTAAAAGAAATAATGAAACCTACGATTTTTTATTACATTAATATTGCAATTTTATAATATTCAACGAAACTCGCTCACCTTTATTCTAGGTACAGTAAAGGATAACGGCTCGATAGTACCATTTGTTAACCTCAAAGCTCGCGCGAATTCCACCTAAAAAAAATAGAAAATAAAAGATCTAAACATATGTAACACAATCATAGCGGGGTTAGAATTTTATCTTATGTAAACATAAAACAAAACTAAAAACTAATCGTTTGCTTGGAAAACCAAGTGTAGCGGGTTCAAATCCCTGATCGAGATCCCTTTTCAACATGATTACCACTTGCCTAAAGAAAAACAACGTGAGGAAACCTGTATGTCTGAGAAAACCTAGTAAGTTCTCGAAAGACTTGTAAAGTCCGCCCACACTTGACCAGCATGGTGGAATTTAGCCTTCCCTCTCGCATTGAGTGCCGTGGGACGTTAAAAATGCCTACCTTTTCCACAGCGAGCAGGTTCTTGGGAAGGAAGGCGATGCCCTGGTGCAGCGTGGCGGCGCGGTGGTGCGACAGCGCGCACAGGTACGGCGGCTCGCACGTCACCTCGTAGCAGTAGATTGTCGAGTCGCCCTGCACACGTTGTATACTCGTTTAATAAACAATTCACGTTAAAAAAAACTATCTTTTCGGATTTTTTCGCGGATTTATTTTGATATTTGGTTCTTGACGTTTCAAATGCTTTACAGTAATCGTGGTCACGGGAGAGACTGCGTGTTAGATGTCTCAAAGGTATTATGTAGTTGTTAAAGACAGCCTACCCACAAATAACAAAATGAATTGAATAAATTGAAAAAGTGCCATTTTTCAGTACAAAGTACCTTACAATATTTTTTTAATTTTAACCATGTTTATAATTTTAATTAGTTTTATTATTTGATAAATTGAATATTTTTATTTAATTTTAGATGTTATTATTATAATTATTACAATTTTTTAGAAAAAAATATAAAATATAATACCTTTATGGCTATATAATACCTTTGAGACATCTAACACCTTAGTCTCTCCAGTAAACATAATTGCTATAAAGCATTCGAAACGTCAAGAACCAAAAATCAAATTAAATCGGCGAAATAATCCGATAAGATAGTTTTATTTAAAACGTCAAATATTCGCGTAAATCTAAGTAACAAAAAATTTTAAAAAGCCGTATTCCAAATACGTGCAGTACTTTTTGAGATAGTCATGATTCTTGAAGAATTATAATAGATACGTGGTATAGTATATTAATAAAAGCCATGTTAGTTACAACAAGTTGGTTGAACGGTCAGAATGATATTGACCAAAATATGGTAACATTAGTTTGAATAAACTACGAGTATATAGTAGCAAATGTGTTATTAAATTGTTTAATTGGCTTTATGGCTACAGATCAACATATTGCGAAAATAAGCTACCAATATGATGATCTTCATCGAAAACTTATATAATAATATAAATGCACTAGGGTCACTACTGCATAATAATATTACACTAATCAGAAAAAAACAAGTGAGCAACAAACCCGTCCAGTGAGGAACAGCGTGCTCGAGTCGTGGTCGAGGTGAGTGTGCAAGATGGCGGGCGACACGTCCAGCCCCACGGTGCACACCGGCGCCGACAGGTCACTCGTCTTGTATAGCAAAATCTGGCGCTCCGACACCCTGTCCGAAAATTATATTACGTTTAATTCTATAGGATACAACAAGCGACTAACCCTTGCTTCGCTAGGTTTCGTCCTAGGTACGTTTTAATTTTTTTTAGCGGAACCCTAATTGTTTTTCTAAAATAGAAGTAGCCTATGTTAATCCCTATAAAATCAGCTATCTTCCAGTCAAAGTCCCATCAAAATCAGTCCAACCGTTTCAGAGATTATCCGGAACAAACAGACAGAAAAAAATTAAAAAATATGTGTTTTTCTTATAAGTACCGTATATAATTTCATATGCATTTAGTAAAACGCTGTTATTTTGACATTACAAACAGACACTTCAATTTTATTTATCTGTATAGAATAGATGGAGTAGACGAGTTCTAGAGTGGAGACCAGGGCTCAGCAAACGTAATGTAAGAAGCCCTCCAGCTAGATGGAGTGACGATGTACGTAAAGTGACTGGCAGTGGTTGGGTGTGTAGGGCTGAAGATTTAGCACAGTGGCGAGTCATGGGAGAGGCCTATGTCCAGCAGTGAGCCGCTAATAATAAATAATCAATTGTTAGATTTGTGTAATATAAAGTTTTTAGTATTGTTCTTCAGTGTTTATAATATAAGTACCTGGGCAACCAAACTTCCGAGCGAAGTTTTTGGAAAAAATAAAAAATATTTTTTTTAAACTAAAAACTTGAATAAATACAAAAAAAAACAAAAGTAAAGACTTTGTACCTGTGATTGTCAATCTTGCGTCTTGACCTCTTGACCCCGATGTTTATGCCCGTGTGCGAAATTAGCGACCATATTTTGCGTGCGAAAGAAAACCGCATGGAAACTCGACATCGACTCGATAAGACTAATCTAGATCTATTTTGTCGCCCCCGAAATCCTTCACATACCCCCACAGCAAAATCGTTAGAGCCATTTCCGAGATCGCCGGTGTAAATATACAAGAATTGGTCAATTAAAGGTATTATATATTGACTTACTTATCAAATCCTGTAACAACAAGATGAGTGTCGTGCAGCGCCCACACCACGCGCGCGCCGCGGCTGCCCACGGGGCCGGCGCCGCGGCTGGTCGGCTCCGTAGACGAGCGCGGGTTATATATCTGAAAATATATAAGTATTATTAAGAAACTCTTTTTATTATAAACTAGCTTTTTTCCCGGGACTTCACTTGTGCCAAGTTTGTATTTTTAGCCTCTTTACCTCTTTTACACCCCCTTGAAGTGTTTGATGTTGAAAACGCACAAAACACTACGTTTGTTTATTTGTAAACAGGAGTGTTTATTTATTTGTAGACGGGAGTACTCCTGCGTATTTTCATAATGATACATCTCTCTTTTATGATTTCTCCATACAATTTTTGAGACCCCGTTTCACTTTTGGGGTTGAATTTTCAAAAATCCAGATTCTTAACAGATAATCGTCATAATAACGTATCTGTATGCCCAACCCAATTCATTCAACAATTTGAACTATGCATTGATAGACCAGTCAGTATATTCGTGAGTCAGTCAGTATAGTTTTGGAGATGTGTGAAACATACACAGAACACACACCAGTAACAAAAATATACATAATTTTAAAATGAATAAAAAGAAACAACAACATAAACTTACTCTTATAAACCCGTCCTTGCACACAGTAGCCAAGTACTCGCCACAAGGGGACCAGTCCAATGCGAATATCTGGTCAGTGTGACCAGTCAAGGTGATCTCCGCTGTAGGGGTTTCCTGGCTGAGATCCCATATCTTTATGGTGAGGTCGTGGGCGGCGGTGGTCAGTATGTCTGAGGCCGTCGGATGGAATCGTATTATGTATATCTTATCCGGGTGCGCTGAGAATGTGCGGTTCGGTTCGTTTGTTGATTCTTGGAGGCCTGGAATTGGAATAGTTAATGTAAATATTGGCAATTAGTAATTCTAAATAAAACTATCTTTTCGGAACTTTTCTGTTACAGACAGTACAACTATATCATGATCTGTGAGAAGTGTAAAACCTTAGTGTCTCCCGTGAGTCATGACCATGATTGCTGTAAAACATTTAAAATGTCGGGAATCAAAAATCCAAATAAATCCGCGTAAAAGTCCGAAAAGATAGTTTTATTTAAATTGTAAAATATTCACGTAAATTTAAAAAAGTATTATTCAAAAATCTAGTGAAACAGGTTTAAACGTTCTCTGATCATATGCAAATCATTTTTAATATGCTTACCATTTTATAATAGTATAAAGAACAATATGGTGAGGAAGCTTGTATGTCCGTGAGAACGTGACAAGGTTTTTGAAAAACATTTTTTTTTGTTTTCAACTTAGTCTGCGTGACTAATCCTGATGTGTCAATACACTAGCCACTAGCTAGCGTGGTTGCAGGTTCGGAGGTCTTGGGTTCGAGTCCGGGGTCGGGCCAAGTATGTAATGGCACCGCTATATGTAATAGATGTAATGTGTTATTCGGACCTCCTTCGGGTATGATCCACTCGCGCACTTGTCCGTCGTCGCAGGCCACCAGCAGGCGGTCGTCGCGGAAGGGGTCGAAGGTCCAGTCCTGCAGCGGCGCGGGGTGCAGCAGCGCGGGCGGGTGCAGCGCGGCGGGGTGGTGCGGGGGCGCGCGCGCCGCCGGTGACGCGCCCGACGGCAGCTCCACCACGCCCACGCGCCCGCCGCCGCCGCCGCCCACCGGCACGGCGCAGCGCACGCCGTTCGCTGGAACGGAACCAACGTTAGACATGTCTAAGGTGAGAGGTGTGAAACTGTGTAGTGGGCAGAGTCCTTCAAGCTGCTACACACAGTGGAGGCCGGAGGAGGATAGAAGAGGGCAGGAGCCTTTAGCCGGAAACGAAAACCACATACAAAAAAATAAGTGCGTGTAACCGGCGGGCGGTTAAAGTGATACTTCTTTGGGGTTGTGGCAGATACCGCAATTACATTAAGACAAATCAAAATATAAATACAATAATGTTTATAAAATTATTAGTAATAAATATTCACTTTTATAAGTAATAATTATGTATTTTTATAAATAATAATAAAATTATTATAAAAAAATAAATATTTTTTTTTAAATTAAGGAAAAATAAAAAAAATGAATCGTACTTACCATAAAAACCATTACATTCACCAGAAATCTGCCTACTAATATTTTTTATATTCTCGACACATGTTGATTTATGTCCCGGAGTACCCTTTAAGTGTCGGAATTTCGATACTTTGCCTGAAAAAATAATTATTTATTTATTTATTATTATTTTTTATTTAATTTTTTATTCATTTGTAAGAAAAAGTCAACAATAAAAACACATACCAAATACTGTCGATGTTCTTTTAGTAGTGACATTAGGTACAGAGGATCTCTTTTCTTCACGATCTGGACTTTTGCGGGATTTTAAAGAATCTCGTCGCCTAAATCAAAACAAAAACTTAATGTGTATATTGCACATAAAAATAAAACATTTATAATAATAATTAATAGTAATTTTTTATACTTGTTGTTGTACTCTTTGCGAGTTAGGAATGCAGTTTTCATGAGAAAATTCTGATTGAATATATTCAAGCTATAGCTTATCTAAAATTACGTTGCAGATTAACGCTATTTTTTAGATTAGGCTATTTATATAGATTCTAATTTTATGTTTAATATGAAATACTAATATAAAGTTTAAACGTGCTTATCCCTAGAATTATCAATTTGATTTGAAATATTCATTTTTCAAGGCTACAAGTTATCTAACATAATAATGAACGAATGAACACCTCAAGGGCGCGGGCGAGGGCGGCGCGTCGGACTCGGCGGCCACGCTGACGGAGCGCGACTCGTACGCGCGGCGCCGCTCCGCTATGGACTGGTTGCCGCCGCTGGAACTGGGGGCATTGTTTATATACATATATATTATCGTTTATTTAGTATGTTTACTGTCTGTATGTAAATGATCAAATGATTAGAAAAGTATCTTATGTTGTTGTATGTATATTCGATAAAAATTTGTATTAACGAATATATTTTCTACAATATGATTTAATTGAAATTTATGCATATTTCTGAAAAATGCTCACAAGCCGTGGGAATTAAGAAAAGGGCAGAAGCAGGGGAAAAGGTTTCCTTCTAATTCCTTCAAAGCCCGGATTATGAGGAAGAACAACAAAAAGTACAAGTGCACACATGCCTAAACAAATGACGTACGTGCAAATTACAACGTACTAATAACAAAATTAGTCACCGTGGCCGTAATCTGGTCAGGAGAACATTCACACTCATCCCATACTCACTCTGTAGCTTCAAACAACTTCCTCCTCTCCGCAGTGCTGGGAGTCTTCGGCCTGTACCCCGAGTCCGATGAATTCACCTCCTCTTCCAAACTTGTATCCGATTTGCCATTTGTGTACTCTTCTGTTAAAAGTAAATATAGTTTATTATTTAATATTATCATTATCGAATCAAATGAAATAATTGTGATAAACAGAAAAAGATCCATCACTATAACTTAATACTTTATAAAGTTAAAAAGCTACTTTGTACATACTTAGCAATATTGCATATAGACTGTTTTTGTTTATGGCCATTGCTATACGTGTATCGCGCAATTAATTAATTATTCAATAACAAAGCTTTCCAAAATAAAAAATTTACAGCTAAAGCCACAGGTATAGGCTAGTTCACACTAACCTTTGCTATGCGCGACCTCAACATCACTAGTAGGGGAGAGTGACTTCTCCTTCTCCTCGTCCTTGGCCACGGGAGTGGAGGCGACGGGCGAAGGCGCTTGAGCCGCCACAGGGGACAAACCTGAGAGAAAATAAAAAATATATAATTTTTATGTATGTATTAATGCAGAAAGAAATAAAGCAAGTGAATCAAAAACAATAAAAAATGTAGAGTGCAAAAAACGTAATTTAATTTTCGATATCAGAACTCATAGGACGTAACAATATTTCAATAAAAAATATCTTTAAAAGCGTCCTTCCACAGCCTATCTATACCTGTATGATCTCTTATTATTGGATTACTATGAAAATTACCAAAGTTTGTATGTATATTTGTTATTCTTTTACGCTAAAGCAGTTCGACGGATTTAGACAAAATTTAGGACACAGATAGATTATGACCTGGAGTAGGACATAGACTACTGTTTGGTGTCTAGGGAACTTTGTAGTGACCCTACTTGCTGTGCCAGCGGTCGCGGGTTCAAGTCCCGCTGGGGGCATTCATTTGTGTGGTGAGCATAAACGTTTGTACTCCAGTCATGGGTTTTTATATTTATAATATGTATGTAATTAAAGTTATATATGTATATTTACTTCTATATTCACCTGAATCAGATTTAGTAAGTCCCGGCACGGCGGGCACTGAGAACACTTTGTCGAAGGAGAACTCTTCGCTCCCCGTCGTCGCTGAGAATGGTTTCGGTCCCAAACGCGGCTGAAATTAAATAAATACGATATAATAAAATAGCTATGATATACGTTATTTCTATTTAAAACACAATAAAAAAATAACATGAGCATTAAAAAAATAAAAAAAACATGCAACTTACCTAAACAAAAATATTTTTTATAAATTTTATAATTGTATATTTTACACAAATACATATATGAATTACCTAAAACTTGGCCTTAAATAATCACAACTTTAATATATTTACTTATTATATTTATCAGTATATTTTGTTACTATAAAATATAAATAAGATACAAAGTAGGCCTAGAATTACGCAAAAATACGTCTATCTATTTACTTAAATTATTTCTATTGAATCATAGATTTAGTGATTGTTGTAAAATTGAAACCTTTAATTATAAATGAAATAAAACTTTGCTACTATTAAAAAAAACTATTGTTTTTTTTAGTTAATTCGTTACACACTTTCTATAGAAATATTAAAACACAGTATTTAGTAAATATATAATAAACTTAATGAAAAAAAATAACAAAAAACATATACAATAATAAAAAAACAAAAATCTATTTAATTTATATATTAATATTCAATTAAATACACATCACCTAAAAACTATCCACAGTTCATACTATACCTTATATCCAGATATTGGTACCGCTGTTGTTCTTGGTTTAGGTTTAGGTGCCTCTGAAATTTGCTCATCAGAAGACCCTGCTTCCGATATAGAAGACCTGGGCAAGGGCTTCGGTACCTGGACAGGAGCGCCATTTACATAACTATTGCTTCTCGATAACGACTCAGACGAATCAGAACTTTCGGTTTTCTCAAGGGTCTTTTCAGTCTTTTCCGTCTTTTCTTCGGTCTCGTCGTCTTTTTTATCACAATCGTGACCATTATCGGTTATTTTCTTGTGAAAACCATTCGTTTCTTTGTTATAATCTCTTGGCTCGGGTTTTTGTCTTTCCATGCCTTTGATCAAGTCTTTTACGTTTACAAAATCTATTCGGTCTTCGTCTTTTTGCTCTGGCGGTGCCGATTTGGATGCTGCTTTCGCTGTTTCTTCTGTCTGTTGAATGTTTGTTACAATGGGCTTAGAATCCGTCTTCTTTGGTGAGGGCATCGCTAGTACCGCTTTGACTAAATCTTCCAGATTTCCTCTGTGTGTCTAAGGAAAGATATTTCTATATAAATATATAAATATAATGCTATTGTAATAATATTATTATTATTTTAGAAAATTATAAACCAGTAACAATGAAATAAAAATATAAAATAAAAGCCAAAAAATAAAAATTAAACCAATTTACTTACTTTAAACCCAGTTCTTTAATTAGCACTAACTACACAAAACTACAAAAAAAAACACAACAAACACAAAATAATCACCTTTAGCGCAAAAAAATGTGATGAAAATTAAAATAAATATCAATAAAAATGCCTTGATATTAAAAAAAGCACTGAAAAAAATTTCATGCATGTTTTAACACAGTAATAATAAACTAACTAATTATTATAATATTCGATTATTTCAAACACCAACCCACAACATATATTTTTTTAATTTATATTGTAATAAATAATAATAACAATTTTATTAAACTTGAACTATATAAAAATAATGAGATAATAAAAATACATAAATCTGTCTTGCATTTAGTTAGAAGTTAGAACCAATTCATTCAAAATGTAAGAAATACGTTCTAAAGAAAATGAGCAGTTTTTTTAATGTTTCATTTTATTGTAATTTAATTATTTTTTTTATTTATTGTAATTTCATTAAACAAAAACGTGACTAAAAATCGAATCCACAATATCCAATGTAATCGTATATAATAATCGTACTGTACTAAATTGTAGAAACTAAATCTTATTAAATATTTCTTACACAGTAAATGTTACTTTGCATTATATTATATAAATAAATAAATAAATAAATAAAAAGCAGAAAATACTGTTTTTTTTTAATTTAAAAATATGTTAATCTCTGAAAGTAGCAGTCAGATTTAAAATTTTCTTTTTGAATTTTCCACTCCCTTTATTAGGTTATAATGTTTAATTAAAACATGACGCTACAACCTTTAGAAGCGGAGCATAAATATTATACATACATACATATATATATAAATAAAACTATCGTTTCGATTTTTTTCTCGCAGATTTATTTTATTTTTTGAGACCCGAAGTTTCGAATGCTTTACAGCAATCACGGTCACGGGAGAAACAGTCTTTTAAAGAAAAAAAAATCCAAAAAGGTAGTTATATTCCTACTTAAAATTACAAAAAATCGAGTAAATCTAAAAAAAAGTATTACATACATATACAAAACGAGTAGAGGAGTAGTAGTATCTAACAATATTCCAACAAACCTGAGTGCAGTTGTTAGCATCAGGGTGTAGGGAGATGGTGGGCACGGGGCAGTCCTGGTTGTCGAGCCACATGGGAGCGCTCAAGTACGTCACAGCGCCGCTCGTCTCTGGGTATAAATCTGCATGGTATTCGCGATAACTCTGAAACAACACATATGTTGGTATTATTATTCGGTTCTGTGATACCTTCCTAGTGTTGATTGTAAAGTTCAAATATATAAAAAGTTATAAAATTGATACGTTTCGTTTTATTAGTAAATTTAAGTCCATAACCCAATAACATTAATATTAAAAACGTAACTCCTTGCTTTGCACAGGTATCTTAAGATGCCTAATAAACACACATACACGTTATCGCATTTATAATAGTAATAGATCGATGTGAGCGAGTGTGTGTGTGCGTGCGTGTGTGTGCGTGCGTGTGCGTGCGTGCGTGCGTGTGTGTGTGTGTATATGTGCGTGCGTGCGTGCGTGCGTGCGTGTGTGTGTGTGTATGTGTGTGTGTGAGTGTGTGTGTGTGTGTGTGTGTGTGTGTGTGTGCGTGCGTGTGTGTGTGTGTGTGTGTGCGTGCGTGTGTGTGTGTGTGTGTGTGTGTGTGTGTGTACGTGCGTGTGTATGTGTGTGTTACTTCTTCATAATGTAACGGTTCAACTGATTTGACTGAAATTCGTAATGGCATTAGTTTAATAATTATACTTTTTTAACATTGGGAAACGCATTTACGCATACCATCTGCATACATACAGGTGGTTAAGTGGGTCTTATCTCACTCGATAGAAAAGCCAGTACTACCCTCTAAAACCCATCGGAACCTCCCATGTCTTAATAAGGCATAGTAGTGTTCAATAAACAAATATTTAAAAATAAATAATTTTAATTCATGCGCTGTAACTTTTCGTTCGTCTATTTATTTCTATTTAAATACCGCAATACAACATGTACAAGACATATAGACTTCAAATAGACATATAGACAAACAAATATTCCAAAAAATATATAGTAATATGTAAATATATTAAAAAAATGCAATTTAAGTACGAACTACCCCTTTTATACCATAGGAAGGAAGAACTTTAGTTCCAGCCCTTTGTATATAAGCACTAACTTCCCGAAACCTAAACCAACAAAGTCCTAAAGGAAATTCAAGTCATTGACCCCAAGTGGTTAGGAAGTTACAAACCACTAAATCAAATTACCCGAGTGAATATATTTTGCAAGAGTTGTGAATTTTTTTTGAATTCTTTGCATATTAAAGTATGTATAATATATTATCAGGAATGCCTCATAAATTAAGTTTTGAAAGCATATTAAAAGTATTTATTCCACTATTGCATTTAATTTTATTGTCTATGGGGAATATGCGTGTGATTTAAATAAAGTTAAAATATATATATTTTTTTTTCATAATATTTATTGCTTTTGAATTAAGCCTATAATATTTTTTTAATATAATTTCTTTTTGATTAAGAAAATCACTATTAAAAAGCGCAAACTAGGTGGGAAATTCAAAGTAGTTGGAACGCAACGCCATCGGTCAAACCGAATGTGACGTCAGAGTATATCATATCAGAGAGATTAGCGATTTTGTCGTTACAAATTGCGTCGTCATTTCTCTGTGTATATCATACTGTGACGTCACGCCAGCGCGCGAAATGGTAGGAGTTTAATGTATTTACCGATACATATACATTAAACGCCTATGATATTATTTTTTTTAATTTATGCAAAATTTTAGTTTTTTTTTGAGCTGGATATTTTTTTACAATTATATAACAAAAGAGATTATATATTCGATATTGTATGGAAGTACCCTTAAAATTCTACTTAAAGAAGAATACTAAAATGCAGCTGAAAATTGTTGAAGATGTCGTGACTTTTGTTTTTTTTTACAAAATAACAATTACAGAATAAAATATTTAGATATTAACTTTAATTATTATAGTCAAATCGAAATATATTTTATTCAAATAAACTTTTACAAGCACTTTTGAATAGTCGATTTTACATTTTAAACTTAAATTAAATGTCAGTATCTGTGAGAAATCCACGGGTCTCACATGTCTGACATTTTTATGTGTAAATCATTCGTAACATGATTACTATGCCTTACGGTGAAAGAAAACATTGAGGAAACCTGTGGTGATGTGTGGTAATGTCCCAAGATAAATTTATATTTTTATATTTATACCTTCCTAGGCACTTGGTACATGATGGGCACCACGGACGAGCCTGCCAGCTGCAGCACGCGGTTGACTTCGCCCTCCATCACGCGCAGCGCCCGCTTTGGCACGAGACACGCGCCTTTGGTTTGTTCGCCTGTTGGATCATTTCATCATTTATTGTATCGAATAGATAGACTTGTTGTGGGTAGTATTACAACATGATTTCATGGGAAAACATGTTATAATAATTTGATTAATCCCATAGGGGAATAATAATCTCCCGCGGTAAAAAGTCTATGTCACTCTCCAGCCTTCCAACTATTTCCACATCAAAAAATTACGTCAACCCATAACTCTTTTTCGACGTGAAAGAAGGACAGACAGATAAACAAAGAAACAAACACACTCACATATATAATATTAGTATGGACTAGCAATTTACCTTCACTTCGTTCAAATACGTCCCTAGGGTTATAATACCAAAGAAAAGTCTTTTTCTGACTTTATTTATATTATGATTATAGTCACTATGATATCTGACAATAAAAACATTTTTATTTTTATTGGTATATAAAATAGTTTATACTAGATAGTATTAAACTCCATAATAGTGAAAGAATTTTTAAACAGTAGAAGAATCGATCAGACGACCCACACAATTATACATCAAAAACAAAAACACTTACCAGAATGCCTTAGCCCTTCTATTAAATAAGGTTCCCGATCACTCAACTCCATATACAATATCGTTGTATCCCCCTTCCCAGCTAGGAAGAGCATGTTTGTATCAGCGTCGAACAAGGGCATCAGTACTCCAGTGGAACAGTCCAGTTCTAAAGTCTTCTGAGTTTGGGAGAGATTGCGAATATCACGTATCATGATTTGACGGAGACGAGCTGAATCAAAACCTGGTGGAAAATATATATATATATATATATATATTTGTAATTTATTTTTATTCACCTTTTCTATTATAGAAAAAAACTTGTATATAAAACTATTTTTTCGGATTTTTTCCAGTCTTAGACTTATTATTTTATTCATAGGAATGTTTACAGTTTTATTCTGGTTTTTTGTTTTCAACCTTTTGAATACAATAGAACCGCGAAATAACCCAAAAACAAATTTGTTTTATTTAAAATGACTAATTCGCGTAAATCTAATAGAGTATTAATAGAAAATATTTATCAAACACTTTATTGTGCTTAAATCTTCAAAATTAAATTGTTCAAGTTGCTCTGCGTCTCTATTTCTCAGAATATTAGTACATTTCTGTATTTATTTTTAAAAACAATGTATCGATTGGTAGTTAAAAAAATATTTTTTTCATTTTGCTAAACAAACATTAACCCTGTGCGGGATTCAAACTCGCGGTCTCTGTGGTATGACAAACAGCCTTTAGAGTTAGATAAGTTAAATTTTCACAGATTTCATTTTCAATATTCACTTCTTACTATAACAACGCAAAATCATTAGTTTTCCCGCAAAATGTATGTAAATATAAAAATGAAAATTCATGATTGCAAATAAAGTCCTTCATACATAAAGGTGTTCCAATTTTTATTCTCTGTGAATACTGAATCCGTAACCAACACCGTGAAAGCGAAGGAGCTCTAACTGTTGTATAATTAACGTGTTTATAACTATCGAATATACATGAGTTTAAGATTTAATTTCATTCAACTAGGAATATGCTTTGTAATGAAAATTAGTCATTACATATAATAGTTTTTTTTTAATGTTATAAATATAGTTAATTATATAAAAATACTTAACTTGGATAAAACTTTCTTAGATTTTCGCGAATATTTGAAATCTATACATATAATAAAATTCTGAGTCGAGTTGAAGTAGTCATTACTATCGATACACAGGCCGAGTCTATAGTTTTAAGAGTCGGTATGTCTGTGAACACATCACGAGAAAACCACTGGACAGATTTTGATGAAATTTGGTATGATGATAGCTGATTACCCGGGTCGACACTTTTTACTACGGGAAAATATCTCACCTCTGAGAAATCTATATTAAACGTACATTATTAGTTAGGGACGAACCCGAGCGGAGCGAGGATGAGTCGCTAGTTTTAAATAAAACTATAGTTTCGGATTGTTTCGCGGATTTATTTATATTTATGGTTCCTGACATTTCAAATGCTTTACAGCAATAATGGTCACGGGAGAGACTAAAGTTTTAGACGTCTCATAGGTCATTATACAGTTGTTACAGACAGTACCCACAAAATTATACAATGATTTTAAAAATACAAAAATTGCTCCAAAGTACCTTAAAATATTGTTAATTTTAATTTAAACATTTTTTATATAATTTTAAGAGGTTTCATTAATGAATGTCAATAAATAATTCCGCAAAAAAATACAAAAATATATTTTTATTTAAAATATAAACAATAATCCAAATATACATAAATAGAAAATTTCATGTATTTTTGATAGAACCTAATGACAATTGTTATGGAAAATTTCTAAAACAATAATAACTTGCTATTTTTAAAATGGAAACCGTTTGTTTTCGAAAAATGCGCACACAAATGGGCCGGCAACAAAAGAAAAAAATCTAAAAAAGAACTATTTTAACGAATTTTATCATAAAGTTATTCTTAGGATTGGAAAAACGCATGCAAAACATAAAACTACACAAAGTAATACAACAATAAAAATAAATATAAAAACAAAAAAAAGGTGAAATCTAGTTACACTCAAATATATCAACTTACCAGTAGTAAGAATCCTGTCGGTATCCCCGAGCCAGACCAAACGACTATCCTTTATATTTTGATGGCTGTTGGCCACACCCAGGATTGGAGTGGCAACTCGAGGATCTATTATACGGACTTTCTTATCCTTGCATGAAGTTGCTACCAACTTGCCATCTTTCTTCCAAGATGTTGATTGAATTACTTCTGTGTGATCACGGTTAACTAAAAAGGTTAAGAGAAAATTAAGTCTTTTTTTAAATTTTAAAAATATTATTGTATTAAACCCTTTTTAATGTTCCACTGCTGGGCACAGAACTGTCTTCAATACGAGAAGGTTCAGGCCATAGTCCACCATGCTAGCCAAGTGCGGGTGAACTTCACATGTCTTTTGAAAACATGCAGTTTCCTCATTATGTTTTCCTTCTCCGTAAGACAAATGGTAATCATGTTGGAAATGATTCATACATGAAAATATCAAAGGTGTGAGACCTGGGATTTGAACCCGCTTCACTTTGATTTCCAAGCAGTACCACTGGACTACCACTTTCTCACAAAATATGATAATGATAAAAGAAATGGTATTTTCTTAAATTATCATATCTTTCAAACGTTTATTAAATTAGATTGATATAACTATTACTTTATGTACAAAACATGTAAAGTTTTATGATTTCAAAAAAGTTTCTTCCTTACCAAATGCCTCTTTTTGTTTAGTCAGATCCCACAAAGCAAGTTCATGTCCTGAAGCCACATGGATCAAGCCATCGGCAACTGGATGAAAACCTACATTCTCAACTCTTCTTTGTTTCTGTGATAGAGTGCATTCAGGTGTCGAAAGTGACTCCTTAAGACCTTCAGGTGGTATATGCCAGACTTTAACCTAATAATATTTATTTCATTAAATTTAAATATTTTATGTTTAACAATTATATTACATTATATAAGTATATTAACAATAATATTATATAAATCGAGCTTATAAATACAATATAAAAAATAACCATAAGCAAAAATTTTGAAATATTTTAACCAGTTTCTTATAAAAACCTTTTTTTGGAATAGAGAACAGTCACTGTTTTCTGTATTACCTTAAAAGTTATTTGGGTGTTATCCTACATAGTTGAAATACCATAATATTATCACATATGCACAAAAAATGTTCCAAATCAAAGTTCAGGAAATCTTGCATAAGAAATGAAATGATTAAGAAAAACATATAATCAAATGAAAATCATAATAGAAAAATAAATGAACAATGTATATAAATATAAAATATATATTAATTGTAAGAAATTATGTTCCTAATTCCATATATAATGTGCACTTCTGAGATAAACCACTATTAGAGTGGTGAAAACATTTTCCATGCTCTACTCAACAAGTAGGTTAACAAAAATCTTTAAATCTTCAGCAATGTTCATATTATGCTAATTCTAAAAACATCTAATTAGCTTGTTTAATAACTGTTAAAATAATACATAGTAACGGCATTATTTATATTACAAAAAATTGTTCCTTACCAAAGAGTCTTGAGATCCTGTTAACAATAAGCCATCATGGAATGGAGAAAACTCCATATCAGTTATTGTATCTGAATGAGCATGAAGTAATGGCATTGTCTTGCTTTTCCTGCCACAATCATCAAGTGGAAGAACAGCCATGCTCGACCCAACATGTTCCCAGTTGAATGCCATAAACGCAGCTGATGCACATATATTGTTTCCATATGTCTGATATGATCCAACACATATATCTCTTATACATGCTTCAGGCTTAGGCACAATGGGTGCCGCATTTTTATACTTAGAGGCTTTAAAACGCCAGGCCATTTTCAGCCAATTTTAAAAAGTTATCAGTCTTTTAATTATGGAATGTATAGAAGCCTCCTCAAGAGGCAATTTTTATCTGAAAAATTAAAATTACTGAAATAATTTGATTTTTGTAATAACTAATAAAACTAAAACTTTTAAACAACTGTTTTGTAATAATTTTAGTTTCAGAATAAATTCTTTCAATTTCAGAATTTTATTTATTTAGAAATGGTTTGCTAATAAATCTAAAATAAGCAAATATTTATACACTTCTTTCTAACAGATACATCTACAATTAAAGAATATAGACTTCATAATTTGCAGGTATAAACAAGAGTATTTATTAATAATTCTAAACACTTTGTTTTGAATAACTTGACCCGGTCGCGGCCGGAAATGCTCTAAAATTTGTCATATTCATTATACCCACAATTTATATTTAAGAAATAGTTTAATTACACTCCACTCATGATATAAATTAACTTTTATCACTCACCTTTTTGAGATAAATCAATCAGAAACCGATTTCCGCTAGACACTCCCCCTAAACGTCGGCCATTTCGATTCAAGCGACGTTTTGTGCGGATCGATAATAAAGTTACAAGTCGATGACACCCATAACAAAGGTAATTAGATATTCATCAAAATAAATATCAGATTAGTATATTTACTAAATAGTTAAATATTATTTATATTATTAATATTCATTTGGACTGTATTATAGTTTATTCGTTATTTCAACATTAAATACTGAATATTGGTAGTTGTTTAAAAAAGAAATTTTACAAATAAATATTATAAATTTGTATTTACATAAATTATTCGTTTTATAAAACCTAAAAATAATAATAATTGATTAACATATACAATAAAATAGTGAAGAACAGTATTGTACGAGTCATGAACTAATTCGTCCATGGTACGAGTATAATAATTTATAATACTATTGGCAACATTGGAAACTTTAATACAAGTGATTAGTGAGTAGTGGCGCGATTTTTAAATTTTGGGCATATTTAATTTTTTTTTATAGAAACATCTATTATTTATTATATTTTAAACTTACTTTTTAACTGTACCGTAATTTATCGACTTATAGAATGTCAGCCCAATTTTTTGTAATTTGACTTGGTACCTCTAGATTTGTCTAGCAGTTTATATTTAACTAATTAACACTATTTGTTCAAGCCAATACTTGCCGAAATATAGACTTCTTAAGTCGTAAACATTGTGATCCTACTTTAAGGGGAAGGCCACTCCCTGCAATGGAATTTTAAAAAGGTTGAATAACTCTTCAATTACTCTGAAAACAAGTAGACAATCTATATAAATAAAAATAAATCGCCGATATCGAAATGTATGTAACGCGCATAACTTCCGATCAACTGCACCAAATTGGATAATTCTTTTTTTTGTGTTTGTTGTTTATTAATTATTTATATACTAGCATTGCCCGCGTTCAGATGACCAAAAACCAAATTCTTAGGTTTTACATATTAGATAGATACAAAAACTGCAATGTAAGGATATATTTTACATTGCAGTTTTTGTATTTTTTTCAGAAATGAGATATTTTCCCGCGGTATCGGCCAGCTATGACCATACCATATTCCATCAAAATCCCTCCAGTATTTTTTCTGATGCAGTAACAGGCAGACAGACAGACCAAAATTCTAAAAACTATAGATTCGGCCTTTGTTTCGATAATAATGTCTATTTCAATAAGATTTTCCAAAAAATATTTAATGTACAGATTCGACTTAGTTAGAATTTTATTATATGTATAGATTGTCAGGACAAGTTTTGTATAGAAGGAAATTAAAAGATTTTTTTTTAAAACTTATGATCTGATTTAGATGAAATTTGGTAAAAAGGTAGTTTAAGAGCCTGGGAAGGACATAGGATAATCTTTATGCCGGAAATAATTAAGGAGGTGAAAATGGGGATGTAAGTTTGTATTGGAAAGCAAGGCAGGGGCGATCCCGACCGAAGCGAAGGAGAGTCGCCAGTAAGAAATAAATTTAATAAAACAAAAAATCGAAAGTGATCTTTATTTATTGCGAGTATTAATTACAATAATTTAGTTTCTTTGGTGATATTACTATGATCGATGACATGAAGTTATTAAGTACCTATTTCAGATCCAATTTAAATTGTACCTTCGTAGTATTATTTTACTCTTTAATTAATCTAATAATAAAAAAGCAGTTAGAAACTACTGGTATAGCTATCCATCTAAAAAAAACATTACAGACGCACCAGTGGTAAGGTTTTTAAATACTTAGGAATGAGAATTTTTTCATCAGTTGCTAAAGCCGCGTTGACACGATCAAAGTCTACTTTGACAAAGTAGTTTTGATGAATACTTTGACGCCACTTTGATCGTGTAAACACATGAGTAAAGAAAAGGAACACAGACAAAGCTTCATACAATTGCGCTTTGATAGGTACACTACTACAAGCTTGAGGCGCGTGTGTGCGCGAGCACTGGCGGCTTCGTTGCGTACGATAAAAAACCGGGTTGTAATGGCACGGCCTGTGCTCAAACTCGTTGTCATGTCATCGCTGCTGGGCGTTGCGCGTCGTGTTTCTTATCGTTGTACAGTTTGAAAGTGTTTTAATGCGTGTGCAAGAATGTAAATTTGATATGCCATGCGAGTGCTTTCCATTAGATTATAAAAAAAAATGGTTGGATTTAGAATTTACCGTTCAATTAAACAAAGAAATTATTGCAAAACAAAAATTACAAAAAAAATTATTTAGAGTAATTTGTAAAAAGAAATTCTATCATAGTTGTTTAATAAAAAGCTGATTGATAAACATTTTGTTTATTTAATTTTATACTCCTGTGACAACCCTAACAAAATAGGGAACATTTTGTCCGCTGCTTAGAAGCTTTGTCTCTGTTACTTTTCTTTACTCATGTGGTGTAAACGAGCAATCAAAGCGCACTTTGATGTCGGCGTTCAATTAAACTGAACTTCGTTTCAAAACTACTTTGTCAAAGTAGACTTTGAGCGCGTTAACGCGGCTTAAATTATATTTTAACAGATACATAGCTAGAATTTGAAATATTCTTTTAAGAAATTGCTAAATAACACTAATAGAATTAAAGCATATTTTAATAACTTTTAGAGAAAAGTTCATTGCATATTAATATATAACAATTAATATATTTAAAATAAATATATTCAAAAAATTGAAAAAATCTTACACCAAAGTGCACAAATATCAATGTGATGCTATAAATATAAGTAATTATAAAAGAGGCACCTAAAATTGCAATACTTTAAATCTAATTAAGAAATTTTAAGCACACTTAATTAATATTAATACAAAAATATAAAAAAAGTATATACTTAATTATTTTTTTAAATCCCCGATAAAAGCAAAATATACATAGATTGTAATTTCTATATGCACCAAAAACAAGGTTTTATCCTGAAACAAAATACTAGAATTGTTCGTGAGATAAATCTTTGTTATATATTGGATAGATGTTTGTTATTGTATGTACAATAAATAAACATAACATATATTAAAAACTCAATTAAAAGAAGCAAGACGCTACATGAAACAACTAAGTCTCAAATGACATTCTAATACAAAACAAGAAAAATGGCGAGAATTTATGTAAATACAATAAAACATTAAAAAATCAAGGATAAAAGTTAATTCTAATCTCTGTTTCTAAACAAAGTATTTTATTTTTGTATGATTATGAACAAATATATTAATCATATATACAATAAAAATTAAATGTATCCATAAAATTTATTTAAATGTATCCATTAAATATCTGATTTACACATACCCTTTCAATAAATAGCTGTTTTAATCTGAAGTGCCACAGCAAAAGAGTTTGTTGTAAATTGGTTATTTTCAATATTCATAATATGATTGACCAAAAAACTGTACAATAATAAATAAATACTGAAAATCAATAAAAATACTAAAACTTGCAAGGTTTTTTATCTAAAAGTGTTAAATAAAAATTAGAGTAATAAATATAACAATGTCAATATTTTTTTTATGTCAATCATACTATTATTTTGTTGAATTTTAAAAATATAAAAAAATAGTAAAGATCGGCATCCATAACCTAATAATATCATTATTATTATTACATTAAAAAACCCTATACATTGTCTAGTTAACCTTTCATGGAACACTAACAATTTTTTATCAAAAAAAAAACAATAAAAATTGCAACAGCAAAAATTTTTGTAACTCCAATAAACTGTAACAATTTCATGTATTATTGATAAGATGTATTACTTACAATGCAAATAAATAAATATGTTGGAACTTGGAACGCATCTAATTCCATGGTAAGCTACGAGGCTTGTGTTATGGATTCCAGATAGTTCCAGTTTCAGATACACTACACATATATAACTTTATATAGGTACATACATACATATTATAAATATAAACACCCATGACCGGAGTAAAAATATTCGTGTTCATCACACAAATGAATGCCCCCCAGCGGGACTAACCCGCGACCGCTGGAACAGCAAGTAGGGTCACTACAAACTGAGCCAAACGTGTCACTAGTTTAATCATAAAAAATGAGCTGAGCTTTACCAATACTAATACTTCTTTAGTCAATACTAGTGCTATCATCCCGGTCTCGAAAATTTCGAGTTCGTAGTCGACGATTTTTTCGAATTTTCGAGACTCGAGACTGTTACCTCCAGTCTCGGGAATATAAAGACTTTTGAGACTTTCAAATATTACCATTATTCAAAAATGTACTTAACTATCAGTTTTTATTCCGGCAGCACTGTAAAGTGAAACATAGGATAAAACAACACTTACTTAACTATTGCTCTATCTATTTAATATCTATCCTATCCTTGCCCTATCCAATACTAGTGTGGAAGCAGAGAGGGCTTTTTTTTACTTTTGTAATAAAATCGAATGAAAGTACATTAAATTAAATATTCTTTGTTTTTACGTCCCATTGTAAAAATGACAAAAAAATCTCATAAATAATTCAGAATTTTACTTGTATTTAATATTGTTGAAATACATTGTATTGACTGCCTAGCCTATGAGTATGAAATCTATTTTTAAAGTAGTCTCGAAAGTCTAATTTTTCCCGGGAATTTCGAGACCACACCTAATCTCGATTTTTTTCCTGGGATACTTAAATATAACGAGACTGAAAGCCTTAGTCAATACTATAGAGTATACAGTATATAATAATGAAAATATGAGATCATAACTTCATTACTTTAATACAAGTCTTAGTATACATGATAAAATTTTAGTTTTTTCCTTGTTGGAATTGTATAGATATATATATATAATATCAATATGAACAACATGAAGACATGAAATTGTAACAGTGTCATAATTAATACTTACAAGCAATGGAATGATTTCAGCATTACAAAATATGATAAGTTACATGTCATTTATAGAGTACTTATTCATATGAAGAGTGTAAATATAAAAAAATAATAATAAAAAGTTTATAAATCAGCAGAAAATATCAAATCAAATAAACTTTTTGATATATAATTAAAATTGTTATTTATTATATATTTAAATATAAACAAATCCTCTATAAATGGAAGTATCCTTAATAATATCAATGACATAAATTCGTTAAGTTTATGTTCGGAGACAGCAAGAACTATCACTAATAGATGATGTTTTGCCATTGATGGGACCTAAACTTCCATCGTATTTTGGCAATTCTTTGCATTTTGCTTGCTGAAATTAAAAATAAAAAAACTATTATAGCAGGATCAATTACTATTACAACTGTTTTTAAAATAACATACAATAATAATGAAGAAATCTGAGATTCAATTATACTTCACTATTGTAATATTTTTAAATAAAAAATAAGTTCTCCTGACCGAGTCTGGCCAATCTCACTGAGACTAATCAACTGTGCAGGAGATATTATAGTGCATAAGTGCACTCTCTAGTCCTGCCACTCTCATACTCCGGTGGACGACTCTCCTCTCCTCAACAACTTAACTCTCCAAGGAACAGGGGTGAAACACCACCAACTTACCAACTCTGAGCTGTAACTGAGGCTTACTAAACAGAAAGACTGAATAACTAAACTTGGCCCAACCCAGGACTCGAACCCAGGATCTCCAGATTTGCAGCCGTACATGCTACCCACTAAACCACCAAGGCAGTTAAAAATATAAAAATAACAAGCTACAATATAAAATTAATTTACCTCCATTAATTCCACTGCAATCTCCATGAACAGTCTTTCAACATTTTCAGCCTCCTTTGCTGATGTCTCTAGGAAATACATTCCATGTCGTTGTGCAAAATCATCACCTATGTGCCGAGGGATTTCTCTATCCTCCCTGTCAGTTTTATTACCTACGAAAAATGTTTGCATAGAATTTGATCATGATTAAATAATGCATATTTAGAAAGTAATAAAGAAAAAACATATAGTTTTTTTTCTTATAATTTATATTTAAATTGTATAAAAATATTCTTACCAACTAATATTCTGAGAACTTTATTGTTTGCATATTCTTCTATTTCCCTTAGCCAATCAGGCAAGCAATCAAAAGTAGGTTGGCAAGATATGTCATAAACTAATATTAAAGCATGAGCTGAGCGATAATAACTTTGTGTTATTGATCTAAACCTCTCTTGCCCTGCGGTGTCCCATATTTGTAACTGTAATTGTAAAATTGACCTTACCTTAGAAAATAAACAGTGCACTAGTGTAACCTGACAATAATATACCCTATATAATTATTGTCATAATGAAATTGTTTTTTTTTAACAATACATATTATGTTATAAGTTCATTTTATATCATTTTTAGTTATTTATAGACAATGATATCAATAAAACATTCAGTTTGGCACATATTACCTATTATGGTCATAACACCAAATATAGCAACAAGAATACTACTTTAAGCGTCATGTGAAATATCCTGCTCACCTTCACTTTCTCTCCATCAACTTCTACCGTTTTGATCATGAAATCCACACCTATTGTAGCACCTTGGCCTGGTGGAAATAAACCTTGAGTAAATCTTCTCACTAAACAGGTTTTCCCGACGCCCGCATTTCCCACTAACACAACTTTAAATAGAAACTTATAATCTTCCATAATGAGCACCAACTTACATTTGTCGAAAACTAGCTGAAAGGAATTATAATAAATTATCTCCCGCGTTCACAGTTACGCTTTAGTGAATTGACAGGCATTACATTAAGATATGATCCTGATATTCTATCGCAATTACAGAACGATCAAATAATCATTTTATGTAGATAAGATAAAAAAATATTTTTGATTTCACATCCAAATGGAGATTCCAAAACAACACAATAGAGAGAGCAATGAGAGAAAAAATATCGACGTTTCAAAGTTGTATGTTGATAGGCCAACGCTTAAGCATTTACAGAGATCGATAATTCACATGGTTTAAACAAAATTAATTTGCATTAACAATATTATTCCAATTAAATAAAATCAAGTACAACTTTATAATATTTTATATTATTTTGTATATTATTTAAACAAACTTATTAGCATATTTGTTTCATAATTTGTATTTATAACACGCACGTAAATGCACCAAATAAATGGCAAATTTTAATCAAAACTTGTTATGAATTTTGCTTTTGACGTTTTGAATTAAAAAAAAATACTAAATAATAATGCAAAATTATTTTTTTAGCTTAGTAACTTAGTAGTTATATAGTATACGAAATTTATATAATAGGCATATAAGTGGACATATAAGTAAATAAGATAATATTCATGTAATAGAATTGGTAATATGTGCAAGAAAATAAATAAATTTCAATAAACTATTTAAATATACTTGCAGACTTGGTCGGCAGATTGCTGAGTTTTGCCTCACTTGCCTGCCTGTTCATTTGGTAGGAAATAAAAAAAAACATATCTCAACAACAGTAACTATATTTATGAACCATCAAAATCATAAAATTTTGTGAAGCTGTTTTGAAGGAGAATTATGGACACATACAGTTCAGAATTTTAATATACAAAAGTATTATATACCTATAATATATTCACATCCATTTTTTATGAATGTGTGTACTGAGATATTTATTATTGCTCTAATTTAACTAATTTAGTAAAAATGTAAACCTAATAATAATTTTTGTTGAATTTTGAAATAAAAAGAAAGTATTATATAAGTAATATTTAATTTATTAATAATATAAACAGGATAATTTACAGGGTGAAAAGCTCAATTACATCTATTTACATTATCCAAGCATTTGGTACTTAAGAATATCAGAAAATACTATTCTAGTATTTTACTATTGTAACAATATTATAATATAAGAACTTTAAAATAAATGCAAGCTAAAATTATATTTTCATATTATTAAAGGCACTTATTGATAAATAAATTTTAAAATCCATTCTAATCACTATCACTTTGATCACTCGAGTCACTATTGTCAGAGTCACTGCTATATTGTTTTATGTGAGCACGATTAGTATTCACAAACATATCATCATCTTGCTCAGTTTGTTCCTTTTTACTATCATCAAATTCTTTTGGCCACACATTATTTTCTTTGTAATATTTTATGGAGTCTTTGTTCATAATTTTTACGATTTCGGCTTTCACTTTATCTCCTTCTGTTATGGGTTCAACGAGGATGTAGTCCCCGCGCTTTACCCAAATATTTTTACGAAACTTGACTGGCATTGATACTAAGTATTCTTCTCCAGAAGGCGTTGTGATCTATATGTTAAAAATTAAATAAAAAGCTAGTAAATAAATACTTCAATTACTTTAAATAACAATAAAATCTTAAATGTTTACCTCGTGAAGATTGTTCCCTCTGCTTTTCAAAACTTTTACAATACTTTGATTTTCTTTAGGTAACTCATAATCATCCCAAAATGTCTCGTTCATAACGTGTTTTCTCTTTGTAATTTTCGACATTCTGATAGTTTACTATAAATGTTTCATGAAAAAAATATTCATCAAAACAAATTATTGTAAGTCGCAACCATGGATGACAAATAAAAGTCGCAACTCGAAGATCTTAAGTTCATAACCCAGTATATATCTATACTCTTTGTCATAACCTAACTTTATGACATTTATGATTAAGGTTTTGAATATCGAAATCCATTTTACGTCAAACTTTCAAAGTTGTCACCATAGAGTATATTGCTACACATATAATCACGAATTGTCACGAAGACGGAATAAAAAGTAGTCACTGAAAAAATATTACGTATTTTTAATATTAAAAATTGTCTTTAATTATTATCTATAGCTATACATACTCGTATAATAAAATCTCAGTCAAATCTGTACATTAAATATTTTTTGGAAAATCTTATTAAAATAGACATTATTATCGATACAGAGACTGAGTCTTTAGTTTTCTACATTTTTGTCTGTCTGTTACCGTATCACAGAAAACTACTGGAGGGATTTTGATGTTTGGTATGGTCATAGCTGGTTATCTAGGTTAACATAAAGGATACTTTCTACCGCGGGGAATTATCTTATTTCTGTGAAAAAATACAAAAACTGGTTAGAATAAAACTGCGATGCTAATAAATATACATTTTAGCAAGGTATCTTACTAAATTTTATTTATTATTAAAAATAGCTCAATACGGCAAAAACTATTAAATATAAAAATAGCTTATTTAAAAAAAAATATCAATAGCGCTATTTTATTCCGTCCAAGATGACCAAAAACCAAATTCTTAGGTTTTACATGAGTATACTCTTACAATGCAGTTTTTGTATTTTTTTTTCAGAAATGAGATATTTTTCCGCGATAAAAAGTATCCTATTTGTTGACCCGGATAACCAGCTATCGTCATACCAAATTTCATCAAAATCGGTCCAGTGGTTTTCTCGCGATGCGGTAACAGACAGACAGACAAAAATTCTAAAAACTATAGATTCGGCCTCTGTATCGATAATAATGTCTATTTCAATATTTTCCAAAAAATATTTAATGTGCAGATTCGGCTCAGTTACAATTTTAATATATGTATGGATAGTTCAATCAGAATAACACTTATAATACTACTTGTTATCCCGGGAATATGTACGGTTCATCTGAGATAGATTTGCTTTTGTTTTAGTATTATACATATATTTGTCAGACAATAACAACGGTTACCATGGCAACATGGCAATGTATCTATCTCATTCTCTCGCCGGCTTAGAGCAACAAAAATTTGATTAGTGCGCATGCGTAAAATGCTAAAATGAATGAAGTCACGTGACAATCTCCAATCCAAAAGTATGAATGAAACACAATTTACTATTTAGTATGAACACGGTAAGCTAAAATACAACGTCTTACCGTTGTATTTCTATAAAGAAACGCGTAAGCAATTTGGAAAATTTGTTTGTGATTTTTTGCGTTATATTATTTTCAGAAATTCACGTAGTAATAATAAATGGAATTTTTTATTTCCTAATTATGTTAATTCAATAAATAAATATTTATAATGAATGATAGACAATTGGATTTCTAAAAGGGTATCGTTTCGCCACTGGTGCAAACATTATCTCATATTGAAATAAAAATAAGATAAGTTTCCAGATGTCTTATTTATTGCAGTCAAAATTGCTAATTGATAGAAGTATAATTCAAACCTATATCAGATTCCGGGAATTATTATCAATAACATTGAATAAGGAAAATAATGAAAAACAATAAATTTATTATGTTTTAATGTTATTACACTTTTCTATAACATCAAATATGGTGAGAGACTCCCCGTTGGGTATACCGTAGCCCTTTTCTAGGCCGTGTGGGTTGGAGGGCGTGGTGCAGCACGCGTCCGCCTCCTTCCTCAGCACTTGGTCAACTTCTACTGATGTGAAAAACGCTACTGACATGGGCAGATCGTGGATACCAACCCTGAAATTAATATTTTCTTAGATTTTAGATAGTTTTAAATAAAACTATCTATTTGGACTTTTTCGTGGATTTATTTTGATTTTTGGTTACCGAAGTTTCGAATGCTTTACAGCTATCATGGTCACGGGAGAGACTAAAGTTTTAGTCGTCTCAAAGTGACCTTTGATTATAATGACTTATAGAGTTTATTACCATTCGAACAATATTAAAAATTAACGTTCAGTGAATTATGTTGTAATTAAATACTTTGTAATATTTAAACGTGTTTTCATAAAAATAAATACCTTTGTGAACAAAACGCTCGCGTGAATAAGTTGGTAATTTGCAAAGCCAATGCGGTCTCATATTTGTATTCGTCTGGAACCAGATATCGTACTTCGTCGTGGAAACTTAGACAGAATCTGAAATAATAATAAATTGCTGAAGCGTTCCATATAATATTGCAATTGTAATGAAAAAAAGATTAAAAATTCCGTTCATTTCAGTAATAGAACATTATAAATAAAATAATATTTTTACGTATGGCCCTCGAAGCCAGTTGGGCTATGCTCAATAGTCCAAGATACTGACCTAGCTCGTGGGGCCAGATGGACCATGCAGGCCAGCATGAGGTGCAGGAAGTCGGCGGCGGCACTTTGCACGGCCCAGTTGAGGCGAGTGCCGCCCCATCGCCCTTGAGCCTGCTCCAGGGCACGAGATAACCGCCCTTCTAGAAAAGCAGTGCGAGGAGCAGCCGAGTCTATGGGAGAGAAAGAATTATTAAGTTTATGTTTGTATTCAGCCCTTTTTAACGTCCCACAGCTGGGCACGGGCCTCCCTTCAGTAGTCGGGGGATCACTCCATAGTCCACCACGCTGGCCGAGTGCGGGCGGACTGAGCATGTCTGCAGACAACTTGCTAGGTTCTCGCAGACATGCAGGTTTCCTCACGATGTTTTCCTTCACCGTTAAGACAAGTGGCAATCATGTTGGAAATGATTCGCACATAATAATATCAGAGGTGCGAGACCCGGAATTTGAACCCGCTTCACTCAGTTTCCCAAGCGAGCGAGTTACCACTGGGCTACCACTGCCTTTTATTTTATTAAGTATAGCGTCTATGAAGTTAAGAATACTTTTTTCATATAAGATTCAATCCTAGCAAAAGCAGGTTATATTCCGATAAGATCAGAACATCTGTCAAGCGTAAAATTTATTATTTTAAAACATTGAAAACCTTTTTTTGATTTAATGTTTCTCTTTATTTATTATAATAACATCTAACACTTAATGTTATATTAATTTGTATCGGCACATATAAATGGAACAACTTAAATAAATTGTCATTTTATTATTAAATCTAAAATCCATTTTGTATCTGGCTCAAACATCGATCAAAAAAGTACTAGATACAATCAGCGACATATATTGCATTTGAGCGCACTTTTTAAGTTCATTTTTTTTTGTGAAAACAACTTTAAGTACTGCATTAAAGGTTCAATTTACATTGTTGTATAATTATTTAAACTAGAATAATTACTTAAACACAATTGGTGACAGTTTTAAGAGAACATTTACATGGGATTGTGTATCTAGTACATTTTTGATCGATGGGCTCGAAGGATCATATGCAAATACGAACACTAACCAGCAATTTCTTCTAATTTATTAAACATTTGCGACTCCGTACCGCCGACCCACAGCGGCCTTTCAAACATTTCTTCCAATTTCTTCCCACTAAGCTTAGCTAATCTTTGAGCTTGGTATCCCGTCATTTCTAGTGGCTTAAAAAAAAATAAAAAAAAACTGCTGTAATAAATGCTTTACCCCTACAATATTAGGATAAAATACTTACGTACATAGATTTTAATTGTTAAAGTAAGTGTCGCTTCCCTTTCCATCACTTATTTACATCCCATTTATATTATAAATGTGAAAGTTCAGATATTTGGATGGATATTTGTTACTCAATCACTCCAGAACGGCTGAACGGATTTTGATGAAATTTTGCAAAGAGATAGATTATAGTCTGGAATAGCTCATAGATTTTTTTTCCGGAAAAATGTACGGTTCTCCTGATATAGATTTGTTTTTGTTTTTCACTAGAAAAGAACACGGGCGAAGCGAGTGTGAATTGCTAGTTTTAACATAACTTTAAATTATGTATGGTGTATTAGTGACTTTATTTTCTTTAATATGTCATATTAAACAGAGTTTTTAAACGTTCAATATGCTTCTTATTGTTAGTTAATTTGACTAATGATGACTACATTTAAAGACAAAAATCTCCATGTCAAATCATTAAAATTATTTCCAATTATATAAAAATGATAAAAATCAATATATAACAAACCTGGTCATCAAACCCCTCATCAATAAAACCCTCCATGTATTTCTTCTTCAGTCTGTAAACTCTTCTTCCTTTGGTGGTGGAGAACATTTTGGCGGCTTTACTTTTGGCCTCAGATATAGTCATGGTCGGGTTGAACTGTTTCAGTAACCTCTCTGCGAAGTTCTGACCGGCTCCTGTGAATCATTTTGCCTAAGTTTTTTAACCCCCGACGCAAAAAGAGGGGTGTTATAAGTTTGACGTCGATATCTCTGGGTGTGTATGTGTGTGTGTCTGTCTATGACATCGTAGCTCTCAAACGGATGGAACGATTTCGTTACGGTTTTATTTATTTGAAAGCCAATTTCCATGCGGTGGTTCTTAGCTATGTTTGGTTAATATCGGTCCAGCAGTCTCTTTTCCAAAATGATGTAAAGCATTTTGGCGTATGATTATTCGATTAAGTGCTTCACGCGTGCCAGTGCAATCGTTAAATGACAATTAATTTGCGTATGGAGTTTTTAATTTTATTAATTTGTAATGTATATTTTACAAAATAATGATTCTTATTAAGGGTCTATTCACATCACGTTTTATATACGTAGCGACGACGTGCATATGATGAACGTCGCCCTTATTCTACGCTAATAAACTAAAACAGTCCAACTCACACCACATACGGTTCATAAATATAAGTTTTCTGATTAATAATAATAATGTCGTCCCAATCGATTTCGGTCACGGCGGTCATCTCATTAAGTGTCAATTGTGTATTGAAATAAAAATAAAATAAAGTTAAAGTTATTGTGTGTATTTACTAACAAAATATGATCCTTTGATGGTGGAAATAAATGATATTATTATTATTATTATTATGTACCATATATCCTGGCGTAGTTGATGACCTTTGCGTGGTCCCGCTGCACGCCGGCGGCGCGCGCCGTGAGCGCGTGCAGGTCGGTGCCGCGCGCCTTGTCGCCCGCCAGCACCGCCCACGCGAACGCAGAGCCCCCGCACACGCCCCCCGCGCCCCCCGCGCCCCCGACACCCCCCGCGCCCCCCGCGCCCCCGACACCCCCCGCGCCCCCGACGCCCCCCGCGCCCCCGACACCCCCCGCGCCCCCGACACCCCCCGCGCCCCCGACGCCCCCCGCGCCCCCGACACCCCCCGCGCCCCCGACGCCCCCCGCGCCCCCGACACCCCCCGCGCCGTCCCCCAACAGAGCCGCTATCCATAGCTCCTGCGCACGACACAGGTTATAATAAAAAAATACACTTATACTATTACTAGCGACTCACTCACGCTCCGCTCGGGTTCGTCCCTAGGGTACACCACCCTTATCATTTAGGAGTATGAAAAGTAGTTTACATTTTATTCTCAGATCTACTGAATATACACACCAAATTTCATAAGAATCGGCCATGCCGTTTCGGAGGAGTTTTGTTACAAACACTGTGACACGAGAATTTCACATATTATAGGTTGTAAAGAGAGAAAATTTATGAGTTTTTAAGTTTGTATGTAGGGGATAATCTTTGAAAATACTGAACGAATACTAAAAAATACTTTCAGTAATAGAAAACTACATTACTGCCAAGTGCAGTATGTATGGCAAAAAAAAAACACAGGGACGCACTCGACCAAAGCGTAGGTAAGTTATAACTTATAGATACATATTATTATAAGAAAGTAATAATAATAATATGTATAACAAAAGTGTATAACTACTAAATACTAATACTTGTTTCACTTAACAGTAGAGAATTTTCTTTCGCTATTTAAAAAACCAAGCTTTATTTCTCAAAATTATGTACCTGTATAGATAAAATACATCTTTTCGTCTTTATTAAAGCAAAATCTGTATTTTATACTAACATAGATGACTTTAAGAGTTAATAATTGTGTATTAAAAGCTGTTTCGGTAAATAGTTCGTTTGGACAGATAAGTACCTGGGAGTCGACGTCGGCGCCCACGAAGCAGTGCGCGGGCGGCGCCTGCACCAGCGCGCGCAGCTCCGAGCCCACGCGCTCGCGCTGCGCGTTGCTCGCCGTCATCCACGTCGGCTCTGACGCCCTGGTACGTGTTGTCATGTACGTACAATCATTATATGTCAAAACAAACAATGCACAAACCTATCCCACGGGAACCGTTCATTTTTCCGATATAAAAAAAGTTGCCTATGGTCCATTCCAAACTATAATCTATCTCTGTGTCTAAATTTCATTCAGATCCGGTCAGACGTTCTGGCGTGAAAGAGTAACAAACATCCACACATATTACATACTCACAAACTTTCACATTTATAATATTAACTAGCGACTCGCCCTCGCTTCGCTCGGGTTCGTCCCTCAGTAGCTGCGTTTTAATTTTTTTCAGCGGAACCCTAATTCTATTCCTAAAATAAAATTAGCCTATGTTACTCCATATTAAGTACTATTATTATGCATTATAATAAATAGATATGTAGTTGTGTATGTAGTAGCATGTACATATGTCATGGTATTTGTTATGTATAACTTTTTATTATATGTATATATAATATATATTTATTTAAGTATTTATATTTGAGTAACTGCACTTTAGCCTGCTTTTTTATACTATCTCTCTAACTCTCTACGTAAAAAGAAAAAAAATTGTAATTCGATAAAAAAATTAAAAACTGTATCCTTTTAACTTTCAGAAACGATATTTTTTAGATATTTTTACAAATTGATTGATACAAATAATAATCATCCAAAAAGTACGGATTTCATACTTCGTAAATTTTTAAAAACTCATACTTGGGAATAAAGCCTCATACGAAAAAAAAATGTATTTGCACATCCATGTCCACTAGAACTATAACTGGCCAGAGTATGAACAATTTTCACAACCTCACTTTATTTTCGTTGTCCGCTTCACGCGAAATGCCCCATATATAACACCAGCTATCTTCCAGTGAAAGTCCCGTCAAAATCAGTCCAGCCGTTTCAGAGATTATCCGGAACACAGAGAGACAGACAAAAAAAAAGTGTTTTTCTTATAAGTACCGTATATAATTTTATATGCATTTAGTAAAACGCTGTTATTTTGACATTACAAACAGACACTTCAATTAACTTATTTATCTGTGTAAATAAATGTATAGTCTATAGATTATTTCTTCTTTGTGAACTGGAACGGTCACCACAGCCTCGCATTAAAGGCTTAAGCAGTACGTTGTGTTTGCTTCCATATCCAAATACGCTCAGGTTCGACAAATATGACAATTTTTTTTTCGATTTTCAAAAATGAAAAAAAAAATATTTTTAAAAATCGAATTTTTTTTTATTAATTATGGAAAGCCCACTACCGGACCGGGCTTAAAAGTTGCATAATGGATAGAAGTTTAAAATAGAAAATTTGCAAAAAAATCGAAGGATTCACAAATTTTAAAAACACGATTGAAAACTTAAAATTCAAAAGTCTCGATTAAAACATTTTAATATTTTTTTTATAAATCCAAAAAGAAAATTTTTAAAAAAAATTGAACTTTAAGAAAGTTATGAGCAAAAAACCAAAAAAAGAGCGGTTTTGAACCAGTTATAAAAAAAATATATATAATTATATACGTCACACATACCGTCTAGTCAGAGTGCCACAGACCACAACTTGCGGCAATATGGCACCCACCCGGCTCGAACCTGGGACCCACACCACGGTCTGCCCCATCACACGCTCGCGGTTATTGCGCCAGTAGGACATCATGCGTGCGAATGATAACACCTGTATAGATAAAATATGTATATTTAATAGTTTCCTTAAACTTACGCAAATATTTGAAATTTCAAATAAGACTTCGAAGATCTTTTCGAGGTTTTTGGAGGATTTTGATTTTTGGGTCCCGACGTTTGGAATGCTTTACAGCATTCATGAACATGGAAGAGACTTACAATAAGACGACGTATATTATGACATCAAACTGCTTTCTATAATCACGCTACACTATAAGACAAAAACTCACTTTTTCCGCTTCATTTCCTTGGGCAGATAGAACGTTTTGACTGAACATGTTCAAAAAATCTTTAGCGAGGGGATTTCCCACTTTATATTTAGGTCCATCCTTGTGCGGCAAGCGCAGGAAGTGGCAACAGCCTGTAAACAACATAATAGTATTTTAAATAAAACCTATCATTTTGGTTTTTTTCGCGGATTTATTTAGATTTTTGGTTCATGAAGAAGTAGCATACATAGTCACTTATATTTTTTTCGTTTATATTTGTAAATAGCTACTCAGCCTCGCCTTGCTTCCGGTTCGTCCCCACACAAAAAATAAATCAATCCCACGAGAACTTTACATGTTTCCGGCACGGCCCTGTTCCGGGATAAAAAGTAACTTATGTGCTATGCCAGACTATAATCTATCTCTGTGCCAAATTTCATCCAGATCCGTTCAGCTGTTCTGGCATGAAAGAGTAACAAATATCGGTCCATCCTCACGAACTTACACAATTATTATAATATTACTAGGATATTAATATACTACTAAATGTTTAAGCCTTTTAGTAGATACTTAGATAGAGCAGGGCGCGGGCTTCCCTTTAACACTTGGGGGATCAGTTTATAGTCCACCACGCTGGCCAAGTGCGGGCGGACTGAGCATGTCTGCAGACTTGCTAGGTTCTCACAAACATGCAGGTTTCCTCACGATGTCTTCCTTCATCGTAAGACAAGTGCTAATAATATTGAAAATGGTTCCCACGTGAAAATATCAGAAGTGCGAGACCCGGGATTTAAACCCGCTTCACTCAGTTTTTCAAGCGAGCGCGTTACCACTGGGCTACCAGTAGATCAGTCAGATTAATAGATTCCTACTTAGATTTTTAGACACATTTAATTTTCGGATTCACAAACAAACTCGTTTAAAGAATGCATTTTCCATTGACACGTGTCCTTCAAATACAAGTTGTGATGAAATAGTAAAAAAAATATTTTACTGCCTTTCTCCACCCCTAATTATAAGGGTAGAATAATTACTTAATAACATAAAAACTGATCTGAAATCAATATATGTTTTGAATTAAAGATGAAATATACTTGTACCTTGTATATCAACGCCGCACCACACGCCAAGCCCATGGTATTGATTCGCGGCCGCTTGTTCATCCCGTTTCTTCCTCGCATAATAGGCTCTTCGACCTAAATCTTCCTATTTTGAACAAAATACAGAATTTTATTTGACTACTTATTTAATATATGTATAATAATAGCAGTATGAAATCTATACAGTAGGCGATCGCCTTTGATTTTAACGGAAAACTCGCTAAATATAAAAAAAAAATTGGACACGTGCTTATCGGACTCGCACACCGAGGGTTTCGTAGTATGAAACTTTAAAATAAGTTCATAATAGTAAAACAAATTTTTTTTCGTGATATAACTACAAATTTACAGTTTTCGAATATTTTCCCTTTACTTGTGATATAAGGCAGTGCTTCTTGCCAAATTTCATGATTGTAGATCAACGGGAAGTACCCCTATAAGTTTTGATTCCTTGAAGTTTGCGTTACCACTATAATTTATAACTTTTTATTATTTGCTATCACTGCTTTATAAAAAAGGCTAGTCAATTCATAATAATTATTTCATAAATATGTTGGGACATTAACACAGCACCATCTAGTTCCATGGAAAGCTATAAGGCTTGTGCTATGGGCACCAGATAGTTGATATACTACACATATATAACTTTAAATATAGTCATATTATAAATATAAACATCCATGACTGGAGTACAAATGTTCATGCTCATCACACAAATGAATGCCCCAGCGGAACTTGAACCCGCGACTTTTAGCACATCAAGTACGATCACTACCAACTGAGCCAAACTTGTTATAATTTCTTATAATGATGAACAAACACTTAACCTCCACACTTTTAGGCAACATATTCAAATCCGCTTGAACAGAATCCTCTTTATGAGTCATCAAAGGGCAATTTTCTAGTAACTTCTCTAACGGTACTTGTGGTTCATCGTTCGACTCTTCCCGCGTCCTGCTGTATGGGACCAGGAAACCCCATCCTTCGGATTGGATGTAATGTAGGGGGTAACCTTCCCATGACAGGCGTAGAAGCTTTGGAGTTATCTGTGGATTAGTAAGTATAGTTTAAAAATTTAAAAAAACACACTTTCGATTAAATGTATGGAAATTAGTCCAAGGTCGAGGAGTTTACTAGTAGCCAATGAAGAGTTCCACTATCCATCTGCCATACTTTTTTTATTTAAATATTCGCTTAAGTCCGAGGTAGTTTCTTATGAGGAAAAAAATTGGAAAATACCCGGAAAAATGTAAAAATCTACATGTATTTTTCTAATTAGGCCTGTTACACACGCTTGGCGTTTTTAGGAAAAGATATAAAAAAAATGCGATTTCACGGAAAAGTCACCTATATAATATATTAAAAATGACCCTGTATGCTAAATAAAATACAAAACCTTAATTAAACACATAATTTGATCCAAATCCTTAGAGCCATTTTCAAGATATGATGTTCTCCTGACCGATTCCGACCACGGCGGCCAATCTCAATGAGAATAGTCAACTGCGCAGGAGATATTATAGTGCTCAAGTGTACGCGCAGACACAACGTGCACTCTCTATTCCTGTCACTCTCATACTCTGGTGGGACGACCACTCGACACTCGCGGTGAGAGTGTCGGCGCAGGACCGACGGCTTTACGTGCTCTCCGAGGCTCGGGGGTGAAACACCTCCAACTTCCCAACTCCGGGCTGTTACTGAGACTTACTATACAGAAAGACTTAATAACTAAACTTGGCCCGACGCGGGACCTCCGGGTGTGCAGCCGTACATGCTAGCCACTACACCACCGAGCAAGATGTTCAAGATATATGAAATAAATGTATATATATACCTACAAGAATTACTCATTTAATATTATAAGCTACATTTATTTGTCAGTATTAATGAGCTGGCATTTTTAATTCCACTCTACCATACCGGTAACAAATAACTAAAAATAATACCATATAGACATAAATACACATAAAATGTCACCTGCATACTGGTAGTAATGTTATTAGCTCCGGGCGTCCACTCTGGATCTTTCCCGGGCTTAGTGCACAGCTTCCTGTACCACGCTGGATACCCGGCTAAATACGGCCTTTTCACTGGCAAAGACCTTCCCAATTCATACAAATAAGCAAACTTTTTATATAAATCTTTTATATTATTTATCTCTTTATCATCCCTGTGCTCTAAACTTTCTATATATTCTTCATTTAGGATTACACTATTTGTTTTTGGGTTGATTTTTTTATTTTTTATTTCTACTTCAGTATTCATGGGTTTATTTATGTCACTTTTTGAAATAGTTTTCTTTAATTTGAGTTTTTGTATAGACCAGTCTTGATCCCACATCCAGAGGTCGTTTTTGTATGCTTTATTCTCCATCATACGACATGCTTCATCCGCTTTCGACGATAGTATCTGACGAGACTCTAGTTTTAGGTCTTCGAATACTGTTTCTGCTGAATCTATATATCGCTGCCAGTTTGAATTGACGGGGAGGTACGCGGAACCTTAAAGAAACAATATAAAATAACTTTTTAAAATAAAACAAACTTGGAAAATTATTAAATCACTACATTATAAATACATTTTTTATTTGTGTTTGCTAACGCTGACCTCAGGCTCTAATGTGCAGACTTCCATAATTTTTACCAATAGAAAGAGGGAAATAATTTATAAACATTTAGTTATTTTACAATTAAAACATTAAAAATACAATTAAAATCCAATACCAATATGGGTGTCTTCAAGGCAAGAGTGAATAGGTGGCTACTGAATTAATGCAACTTACCATCAACGACTGCGTTACATAGTCAAGCACTAATTCAGATTAGAATAAAAAAAAAAGAAAACCAACCCAACTCTAACATTCCAGCCAAAGTCACGGGATGAGGGAACCTCTCCAGGAACATAGGCAGTAACTTTTCCAGTACATTGTGCGTGGCGACGACGTCCCCCGCACAGTACTTCATTAGCTCTTGAAAGTTCTGATGAACGTCTTCTAGCTTGCCTTCGACGAACACATCACGGGTTTGCTTGTCTATTGGCACCCCGCAATAGAGGTTATGTACCTGAAAAACGTTAAATGTTAATGGAGTGCTATTTTCTTTATATTTTTATAATCCGTCAAAAGAAAATCAATCTTATATGTGAGCCATTAAGGCATATAATTTTTTGAAGTCATCAAGCAATAAGAAAATTACCATAGTAAAGTGTGAGATGTATTCAGCCGACATTCTACTCTATTGGATTTTGCGGATTCAATAGCCACTTGTTTATAATTATTAAGTCCAAACTAACCAAAAAGCCAGAAGATTTGCTAATTATATGTTAGCTTCTTTTTTTGGCAAATGAAAGTGTTTTTCCACACACACACACACACACACACACACGCACGCGCACGCGCACGCGCACGCGCACGCGCACGCGCACGCGCACGCCCAAGCACGCACGCACGCACGCACGCACGCACGCACTCACACGCACGCACGCACGCACGCACGCACGCACGCACGCACGCACGCACGCACACACACACACACACACACACACACACACACACACACACACACACACACACACACACCACACACACACGCACACACACACACACACACACACACACACACACACACACATACACAAACACACACACGCTATCTAACTTACACATTTAAGATAGTCCAATAATAAAATATAATATTTTATAGTAGTACCCCAATTGTGAATTACAATATTAAATTACGAAAATTCTGAACATATAAATAATAAACTTACATCACTCAAGCTATTTAATGAGCTTATCCCCATCCAGTCATCATCAGTTGGATCTGGTTCCTTATTTTTCGCCTTCAAAACAGTTCTTTGGTAACTTGTTACTCCACTAACACATGTGTGCATTGACATTGTATCCATGAAACGAACACCTTTATAAAAGAACAAAGATAAACTTAATGTTTTTACTTTTTAGTAAATCAAATCTATATAAATGAAAATGAATGCTGGTAAGAGCGTTACTCAAGAATGGCTGGACCAATTCGGCTAAAAATTTTTTTTGTATGTTCCTTAAGGTCCACGAAAGGTTTATAAAGAGAAAAAATGGAAAATTAACGAAAAAAAATTAAAATTTATTTGGCTAACGCTGACTAATAACTATTTATATCTATTTCAAACGTACCTAGCGACGAACCCGAGCGAAGCGATGGTGAGCCGCTAGTATTTTAATAAAATAAAGTTTAAAAACTTTCATAAGACTTAGATAATTGTATAGTTTTGTGTTGCAAATTTATTCAATACTAGCGACTTACTCTCGCTTTGCTTGGGTGCATCCCTAAGTATGCGGATTTTGTTCACAATTTTATGGTTTTTCATTTTTTTGCATGGATAAAAAAAATCTAAAATAAAAGATCTGCCAGTGTATATCCCAAAATCAGTCCAGCTGTTTCAGAGATTAGCCAAAACAACCAGACATACAGACCAAAATGAGACCTTTATGTACTGTATGCACTTTCATATGCATTTAGTAAAAAGTTTTAGTTAAATTTTGACATTACAAACATTTCAATTTTTTTGTTTAGTAACAGATACACTAATTATATTTTTCCTCTACTTAAACATTTTATTTACCTGTCTTTTTTAACCAATATTGCTCTTTAATTTTACTTCTATCATAAGAAACATTGTGTCCAACAACTATTCTTGGTTTTTCTAAATCTTCTCCATTACTTTGTCCATCTGTTTCTAGTGGTATTAGACTATCATATTCTACATTGTCAAAATACTGATGTGTCTCCCCTTTAGAAAGAGGCTCACTGACCCATCCATACCTGAAATAATTTGTTTTAATAAGTATATATGTATAATTTAATATACTTAAATATATATACATTTTTGTAATCTGTCAAGTATTTATGTTGCTTATACACATTTGTAATGAGTTCTGAGAATATATAATACAATAAAGGTATAATCAAACTATATATAGTAAAATTTGGGGGAGTATTTCTTTGTATATATTACATTATATTTTATTCTTTTTCATGTATCTTATTAAATTATCTTCTATTCTATTAAGATTGAAGTAAATTACTGTCTGTTAGTACTAAATTTTAGAAAATCACCCATACATTATGTTATACTACACCTGTGCCCTCCATTAGCTACATCTATTGTTACTTTTCCTAGAGAAAATGTTGGGCGTCGTTAAAACGAAGCTACTCACGCGAATTCACCTTGATAATAATAATTTTTAATAATGGCATAGGGATCTCGGACTAACGATGATATAATTAAAAAAAATTGTGATTTCTTTTTATTTACAGCTTTTTTCGGTCAGTGAGACATTTTATGTTTTATTTAACAATCTCTTATTATAAATTATTTTTAAACATATAATTTTTAATCGTCTCTTAGAAACCTATATTTTGATACCCCACTTGATTGATTCAGCCGAAAAAAAATTTTCAAGACAAATTGATGTATGCAAGTAATATAAATAAACTTTTAATTACATATACATATTTTATTGCTTTTATATTATAAACTAGCGACTCACCATCGCTTCGCTCGGGTTTGTCCTTAGCTTGTTTCTCAATACAAGCTTTCATCTCTATTTTCACCGCCCCATGGGATGATTTCCAGGATAAAAAGCCTATGTCGTTCCCAGGGTCTCAAACTATCTTCTTACCAAATTTCATCTAAATCGGCTCAGTAGATCCAGAGATTACCCCCTACAACATCACAAACTCACAAAGTTTACCTCTTTATAATATTAATATAAATTATATGAAATTCATTAGAAACGGCTTAGTTAGCTTTTCACTATATTATAGTCCAATATTTCAATTCTTTATACTTAAACTATTATTTTATTAAATATTTTATATCATACAAACCAAGCATGAGGTGATACTGCACAAGCCAACGTAGGTCGTTTCCCAGCAGTCATTAAAACTTCAACATCTAGTATTAATGCACTATCGGGAGGAAAGGGGACTGGTTCTGATCCTTTTAATGTATATTTTGTCCAACCTTGTCTTTTTAGCCATTTCTATAATTTATCAGGTTATATTAAAATAATTTTATTGGTACTAGTGACTCACCCTCGATCGCTTGGGTTCGTCACTACTTACATTTTAACATTTAGTATAGATTTCCCAGAGATGAGATATTTTCCGGCAGTAAACATTATCCTATATGTAGACCCAGATAACCAGCCATCATCATACCAAATTTCATCAAAATCCCTTCAGTGGTTTTTCCATAATGTGGTCACAGACGAACAGACGAAAATTCTAAAAACTATAGATTCGGCCTCTGTATTGATAATAATGTCCATTACAATTAGATTTTCCCAAAAATATTTAATGTACAGATTCAACTTAGTTACAATTTTATGATATTACTAGCGACTCACCCTTGCTTCGCTTGGGTTTGTCCCTAGGTTGATTCACCATACAAACTTACATTCCCATTTTCACCCCCTTAAGGGATGATTTCCGGGATAAAAAGTATCCTGTGTCCTTCCCAGTCTCAAACTATCTTTTTTACCAAATTTCATCTAAATCGGCTTAGTAGTTCCAGAGATTACCCTCGACAACGTCAAAAACTCACAATTCACCAAATTTACCTCTTTATAATATTAGTATAGAAAAATAGATGTTATTGTTTATTAAGATATCAATTTTAATAATCTTAATGTATTGTTTAACTAATTCATTTTCAGTTAAAAGAATTCCATTTAAATATTTACTTTTGGCAATTGTGGTAGCTTACTAGATGATAATAAATTTAACAGTTCCCTATATGGAGCACTTTGCTTTTCGCCTATACAGTAAAAATGTTCCACAATATCCTTTCCTTCCAATTTTGGTAGCTTTAACTCAACATCTGGCATATAAGTGTTCTCTTTAAAATTTATGCCATGCTGTTGAAGATGATCTTGAACACTAAAACAAAAGAAATACAAGAATAACTTATACATACGAGATGTCCTTAGCTAATTAAAAGTTAGATAAGAACTTTTACCTCTTAATTACACTAGGATTAATCTCAGGTGTTGGACTTTTAAATAGTTGCTCGTATAAATTTTTTGAAATCATCTGTATATTCACATTATTTACCCTGAATTCTTTAGATGTATTTTCTGGTTTGTTTAAAATTACATCTCTTAGGTTAGAGTCTTTATCTTGTTTCCTATATTTTATAACCCTTGATTCACTTGTAGGCAAAACATCACCGATTTGCCGGTGACAAATATGACAATATGGAACATTTTTTAGTGTCCTTGCTTTATTTATCATTGTTTTTGTAAAAAGTAATGTATATTTTCCGCGGTTTAAATTCAAAATAAACTCACTTCACACTTGACACTTCAGGTGTCAAAACATATTTGACAGCCGATAATTTAAATCTTTTTTTTATACCGCAAGCAAAGATCATAATAAAATCGTGCTAAATAATAATGGATGGAATGGATGATTAAATTTCATTCATATAACAGGCCTTTTTTTATGGAAAAAGCTATACCTGATACATATTCTCATAAATATGATCTAGTAGTATTTTTTTGATTTGGCCATAAGTACATTTTTTTTAATTTGGCTAAACAAAGAAAAACAAAACTAAATACAAGAAAAAAACAAAAGTAAAAACTTTGTCTCCGACCGGGAGTCGAACCCGGATACCTTTAATTATCAATCTTGGACCTTGACCTGTTGGCCGCAATGCTTTTACCCAAGCGTGTGAAATTCGCGACCATATTTTTTTATATATTACTATATATTGGAATAATGCGAAAGAAAATCGCATAAAATTTAAAAACACGAAAACACGCGTTTTCCCAGGCATAAAACTAATCTAGATCGATTTTCGCCCCTGAAATCCCCCACATACCAAATTTCAGCAAAATAGAACCGTTTCTGAAATCGCTGGGAAATACATAAGAAAATAATATAATAAATATATAGGTACACAAAAATTGCTCGTTTAATAATAGATATAGTTTGTGATTCTCAATACCAATTTACCTCTACCCTTCATACTTTCCTTTCTAATCTCTTGCTAGACTGCTCACTGCTCTACCAGTACCTATGTCCTAGATTGCAACGCGTGTAGCTCATTTTTAGTCAGAAATAATTTTGTTTCTAAAATCTTTTTATAATATTTCGCTCAAAAGTATCAGATAGGGAAGAAAACATGCTAATGGGGACTTGACTTGAAAATAGAATTTTGGCAAGAAAATTTTATCACTAATAATAATCTTTGTTTCTATTTACACACATTTGATCATACTTCATATGTTAAATAAAGAATAAACGAATCGAATAGTTTAGTAACACTTTATTTACATACCAATGATAGCATTGATGATTTCATGATAAAATTTATATATTAAATATTACTGTTTTATATCATAATCATATATGTATATCATTTCATATAACATTTTATTAAGAGCAAGGATAAGAAAATAAAACCAACAAAATAAATTTATTTTAACTTTTATTACAGGGTCAAATAATGCTTACATATTAATCTTTCTAAAATACAATTAGGTAAAATTGTGGATATATAATGATTATAATACTAGGTGCAACTTAAAAACAAAAGGAATGTAACAAACAATTTTAATACATTAATTAGTTCTCAACTGATAATCCCCGTTTTGAGTGATATATCGAACCCATGGTAATGCCTGATAGCCACTCTTTTCTATGATTTTGAGGTATCTTACTTGGATACCAGAAGTTGTGAAGTAAGGAATCTCAAATTTAACTTGTATAGGTGGTTTCCCATCAGTATCTTCACATTCAACTGATGGTAGACCAAAATGAGCTCTCATTAAGTATTCTTTGCCACCAGGGAAAGATTTGATAGACCAAGTAATGGCATTTTGTTCTGGTGTGTATTTCACACTACCAATTGTGGTTTTAAATTTAGGTGAATCAGCATCTGCTGGCACAGGGATTATAATCTCAACATTATTAGCTGTTGAACGTCTCTTGAATTGGGACTTAGCTTTGATCATATACTCCACTCTGGAGTGTGCATGGCGTTCAATAACAGATTCTATCCATATCAAAGGTTTTACATGTGTATTTAATCTATAAGACATGAGTTCAAACTCACCATCAGGGGGTATGAATGAAATCGTTCTATCATTTTCAAAACGAGACAATCTGACACACTGATGAAATTTAACATCTTCTAATTCAACAGATTTAGATTTACCTCGACCAGTACTTTCAAAAAGTACTTTATCATTTAATCCAAGGCGTAACTCAGGCATACCAGATAAATAGACTCTCATTTTGATGGCACCCACAATCTCACTTCTTAAAACATTACCATTTGAGTTAGCCAATAAATTAACAGATTCTATCACATCCAGAAACACTTCATTTTTCCTGTATTTAATACCCTCCGATCTCCAAGATACAGCATTTGTTACTGCCATAGGAATGCGAGGTTGCATTTCTAATTTGTGGCCTTCTTGTGTAATATACTCTTGTAAAATTTTGCTATCTGTAGTTTGAGGGTAGCCAAAATCTAAAAGTTCATCCATTAGTTCATAAATTACCACGAAATTATCACGGATACTCTCTTCTTCAAGCTCTTTAAAATATTCAGTCATGACCTCAACTATTTTGTAAAGAAATACAAATACAAGAGCAATATTCGCATTTTTTTTAGTGGTAGACACAATATAGAGATTGTTTGTTTTGATATACGCAAAAGTGCACTCGCTGGTTTGCAACAACGGAGTCCACATGCCTTCTTCTTCTTTCTCCATGAGAAGTGGCATAAACTTATCTATAACACCCATGTCAACATCACCTCGGTAATTCCTCGAGATGAGGACTTTACCTTTTACATCTAATATGTAAACTGCTGACGAAGACATCTTTAGGAACTGAAAATAAATTTATCAATTAGTAATCATTGCTGCCCTAAGATTAAAAACCTGTTTTATTTTGCTACAAAAACCAGAACTAATTAATTGTTAGGAAAGAAAATATGGTTTATTTTTGCTACAGCTTGTTATAAGATATGATACTTACTGGTAAGTATTTTCACTATTCGAAAATCATGGCTTTCCAACAAATTATCGAAAATCTTGATGACGGCGATGACGCAACGTCTGACAATTGATAAACTATGAGTCTGACATTGACAGATGACAGCAATTAGATGATGAATGTTGCTACTTGCTACAGAAGCTTTCATCATAGCCCCTTTCTCTATGTGAAAGACAGCAAGTTAAGATTTTTCTTTATTAAAGTCTATTTCTGGACTTTTTTTCTTTATTAATTTCAATTGTTGCATTGTAATACAAATGCCTATCAAATTTCTACCAACAAGTAATTTTAAAAGAATAAAAAAACAAGTTCCTAGTAAAAGAAACTACAATAAATGTGTATACTGTATGAAATATAGAATTTTTGTATCATCTATGGAGGTCTACCCTACCTAATATCATCGAGCAATCTGCGTCTTTTTGAAATTAATATGACAAAAATAAATATAAATAAAATATCTAGAATCTATACTTACTGTATATACTCAATTCATTGACTTCAATTTGACAATATGTAATCGGATTGACAATATTTGTTAGTTGAATTTCCCTTTTAAAATAAAGACTCCAGCTCATATATGTTAGAGTAGTAAGAATCATTTGCTAATTCCCTTACTCTACGATACTACACTTACGCGCGCTAGCAATACACCCTGTTTTTAAACAACATAGCATAATGCCGCACTTTGATAGACAAACACGCACAATGCGAAAAAACATTTCTTATATTTTGTGCTATTGAATTGGTTGGCCACGCCAAAGCAGTACTTTTCAAAGTGTTCGCTGGTCCGGAGCGTTACTGTAGTTGAAAAGTTCGAAGATGAGCATTATACCGCATAATGCGCTTTAGTGCTGTAATTAGAAAACGCCCACAGACTACAATGAGTAGTAACTACTTAATAGAATTTAAGCTATACAAGCATAGACTACTATTAAAATAAAGTGCATTTTATTGTACTGTCTCTGTGTTTGGACTTTGGGGTAGGTCGGCGTTGGGGCCCACTCTTTTTACTTTGTTTTTGTTTAGTTAGATGCAATCAACGGTTTTTGTCCGATGAAATAATCATGAAATGGTCAATTGTTGTTTTGTTAAGACTTATGTATAAACTTTATTTCTTATAAATGGCAAGCGTGCTGTGATATATGGAAAATAATGATAACGAGGACCCAGCAAAAACAAAGAAATCCTTTAGTGTTCTTAGATATCTTAATCGATGGAGAGAAAGGTTAGCTATTCATTTCAATTTTATTTTTATGACAAAAGAACATATTTTCCTAACTAACATTAGTATTGGTTATGTTAGTATTTCTAAGTTAAGGCTTGCTTACTTAAAATTATTCTTATTAGAATTGGTCGATTTGATATTCGGTTCAGTGGGCCGAGGCCGCGTATATTTTGAATGGTTGATGTTGCAAATAAAGTGCATTTGTAAAGCTACCACATGGTTAGTGTTTAATTGTTACAACTACCATTTTTATATAAAAAAATATTTAAAAGTTGAATTAAAATTTATTATTGAATATTTTGCAGTTTTATGTAATCACTAAACAAACATACAAATTAGTAATATTAATGATATTTACCTTTTATTGGATATTTTTTATAATAACAGTGTCATGATTATATAAAGTTATCTATAGGTTATTAATTTATTTATTTAGATTTTTTTATTTTGTATTCCAGCTGGTCGACTTGTGATAGAACTGAGATACGATGTTGTGCCTAAAACAGCAGAGAACTTCCGAGCTCTCTGCACTGGTGAAAAAGGTATCGGAGTCTATGGCAAACCTCTTCACTTCAAAGGAGTTCGATTTCATAAAGGTATTGTCATTTCTTTATAAAATACTCCACTATTTCTAAAAAAAAAGCCATTATGAAAATTTAAACACTGAGAGATACATTAGAATAAAGAGACATTTTCCTTTCTTAATTTTTATTTCAAATTAAATATAATTCAAAAATAAACTAAGGTGTTTCTAAACATATTAAAAATAACCTTGTTGTTTGTGATTTCCCACACTATACATTTGTATCAACTCTTGATTGAAATGATGCTTGGCTGTTTTAATACAGACCAAGCAATGTTAGCCGTAATGACTATACTATGCATTAAGGAAAATACTTTTGAATACTTTGTTTCTGTGCACATACAAAAACAATAACAAAGTATTATGCAACAAATTTAATTTGTTTACACTGTATATAAATATGTATATACATACTAACATAATACTGTGAAAGTGTTTGTTTGTCTTTCTTTCACGTCGAAACGGAGTGACGGAATTTTTGGTGTGGAGATAGTTGAAGAGCTGGAGAGTGACATAGGCTACTTTTTATCGCGGGAGATCATCTCATTCCCACAGGAAAACACGTTATAATACAACCCAAAATGGTATTAATGCTCTTCAATATAATTAAATAAATACGTGTTTTAACATTTTTCGAAATTCATCCTATAAGGGGGTAAAATAGGGGATGAAAGTTTGTATGATACCTACTTTTTATACAGATTTTTTGTAGTTTTAGCGTGAGCGAAGCCGCGGGTTCTTCTGGTACTATTATCAAGGCGAAAGATTTGTATTTTTGTGTTTGTAATGCGTAAACTCAAAATCTACTGGACCGATTTAGATGAAATTTGGTAAGGAGATAGTTTGAGACCCTAGGATGAACACAGGCTATTTTTTATTACGGAAATTATCCTGTAATGGGGATGAAAGTTTGTATAGGGAATCAACTCAATTCGAGCGTAGCGAGGGTGAGTCGCTAGTATAGTTATATAAATACCTACACAAACTTATTACTCATAGCAAAGGAAATTAACTTTATTATTATTAGGGACCGGATCATATACATTTGCATATTTAGTCCATATTCAACGGTTATTGCATATATTACCTAAAATGTTGTGATGATGCATATTTTCGCTATATTTGCAATATTTGTTGGTAGGACAGTTAATGATAATGAACAGATGAAATCTTACCTTCTAGCGGGCCATATCGATTAGCATAGAAATCGATTCGATAAGAAAAGTTTGAAAACATTTTGTGCAAAAACCCAGGTCTTGAACCTTTGTGTCAAAATGATAGTTCTGTTAACAATTAACATAGCACCCAAATTCAATTACAGTCCAGTTACCTCAGTGGATGTGGAATGGTTTTTTTACTTATAAAATATTTTAGGTGACCAAAGGCACAATTATAGAATAAATACCTACAATGGAATTTTTCGATCTGCCTCTATTTTTAAGTAACTTTGCTGAGCGATGTTTTGCCGGTTTGTTTTTCGAGTTAGGTAGAATTAGGTTTTATTTCGAATTACATTTTAGCCCCAAAAATCTATCCTTGACCACAATGGCATTGCGCTTCACGATACGCAATGCTCGTTTAATGACAATAGGCATATTTACGAGCGGGGATCTAGTGCTTAACGGAAAGATAATGATATTTGATTTTCTAATTCAAAGCTGGCAGGTACTTAATAATATATATATATATATATATATATATACAAAACAAATTTAAACCTAATTATTACTGTACAAGTCATATCCTCGTGGAATTGTGGCAAGAATGCTAGCCACATTACCACACTGAATGGCTCTTGGGCGAAAAACGAATCAGTTCTCTTGTCACCAGTAGAGGCAATAAGATGAGGTGTTATGTTAGTTTAGCAAATAGTATGGGGGTAGCGTCTCACATTAGGACCCGTCCTATTTCCCAAGGAACAAGCGACAAACCATCTTTTATTATTTTAATATATTTACAAAATTATTTACTTTACAGCGATATCACAGTTTATGGTGCAGGGCGGGGATATAATCAACGGAGATGGCACCGGCGGCGAGAGTATATACGGTCGTACGTTTGAAGATGAAAATTTTAAACTACAGGTGAGAGTGTAAAATTTAATTCATTCAATACCTATTTGCAATTGTTATATTTTATAAAATTAACGTATTCAGCCAGCATGGTGCGGGTTGGTGGACTTCACATGTCATTTGAAAACTTGCTAGGTTCTCTTAGATGTGCAGATTCCCCTAGGTTTTCTTTTTACTGTAGTCATGTAGGAAAATGATTCGCAAATGAAAATATGAGAGGTGTGAGACCCGGGAATAGAACCCGCTTCACTCGGTTTCCCAAGTGAGCGCGTTACAACTGGGCTACCACTGCTCTTAATATATGTATTATATTATACTACCAGAACCTGCGGCTCGCTCAGCTCAAAAAAAGCTCTAAAAGGGTAGTTTCATACAAATGTTCATCCCCTCTTTAAGATTCTTTAAGATGAATGTGGAAAAATGCTAAAACACGTATTTATAGAATTTTATTGAAGAGCATTAATACCAAGTTTCAAGTAATAATTCTGATCATAAATATTTTTTTCGATTGTATTATAACGTGTTTTCCCGTGGGAATTAGATAATCTCCTGCTGTAGATAGTAGCCTATGTCACTCTCCAGCCGTCCAACTATCTCCACACAAAAAGCCACGCCAATCTGTCACTCCGTTTTGACGTGAAAGAAGGACATACAAACACACTTTCTCATTTATAATATTAAGTATAGATATAGATGTAGTATATAAAATAATTAGCCATACTTCCGTAGCACGAAACAGGAGTACTCAGTATGGCGAACGCGGGGCCCAACACCAACGGCTCCCAGTTCTGCGTGACAAGCGTGCCGTGCCCGCAGCTGGACGACACCAACGTGGTGTTCGGCCGCGTGCTGGCCGGCATGGGCGTCGTCGCAGAGATACAGAGGCTGGCTGACGATGGAAGACCAAGAGTGGTGAGTTTGTTATTATTGACTTACTAGCGACTCACCCCGCTTTGCTTGCGTTCGATATATGTTGTACATGTATAAATAGGTATGAGTTGTTTTTTTTTTTATATTTATCCCTTCCCCCCGCCTTAGTGGGACGCCGCAGGATCGCTTGCGCATAACTACTTCGGCGCCCCGGCGGCAGGTCTGCCTAAACGCTAGGCAGACCACAGAGAATGATATAATCTATCTATCAATCTCTAGCACTTGAAATATATTCACACAAAAAATCACGCCAATCCGTCATTTTGTTACGACGTAAAGAATGGACAAACAAACACACACTTTCACATTAAAATATTAAGTATGGATTTTATAACTTTAGTAAGTATAAGAGTATAAAGTTAGACTATAAATCTTTTTTTATCCACCATTCTTCTTCGTGTCTTTTTCATTTTACGTGACATTGGCGAAGTAATCTGTGCTCAACCGGCACGCTCTGAAGCCTTTTAATTTAAACAAGAGAATTAAATTGAATTGAGTAGTGAGTTTTTATAATCAATTTTGTATGTTTATATATTTATATTTAGTGTATATGACCAAAAATCTAACGGAAAACGTTTCCGGTTTCTGTTGAAAATTGTTATGTTGTTTTACCAAAAAGATTTTTTCGTTTTATTTAAATCGCGATATTTGGAAACCGACGAAACTGAGACTTTAAGTTAAACCATTGAATCGATTTGGTCAATGATATGAAAGTGATATATTGTAATTATTATTATATATGTAGTTTATTCAGACTAAAGGCAATAAGGAAAGATCAATAGTTCATAATATAAATTTATTAGTATTCTATTATTGCTCGTGGTAAATTGTTTGAAAGTATGTACCCAGTAGTGGATTTATGTTCGATGGCGCCTTAGGTCCATTACTTTTGTAACAATATATATAGATTAATTATAATTTTAACAAAGAAATTCTACCCTTGAAATGGTACTATGTTTAGATTGTAAGAGCGCAAGAAAATAAACTTTTAAAATTTGTTCTCACAGTTTATAGAAAACCCTATGGATTTTTAATTTTAGTCATCTTAAAAATTTTGGCAGCCCTCAAAATTTACCACCGTAGGCCCTCGCCTCACGGGGCTAATTGTAAGCCTAAATCCGCTACTGTATGTAAAATACGATGGCGTGCAGTTTGTATCGTCCGCGACACGTTCCTGCATTTGCGACATTGAAAGTATAATTAACATATAAATTGTACTAAGATATTAACGCTTGTAATTGTGTTTGATTTGTTCTATTTATATTCTGTTCTTTATCGATACACACAGATAAATAAAATTGAAGTGTCTGTTTGTAATGTTTTATATGAAATTATATACGGTACTTATAAAAAAAACACGATATTTCAGTCTGTCTGTTTGTTCCGGACAATCTCTGAAACGGCTGCACTGATTTTGACGCGACTTTCACTGGAAGATAGCTGATGTTATAGGGAGTAACATAGGTTACTTTTATTTTAGAAAAATAATTAGGGTTGCGCTGAAAAAAATAAAACGTACCCTAGGGACGAACCAGAGCGAAGCGAGTGTGAGTCGCTAGTTTATATTATCTTCAATTGTTCTATTTAGTTCTAAATTTCTTGCATTCCGAGACGACGCGACGTCATGAGCCAATTACGCACAAATTATGACGTCATGCGTGACCATTATAAGCGCTAGTTTATCTAATTGAATTGTTTTATTTATTATAGGTACCTACTTACTGGTAGATTTTATAAATAGGCAATATTTGCATATAAAAGGTATCATTGTTTGTTATTTGAATTTATACGAACATTAACTATACATATAGTTAGGTAAATAACAACAAAGTAACAAAGCGAACATGAAATATTCTTTAAAAACAATGACTGTTACGTATTGTGTGCAGAATATATGTATACGCCAAAGCAATAGTTATTGAAATTTTTGTCTGTTTATATGTATGTCTGAGTGCATTATTACTTGGGTTATCCGTTATGTAGGATACCTTTTAGTACAGGAAAACCGTTCATTTCCATGGGAAAACGCTAACTGGTTTTGTCAAGTGGTCCTTAGAAATTTACATGGCTAACGCTGGCTAAACCTTAAGAGATACATAAAAATTATGTAGGTCTATATCAGAGAATTGTAGGTCTTAAAAAGGCCTACAGAAAAGTCTGCAATAGATAATGACTGCATATGTCTATCTTCTAAGGTACACTCGCAATAACTATTGTTATTTATTTAAAAGTACCTAAACGGACGCATCCGAGCGACCCGAGGATTAGTTTGTAGTGTTTACATGTAAAAGTTATCATTATTTGATTTAATAAATAGTTAATATTTGCGTATAAAAAGTAATTTATAGGGACAATATCAGTGTATGTTGGTTAATTTCACCATACTTCATGTACTTTTTGATGTAGGTTGATGTTATAACTTATAAGTAATGCAATGGGACAAGGATAGGTCTTTTCAATGAAACAATATTACATTTATGTCCAAAAATATATTATATTTAAAACGGACACATAAATTAATTTACAATATACTATTTGTGTGTCGCAAATGGATCGCTGAATCAGCTGTTTTACAAAATAGCTAGTTGTTTTACATAACAGCTTCGTTATGTAAAACACCTGGACAACGATTAGCCATTGCGTTCACACAATTCTGCGTATTAAAGTTCAGTTGTTTTACAAAACGGAGCTGTTATGGAAATCAACTAGCTGTTTTGTAAAACAGCGTATTCGTTAATCCATCTGCGACATGCACATACAATTAAATATTTTTTTAATAGTGTATTGTATTGGAGTTCTTAAAAAAATAATTAAACATTAAACTTTACATTCTTTTTCTGATTTAATTTTCATATCAACTCAATAGATCTAATTGTATTGTGACATATATAGATTTGTTTACTTAGTACATTATTTACATACAAGCGACTCTAACAAAATTGCTTTAAAAATATACTTTGATCTAATTTCTAAACTAGTTTTCTAACGATGAGGAAAATTTAAATAATTAATTTGTTAAATAAAACTATCTTTTCGGATTATTTATCGGGTTTATTTTGATTTTTGGTTCGGGACGTTTCGATTGCTTTACAGCAATCATCAGTCTGTCTCTCCCTTGACCGTGATTGCTGTAAAGCATTTGAAACGTCGGGAAACAAAAATCAAAATAAAACCGCGAAATAATCCGAAAAGATAGTTTTATTTAAAATGTCAAATATTCGCGTAAATCTAAAAAAGTATTAATTAATTTGTTTTCATTTCAAAGGAATGCATAATAGAAGATTGCGGGGAGATAAAAGATCTAGACAGCTGGGACGTGTGCTGCCGGGATGGCACGCTGGACCAGATGCCGGAGTATCCTGAGGATCTTCGCACTAATCTTACCGTAAGTTAATTATTACCAGATTGACAGTATTCAGTCCCTTTTTTAACGTCCCACTGCCAGGCACGGGTCTCGGGATCAGGCCATCTTCCACCACGCTGGCCAAGTGCGGCTTGGCTAGATTGACTATTTATATATTATACTATATATACCTACATATAGTTATAGATTGCCTCGGTAGTCTAGTGGTTAGCGTGTACGGTTGAGGTCCGGTCTTGGGTTCGACTCCTGACTGAGGCGAATTTTTTTCTTTTTATTTATGTCAGCGAGCTTTATTAATAACATACCTTACGTTTACTTGACATATAACGAGCCTTCTAGACTGAAATATGGCAGAACCCCCATAGAAGTTCTGCCACCTACTCGCCAAACCAGTCTATGTTAGCCAACTGATATGTTATTAATTAAGAAACGTTGATGATGTGGATATAATTTATTAATTTTGTAGATGAATTTTGTAGAACTGGAGTATGGATAAGCTTTTTGTATCTTTACAAATGGTACCCAGTGGTAACATACCTGTTTAGAAAATCGAGTGAAGCGGGTTCAAATTCGGGTCTCGCACCTATGATATTTTCGTGTGCGAATCATTTACAACGTGATTACCACCAGTCTTACGGTGAAACAAATCATTTCGAGTAAACCTGAATATCTATTAGAACCTAGCGATTCTTTAAAAGACATGAATCCGAAAACCCGCTCTTGGCCAGCGTGGTGGACTATGGCCAGATCCTCCGAGTATTAGGGAGCCCGTGCCAAGCTGTGGGACGTTAAAAAGGGTTAAATACAATATGTTAAATGTACATAATATTCACTACCGAGTAAATTTTCTGTTTTCATATCAATAATATGTATGTTTAGTTTTATTTCATTCTATTTATTTATAGCTTTGAGACTTTGGTTTTGGCCAAGTTCAGTAATGTCTCGTAAATATATGTAGGAGACACGATGAGGATTGGCCGTTGTGAAATAACTTAGCGTTATACTTTACTAGCGATTTAACCTTGCTCTATTGCTTCCTTCTTTGAGCCGTACGTTTAATAATAAAATAAATTATATAAAAAAAATAGTCATACGTGGCTTTTTAGTAATGCCATATTTTAGCAATTGTTTTTATTATTAGTATAGTCTGTGAGACTCCAGGTAATTTATCTTCTGTTGCTTTCATTCGAATCTACCTAGTTGTTTCAGCGTGAATGATTTGAATGAGTGAAAAACATACACACGCATATATAAACTTGCGCTTTTCTTTTTCTTTTGTAAATTGTTTTGAGGAATAAATATATCAAAGCATATAATCTATAAACATAAATAAAATTGAAGTGTCTGTTTGTAATGTCAAAATAACAGATATTTACTAAGTACATATGAAATTATACACGGCATTTACGAGATACTCGTATAAGAAAGACACAATTTATAAAATTTTTGTCTGTCTTCTGTCTGTTTGTTCCGAATAATCTCCGAAACGGCTGGACTGATCTTGACAGGACTTTCACTAGCACATAGCTGATGTTATAAGGTGTAACTTGGCTGATTTTATTTTAGTAAAACATATAGGGTTTCGCTCATAAAATAATTAAAACATACCTAGGGACGCATTTGAACGAAACGAGGGTAAGTCGCTACTAATCTATACAAATATTATAAAGAGGTAAAGTATGTGAGTTTGTGACGTTGTAGGGAGTAATCTCTGGATCTACCGAACCGATTTAGATGAAATTTGGTAAGAAGATATTTTGAGACCCTGGGAAGGACATAAGATACTTTTTATCCCGAAAATAAGAATGAAAGTTTGCATGGGGAATCAATTACTTAATATACCCCATACGACAATTTCAGTTAGAAAAGCTGATGCAACAGATACGCAACGTAAAGGAAAGCGGTAACAAGTTGTTTGGAACTTTCCGATACAAAGCGGCCGCCAGGAAGTACCACAAGAGCCTTCGCTACCTAGAATATGCGAAACAAAGTTTACACGAAGTTAAAAAAGGATATGAAAGTTGTAAGTAGATATGAACAAACTCTTGTCTATGACGTGGTAATTCAATTTCTAGAGTCCATCTCACGATAGAAGCTCCGCGGCAAAAAGTGGAACTAATTAAATTATCGGTCATGTTGTCGTCGTTGTCAGGTGTTGTTACCGTGTTCGGATGCAAAAAGATGTGATTGTTGTATGTCTGGAATAAACCAAACCAATGACCATAATTGTAGAATTATTAAAATTTAAAACGTTTTTTTTTATTTTATTTACTACTACAAATAATAGACGAGTGCTTCGTTCTTTTTTGCGAAATACCTGAGGCTCAGGTCTTGAGCGAACAAAATGTGCGATATATGTGTACAATGTATTATTTTATAATGTGTATCAACTTAATTTATAAAAACTATAAGAATTAATTGTAAAATTTTATATTGAAATTTGTTTTGTTTGAGTCTAAAACCATAAAGGCTAGCAACATTCCGTCGCATGCGGTTCGGCTGTAGCACCGCGTTTTCGGGACTCCTTTCGTGAAACGGACTTAATGAAGACTCTAGTTTTATTGACTCACAGTAGCAAAAATGTACAGATAACTCAAACTGTATTCGCAATTAGGCCAACTGTCAAATGCGTGTAAAACTTTTCAAGTCAAATAAAACTTTGCGTATCCATTAATATTTTGTATATTATTGATATTGCTATAATCGCAATAATGTAAATTCTATTTTTCTAGCCGTCCTCCCCTTTGTTTATTTTTTTGTCTGTCATATTTTTGAAAAAAAAAATGTTTCTTATACAAATATTGTCTATGTTTGTAATTTGTTTAAGGCTCGAATTAGCCGTTCCCTACATATAAATACACTTTTTTTTTGTAGAAATAAAATGTCGGGTCCAGTGATTCAGTTAAGGCGATGATGTATAGTTTACAGAATGAAAATAAATATTTTTTGTGTTCAGATTATGAAGAAATAACAACATACACCCTGCAATGTAACCTGAACTTGGCCGCCTGCTACTCCAAGCTGGAGGACTATCGAGCCTGCATCAGGAGTTGCTCGGAGGTACACAGAATTTTAATACAACTACAGTGATATTAGTAAACAAATCTGTCTCAATGGTCTAGTGGCAAACATGTACTAACACGTGGCCAGCAGATACGGAAGTCTGGATTCGAGTCCCGGTTCGGGTCAAAAGCTATTGAGTATTTCTGTTAAGAAATTTGATGTGATATTTAAACATTTTTAATAATAATAATATTACAGGTACTCCACATCGACCCTCGCAGTGAAAAAGCATTATATCGTCGCGGTCAAGCAAACTTCGCTCTCAAGAACTACGACGCAGCCCTCTCAGACCTCAAACACGCGGATAAAATATCGCCAAAAAACAAAGCCGTACAAAAACTTCTAGATGAAGTGAGATTGTCAAACAAAAATTACAACGATCAACAAAAACAACGTCTCTCAAAATTTTTTCGTGAGCAAAAAGAGAAAAGTGCCGCTGTCCGACATCACTGAGATAAGGCTCAATGTTAAGATATACAAAATTTTTTGAGAATATTTTCAGTGTTGCCTGTTTAGTGTTGTTCGATTGATAATTGAATTTTTGAAAGTGGTAACTTTCACGACAGGAATGTGCCATTTGCTTAAATTATGGCGGTAGTTTTTGAAAATTTTAATACTTTGATCTATACCTACTGAGTGCTGGAGTTTTGTAATAATCAATTAAAAACATATTATAGCCGTATAGATAAGAACATTATCCAAACGAATTTGACATGTTGTATCATCCATATCGGGTATATTTAATAATTAAAAATTTCTTAAGATATTAATAGATAAACTTTTGAAATAATATTATATAATAGAGTAAAAATATAAGTAACAAAAAATTACACCCAAATTATGTACCGTCGAACAAACATTCGAAACTTCATAATATGCATAAATCATAAATTGAACAAACATATTGTGTGATATTAAGCCTGTAAATAGGCTGTAGTAAGTAATTAAAAGCTAGCCATCTTCGTTTGAAACGAAATAAAAAAGCTAAACATTCTCTATGATCTTCCCGCCAAAATTGACTAAGATTTGTTATGGTTAAAGACATTTATTTCTCTAAAGAACACACTGTTCACTTATACAGAGATTAAGTACAATATTTAATATTTGTTGACAAAACAATTATGTGCTAATGAAGAAAGAATTAACATTGAAATTAAAAAAAAAATGGATTAAATTAGATCTGTCACATTAAAATCAATAGTTATTTTTACTTCGCTGTATTAGATTGTTGATTTGTTTTATAAATTTTTTTAATATTGTTGTTGTGCGAGATTGTTTTAGGAAAATTTTTAAATGTCAATTGTATTTCTATGGGTGGAGAACGCGAGAACCCTCGAACTCGAGACAATAAGGGTAAAAGTTGTAAAAATTGGCTGTTTAGAATTAAATTAATTTGTACAAACAAATCGATGCACCATTGTGCTTAGTTAATTTATATCGCACGCATATTATGTAGGTACTAAAATTTTGTTATCATTCATTATCGGATGTTTGCAGCTTTGAGATGACTTTGTAATGGTAGATGTCACAATTTTTTTTTTTTAAATGAGAAATTAATACTCGACGGTATTCGTATTCTGGCTTATTATAGTTGGATTGTATGTTTACATTTTTAATATTTGTTCATTATAATCATTAAATTCTTTTGTAGATAAATATATTCTAAATTGTCTTTGACTGGTTTTCTAATATGATCTTTTTTTACATTTTGACATTGAAATCTAAGATAAAATTAATTATTATTATTGTGGTATGTAAATATAATTTACTTAAGCAATATTTTTCATCTCTTACGTATACTACATTGATCTCTATTTTTTTTTTATTGCGTATTACTTAATTATTATAAAATAATAACATGTAGGTACTATTTTTTTTTCTACGGACTTATAGTTTTATAAATATTCATTGTTTTGGTAATTTCCACTTGTAGTGTTAACATTGAGACGACTGTTTTGAAATTTTGATTGTTAGTTCCTAATGTAATTTGCATTTGTTATTTTACTAACAAAATGACAACGGACCAAAGTTGATCAGCCGTTCCTTTTATAATTTTAAAAGAAATTGAGATTTATTTTTTATGTATTATTTAAAATTAATTGTAGGTTATTCAAAGTGCTATATTATTATTTAAGGTCCAGTTTGGTTTCATAGTGACCACGACCCGCTTAGTCCTGTGTGAAAGTGGTTCAAATATTAATGAATATCAATCGATATTTCGGACAGTCTTCTACAAATAATGAATTAATAATATTATAAATTTTAAGTAGTACAACATTAGTGGATTTTATGAGTTATTGATATTTTTGTATAATGGCGTTAAGACTATATGCTTTGTTGAGGAAGATTTATATCTAATACTTGTACAACGTACATGTCTCTGAGTGAATGAGACAGATAACAACTGTTTATATCTCTTTCTCTCTCACTTGTCAAAATGCAATGTAGTTCCGGACCAGTGATATATACATATATGTATGTAATAGTATTAGATATATGAAAAAATACATTAATAGATCTTTCATACATCTAGATAATTTATATAAACGTAGTATTCAAAACGCAATACGACCACGTTAGAGACCACGGTTGCTGTGGCTATTCATTATTATATTATGGTCGCGGTCGCTAGTTGATCTCGTATATTAATACGATAAGCGACTTACTCTCACTTCGCTCGGTTGTGTTGAGTAGAAAATAACTATACCACAATTTTTGAATGTTTTTGAAGAAACGCGATTTTTTTTTATTTAAACCAAAAATTTAAAAAAAAAAATTTTTCGTTCCACCTTAATATAAAGTACCTATACACATTTTTATGGGAATAAAAAATAAGCAGTAGCACTCACTGATATATCGCTTCATATTAGTGAAAGAACTTACAAACTTCACCTGTTTATAATATTAGTGTAGAAGTTGGTCGTTGGTAACCGTGGTCTCGGCCGTGGTCGCGCTGTTTGTGAAGGATGAATATTAAATATAATATATACATATTTCATTGCTGTTTTCGTCTCCATATAGATGAGGAATTGATTTTACATTTTTTAATATGAAAAGCGTAACAAGAAAATTATAATAAAACATCATCAAAGTTAACTTTGAACAAAAAAAAGGTTTTTACACCAATTGATAATTGACTTTTAGATATTCGTATTTAAAATGTAACAAAAAAATGTAGTTTAAAATGAAAGTTTATTCAAATGAATTTAACAAACAAAAATTTAATCGAGTGTTCACTCCCTTGTTACCACCTAAGGCCTAATGGCATTGTTCATTTTTGTAGCTTCGAATAGTGGCGGGCGGCTAGTGTAATATTTTTTTTTATAAAATCATTATTATTAAATAAATATTTAATTATAGTACATTGAGCTAACGTTTTGTCGGCCAACGCTTAGTGGAAATTCGTAGTATATATATATATATATATATATATATATATATATTCTCTTTAATGTGTTGTTTGATGTTTTGATTGTAATTAACTTATTGGATTTTTTTATGTTGTTTATAAAATTGACATATTATTATTATTATTATCGGCCTTATTATGATCTGCGCCTGTTACATGTTATATGTACACACGGTTGTTGCTCATTGTACTATTTTATAGCTTTTTACACGTAATAATTTAGCTTTAATATTATTTCGTCAATTTTGACGGAAGTTAAATACAATTTTTAATACAAATAACTTCACATTGGTCCAGTTTAATTGAACTCTACAGACTCATTAATAAAGAAACCAATGACAGACGATAAAAACAAACAGTTATATTTAATTTTTTTAGAACTAGTTGTTGCAAGCAGCGCTAGATTTACACTAGGGGCGCTCGGGGCGGTTAAATTCGGAGGGTGGGAAAAAAAAATTCTTCGCGTTATCGAAAATGCTTTTATGTTTCGAAAAATGAATAATTAAAAAAAATTAAGTAGTACATTTTTCGAAAATTTAAAATCAATTTTTTTTTGCATTTTTCAAAAAATTAGAATAAAAAAAAAAAGGTTTATCGAAACTTTACCGGATTTTATGCAAAATTTCAATAATTGGGCGGCATTTTTTTACTATGCCCAGGGGCGGCGGTTTGGTTGAATCAGGCACTGTTTGCAAAGTGAAGTATTCGTTTATTTTACATCAAGGAATAATAATAATTTTCCATTTTTTTTCCCAACGTGAGGTGGTTAACTTAAGCATAATACACATTTTGATATAAATTAGATAAAAGTCCGTATAAGAAAACGATAAACAAAATGTAGTTTGTTGAGACAGTTGTTCGTCAGCATGATATTGATTCCACTTTAAGTTAATTTTGTATTATATAATAATATACGGGATTTTTATACATGTGTTGTTTTATTTGGTTATCTCTGTTGCTCGGAATATCGACGAAAAGTAGTAGCATTTGTACAGTTGCATTTCTTTTGTTGAGTGAGCCCCTTTATGTGGATGTTCCGATGCAAATTTTATTACACAAATCTATACAAAACTACAAACGGTGAAATAATTTTTTTATGAGATAATACTTTATTGGGTAAAAATTAAGTTAATTTTCTAGGTATTCTATATATCATCATCTATGGTTTTCATATCTTTTCTCAAGTAAGTCTTCATGGGGCTTATCACGTACAAAAAAAATGTTCAAATAAATGTCATTAGATGGCATCATATGTATCGATTTGTTATTGGAGATTTACATGTGAACTGTAAAATAAGCAAAAGGTAAAAAATAGACCCAAAAAAAGTGAACGAAAATGAAATTATACGCGTAAATTATTTATTACACAGATGATGGGTTTGTGAGGTTGTTGTGAGCGTTTTTACTCTTTATTATTTCTTAACCACGATAAAAAAAGTATTTTTTTTAAATAAATGCGGATGAATTTTGCAATAATTAATTTTATTTTTCACATATAAAATAAATCAGTTCGACATATTGCGGATTAACGACATCTATTATCTATTCAAGTAACCAAAAATAATTCGAATTAGCACCGTCCAATTTCTTAATATAGGCCAGCCTATATTAAGAAATTGGCATCTGTACTAGTACAGTAGTCATCTGTGGTCTTATTATTAAATCTGGATATTTCAAATAAAACACAAGTAAATTTTAAAATGGTTTTATAAAACACAATAAATACAGGCTCTAAAGTAATGACAACAAAAATGGTGGGCACGCGATTCATTGAAATGGTCAGGACGGCAAGTACTTTGGGAACAATCACTTTATAATTACTGTATCTCGCTATATCCTAAATGACAATTGGCAGTTACAATTTAAATACTGTTTTATTAGAAATAGATATCTTTTTTTCATTATATTTTTTTATTTTTATTTTTAAATACGCTGTTATATTTAAGTGCATTATCATTATTGAATATGCTCCAATTCCCTATCGAATTAAGATGTAACAAGCACAGCTAATAAATAAAAAAATAGCCATATATTATGAGAGTTGCCAACTTTAAATAAAAGGATACAGTGATTACAAAGTGCACACTCACAAGTTTAGGACAATAGAACACTTCACGTACAGTTAACGACAATTACAGACAAAATTGTCTCATTTTATATAAAATTACGTTTTTGTGCATCTTATTCACTTACATAGCGAAGCAAGCTTGCAAAAGCTGATCTTTTTGTGATGCGATCTTTGGTAAATAATAAAAATAAACGCATTTGTGACAATTTACCCAAATTTTCTAATTTTCTTAATAGAGAAGACACCTCATATTAGTAATTTTTGAAAATTGCAATGAGGTGGTTCCGGTACACATATATTCAACTTATAAATAACTTTCTGTGAAAGTCAAAATAAATCGAGAACTAACTCAAACAATATTGTACGCGGTCATTTTGAAGGGACACAATTTCATACGTCTTATATTGGAATAAAACATGGATATTTGCCTGTATTTAGCATGTTATTGCTAATTTAGTATTGTACATATTAAAAAAAATAATATGAAGTCTTCACTGCGATATAAGCTACCTTCATTTAAAGTATCGTTCCATAGACTCATAGCATTCAAAACAAAAAAAAAACAATGTCATCAAAATTAAAATCTCGCAGCAAGACCAGACTTTGAAAGATCTACATGAGAAATGATGTGGTAAAATGACTAGGAGAACGTAACACTCGTGCAAATAAAGAATGCTATTATAAATGGCGTCAATAACACCGACGTAGAAATATATAATTGTAACAATTATTATAATGCTTTTATCGAAATAAATGATTGTCGCTTAAACCACTACATGCTGACAGCCCAATGTCGCCGCCATTTTTAATTCCATTCTATATGTGCACGGATAATAATATATAGCAAATTAGATATTCCGTTTGAATTCACGATTCTTTGTTGCCATTATTGTCTATTGTAATGCAGATTAAATATAAATGTAGAGCTTCTTTAAGGGACCTTTTTAAGTATTTGCAATAAATATATTATATGTATATCTTTTTACAAATATATAATCCGAAAAGTTTAAAAAATACGACTAATATATTATGTATAATATTTTCGAATAATGAACTGTAGAACTGAGAATCCAAACGGTCACAGGTATACTTATACTATATAGAGAAAAAAATACAAAATTTCAAGCGTAGTGAGATTCGGTGTACACTAACACCTTAAAACTAATCAAAAAGTGACAAAAAATAAAGCTTTCGTACAAGGCATGTGTGTCGCCGCCATTAAACTTATACTACAAATAAATTAATCGCAAAAAAAGCCTATACTTTTTCCATATAGAATCTTCAGATACGACATAATTGCAATTACTAATACAAAAAATAATGTTTGGCAAAACAAATCGGCACTTTATTATTAAAATTATAATTTACTATGAAAATTTGAAATAAAACAAAATATATCTGAAGATTCCCATCGCCAATCACTAATTAAAACACATATCCACCTAATTTTACAAATTAACACTAAATCTTTTAAAGCTACGCTAATATACGACAATCTAAACAACAAAACAAGCCTAAACACAATTTGGTATAACAACACTAATAAATAACCTAACGTAATAAGTTTGTCGATCTCTAAAATCTTATTTTATAAATAAATCGTTAAAATTAGTCTTTGTTTATTTACACGAGAAGCTCAGTACTCGGCCTCGAACATGGTCCTTCGAGCCGGATAATTTTTCACGTCAATATAATGCGATTTTCCCACTGCCTTCATAATTAGAAGACTTTCGTTGGTAATGTTACTAGTTAAATAGAAAGGCAAAAAAAGCAAGGCTTTTTAAACTTCTTCATAAACCGTACATTTCATTTTGACATATGGAATAGACAAAGTTTTTTTATTAATATTGTTTTAGCAATGTTAACTAAATTTGTTATTCAATAATTATATCAGTACTTTTAGACGAAGGTCGTATTTGAACGTTTATTTTATAAAGTCGTTTAAATTGCATACTGGAATAAATATTTGGTCAAATTCGTGTAACAATAAAGCAATGCATTTCACTGATATTTTATATAAAGTTTCTTTAATAACGACAAAGTCAAAATTTGACAGTGTAGCATTGTGGCAGTGTCGGTACATTTAAGTATATAATATATGAGGTTAATATTAAGTTAAATGAAAATGCATTTGTAAGTTTTTTAGTAAAAATAAATATTTTCATGTAACACGTTTATCTTCATGCACGTTCCATATTAATACTTTATAAGAACATAGAGGTAAAAAAAAAGTCCCCGACGAATTGAGTACCTTCTCCGTTTTTTGAAGTCGGTTAAAAATAGTAGATAATACTTTACGTCTTTCTCTCTTTTCCTCTCGTATGAGGACAAATACCAGTCATTCGAAAAACATTAGCCCTGCACAGAATCAAATGCGCAATGTTCGTATTACACCACTCGTCTTTCCAATAATAATAATAATTATATATTAATACTCTTATTGAAATAAATCAATTAATAAAAATTCGATTCAAAATGAACAACCACGTTATGTGACCGACGAAAGTAAAATTATATAAAAAAATAATAAAGCGAAAATCCCAAAAACAATCGTCTTGTAATATGTATATCATGATATACATTACAGCACTGATGTAAATTTGAATTATTTATAATTATTTAAAAATATTTTTAATCCTCTGTGGAGATAAGTGATAATACTTATTTATCTATAACTTTAGCTGCAAAATTAATGTGAACTTATATAGAATGCTACATTAAATTAATGTATTGGGACATTAACACAAAACAACATTTAGTTCTGCGGTAAACTACGAGGCCTGTGTTATGGATACCACATAGTTGATATACTACAAATATATAACTTTAAATACATACATATTATAAATATAAACACCCATGACTGGAGTACAAACATTCGTGCTCATCACACAAATGAATGCCCTCAGCGAGACTCGAATCCGCGACCGCTGGCACAGCAAGTAGGGTCACTACAAACTGAGCCAAACGTGTCGTAGAAATTATATTAGTATTATGTTAGAAAAATATAATTGTATATAAATAAATGAGAGTAAAAACTCACCCACCTCCACCATATTCTAATCTCAGTACAATTGTGTAAAACTAAAATATATCCAATAATAAATAACTTAATCTATTGTCATGAACTGAACTCAAAAACTAAACTTAAAAATAACAAATTTTAAACAAGTACTGCTTTCTCTCATATTTTCCTTCTTAGACAATGAGTTTCATTTACTATTTTGATCTTTATTATGTTACGTTAAAAGATAGTAGACAGATGTTTTGGTTTTTCATTCACTAAGATAGTTTTTAGATTTTGTATTATAAAATTTGAAAATTGTATCTAACTTAAGACTTTTCCAATATCACCAAACTAAATGATGAATTAAGGCGCTTTCACCGTCGTTTTGGGTTTAATATTGACTGCTGCTCGCAATTCTGAGATTTTCATGTCAAAACTCATTTTTAATATGATTTTATTCGGGCAATTATAATAAAGTTAGTCATTTAAGTATTTATAATTTCATATAAATATTTAAACGATTTAACGGTTTTTTGTTACATCATATTTATATTTGTATTTTTAAGAGATTCAATTTACGTCATTTAAAAAAAAAAAAAAAACAGCATCTTTTAAACCATGGTTCCATAAAACCTCAAATATACAAACAAAAGTGAAATAATCATAATTTTGTCTTTATCTGTCTTTTAAATTACAAATCAGAGATTAAAAATAAAAGCCGACCTAAATATTTAATTTTGTAAGAACAATACGCTCATGTTAGTCAGGAATGCACTTGTGACTAGTCACCAAAACTTTATAGAAATACAATAATTTAAATTATATAAAAATATCGAAATTAAAATGATAAATATTACTTTCAGTACAAATAACAAAAGAAAGCTATCCTTTACGAAACGAATAAACGAGAAAGAGACGGATATATTACTTAAGCGTTACTTGAAAAATGTCACAGTCATAATTCGTTTGTTTTACGAGCTAGAAAAAAAAACAAACATATTATAATACTTTCTTAGATTTACGCGAATATTGGACATTTTAAATAAAACTATCTTTGTTATGTGGCTTTTATAGGCATGCCATTTGGGCACAGTTTACTTCGTCAATGTCGTTTAAAATCGAGAAGTTTTTCAGAGTTTTTCGTAGATTCATTTTGAATTTTGATTCCCGACGTTTCGATTGCTTTCAGTCTCTCCCGTGACCATGATTACTGTAAAGCATCCGTAACTTCGGGAACCAAAAATCTAAGTAAATCCGCGAAAATATCCAAAAAGATAGTTTTATTTAACAAACAATAATAACACGTGTAAGCTAAAGCGAGCGTGCGAAGCGCTTAGTCTACGACGAGCTGTCGGTCCCCGGGCTCCTGTATCACCGACTCGGTCCTTTCTATATCCAGGGGGTCTACTTCTGGGGGCTTTTCGCTGGAATTGTTAAATAATACATATATTTATTTAATTTCATGTATAAATTTTTGCATATGTCGCAGGTATGTTGTAAATTTATATTATATTATTATTGTTATTTAGTGAAATTATAATAAACCTAATATTATAATACCCTAATATACGTAGAATAGAAGCAAGTTTAACAGCTGCCTTAATTTTTAACAAATTTTTAACAAAATCATAATTTAATATTTGTATAATCTGATTTACACAAAAAACACTATAGAAAATAGCAATTTTTGTTTATACTGATATATTTCCCTCAGCTTGTTTTTATTTTTTCCCTTAAAAGTTAAAATCTTTTTCCGGGTATCTTTTTTAAAATTTTTATAAAAAATATCAAATTAGCCAAATCACTAAAATTCTTATATGATGTACGTTAATTTATTTTCAATATATAGAAAACTTACATGTGGTCTGTGACGCTGCTAGCGATGTTGAGGGACTGCGGCCGTCGCAGCCAGCCGCAGCGCTCCTCCTGGGTAACAATTGTTTTTTTGTATTCAGGATTAAAATACCACAATATATATTGAGCTTCGACCGAACTTTATAATTAGTTCTTAAAAAAAATCCCTAAAAGAAAAACTGGCAAAAAAATAATAATTCAAAAATATTTTATCATATTTATTTACGTCGTCTCTGTACACTAAACAGTAGTCCATGTATCGCTACAGGTCGTAGCGTACTAAACTCTATTGTGTACCACACACTATACCTATTTACTAAATGACATCCAAATCCGCCCAGTCACTGCAGCGGAGAGGTGCAACACACACACACGCACACAAACACGCCCACACACACGCACGCCCACACGCACGTACACACACACGCACCTGCGGCGTGAGCACAGCGCTGAGGTCGGTCTGCGTGGCGGCGGCGGCGGCGGCGCGCGGCCGCGACACGGCGCGCAGCACCGCCTGCATGCAGCCCTGCAGCTCCACCACCTGCACACGTTATTGTTAATACACATTCAAAAAAAATTATGTACAAATCCGACTCAATAACAATTTTATTATATGTATAGATAATAATAATTTATGTAAATTCTTTCAAAATATCTCACCTGAGCTTGTAACGACACACAAGTTTCGGTGAGCTGCCGCAACGCTTCCGCGTTGTCGTCTGACTCTGAGACTGTACTCTTTGGATCTAAAAAAAAATCATACTAAGATAAAATATACTATAGAACAACCAAAAGTTTTAATAAAATTATAACTTCTCCATAAAATAATACTCCGTTAGAGGTTTTGAACATCTTTAAATAATCTTGAACATACACACAATTTTTTTTTAACTAAACCGTTATGGTCCATTTGGTCTTAGCATTCAAATAAAAGCTTATTTTTTTATATTTTAACTTTTTATAATGATTTTTTTACTTTTATCCGTATTCTTTTCAGCAAACCCTTTTATTTGATATGCATATCATAGAGGTGCATAAAAAAACAGTCCACCATATTGGATTTACAACGACATCACTTTGCTTATTGTGTTTCGCTCATCAAGCCCTTTCATTTGATGCCCATATTATAAAGGTCACTATAGAAATGAAAAATGGCCATTTGGCAAAGTCCGCCATATTGAATTAAAAATAGCGGCATTTAGAAAATCATGCAGTCACGAGAACTAAACGTGTGTGCCAAATTTCAGCTTAATCGGACACTGGGAAGTGGGTCAAATTTAACTTGCAAGATTTGATTACAGACAGACACCGGCACAAGTGAAACTAAATAAAAGCTTGTAATAATGTTTCTTTTTCTCGATATAAAACAAGTGCTGTGTATATAAAAATACCGGAATAAATATATTATAGACATCAATTCACATAAAGGGAGATTTAATGACTAACTTCACAGTGTAGCCAATAACGACTAACTTCATACCGTAATCTAAATCTGTCGTATCGTAAAAATTCACTCTCACCATTTTTTTCAAAGCGCGCCAAAAGAAGTGTAACTTCAAAAATATTAAAACACCATAAAAAAATTGCTAAAAATATTAGAAAAAATATTATATAAATCAATATTAACCAAACCGACCAGTACTTTGTAGAGTTGACACTTTCTTCCATAACGCATTGATCGCTTGCATCTGTAGTTGTTGTATTTTCCTCTCACTCTCTAGCGCCGCTTTGGTGGCCTCCATGTCACATGTTAAACGTCTAAAAAACAGAAAAAATGTTGTTTTACTAATCTAAATGAGCAAAATATAACAATAGTAATAACAACCCTAATAAGTTAAAGGTAACATCCCAAATGCAGACAAGAACTTCAAAATATGGGCAATCTGTCTATTACACAAAGCAAATGCTTGTTCTCGGACTTTACAGAAAATAATGCTATCAGACTTGAAGTTTTTTTTCATATTTTCCTTCACCATCAAATCAAGTGATTACCACTTAATACAAACAGCATGAATTTCAAAAAATTCGGCATATATAGTTTGATTAGTACAAAAAAATGTCTTGAATTGTTGAGTTCTGTTTATTTATCGAATTTTGAAGTCTGTTTTTTAATATTTCTTTTTTGTTTTAGTAATAGAGATTTTACTAATGCTGCTTTACTTAAACATAAAACCAATCATAAAAACACTTACTGTATATGTTGCCTGGCCCTTGCCGCTTGAATTGCATGTAGAATCCTCAGAGTATCCTTATTCAAATTCCTACTCCTGTAGCCCCTCCACATCTTCTGTATGGTAACCGCTGCCATAGTCTCTACACTCATCTTCTTTTGCCTCCTTTGATTCGATGCAAGTTTTATCACTTCGAGCTTATCCGGATCTATCTGATCGTCCGTCACACCATTCACTTTCTTATCATCTTTCAATTCTATACGAGATAGGCTCCCTTTCCTTTCATTCTTGGCTTTTAATTTTGGCGAAGACGTAGCACTTTTAGGTAATTTTGGTGAACCTTTTAGATTTTTGTTTATGGCTCTTTTTTCTTCATTCAAGCTATTGTTACTGGACTGCGAGGATGCACTGTTGTTAGAATTGGTGGGTTTTGGTATGGTTTTCTGTATGTCGTATATGGGGTCTTGGTAATCTGGGCTCATTAGGGATTCGGGTACTGGCACCATTTTAGATGCAGATTCTAGGGAATGGTTCATTGGTTTGGATTGCGGTTGTGGTATCTGTTGCAATTGTGGTATCTGTTGCGGTTGTGGTATGTGTTGTTGCTCTATTAAAAAAAAAGTAATGATATATCATTAAGTTTTAGCGCAATGTATTGACTTTGAAAAAGCAATCAATCACCAAAGATTTCAAGTACTGAGGCTGATGAAGCAATTTGCTATCTATCTATATTTTTGTTATGTACTTAAATACAAAGTTGATGCTTATTTTATTGTAAATTAATTTATAAAAGTACTTGATTGATAAAATTAATCGTACACTAATTTGTATGGCGATTTAAAATTATTTTATGTTTAATTACAATAATTATGTTATTTTTTATTTATTACTTATATTTAAATTTGAACAAATTCTAAAGTAAATTATTATTAGAAAATAATAAAATAATTCAAAAATATTACATATAACTCTAATCCTATACATTTTTTGATACACTCACGTGGAGTGCTCTACTCCGGTCGGGTGAGTCACAGGCCTTGGTGTTTATTTGATCAAACTAGAAATACTTCTTGTACTTTATTTGTATGATTTATTAATATGTATAGTTAAAATACATTTTTCAGCTTTTATAAAAGTAAAACGTATTGTTTAAAATGTTTTATAGCATAAAAATTAACATTTAAAAATGATTAATTCTCTTTTAAAGTTCAGGAAATTGATAGTTTCACAAAATAAGCACCTAGACGACGAGGTGAAGATATATTACATATCGTTGGCCAAATTTATTAACCTACTAAGCCCATTTTTGAACAATTTTACTTTTTATGTCGGTCAAAAATTTTAGACGATTATCTACATTATGTGAAAGGAATAGCGACGAAATGAATGTAAAAGGGTTAGAAAAATATCAAGGAAAGTTTGAAATTATACAATTCAATTTTTTCTTCGTCAATACACTCAGCAGGTTAATGAATAAGGCCGATGATATTATGTATATGTGCAACCCCACCAGTCCCGGCCACCTACCTCTGTCCCGGTCGGGCGAGTCCCGCGCGGGGGCGGCGGCGGGGGCGGGCGCGGGCAGGTCGCCGGAGCAGGACAGCGACATGGCGTGCTGCGGCGAGGCGCGCTGCACGCCGCCGTGGAAGCTGGACGACAGCCGGTCCGGGGACCGCCCGATGTGGCGCTGGGAGATGCGCGCTGAGCATATACAGTTATAATTAAGTAACTTTAAAGGTCTATTTTTAACTAGCTTTGCTAGGCGGTTTCACCCGCGTTAAATTTGTTTGATTATAAACATCAGTTTTACAAAAACGTGTGGAAGTCATTTATAATTACTGATCCGCTCCCTTGGGTAATAGCATGATGTTATATAGCTTATAGCCTTCCTCAATAAATGGGCTATCTAATGCAAAAAGAATTTTTCAAATCGGTATAATAGTTCCTAATATTAGCGCGTTCAAACAAACTCTGTCTCTTTATAATATTAGTATACATTATTAACCTACTAACGAGGTATTAGATCCATAGTTCATGTGTTACTCTAAATCATTGTTTATCTGTGTACTAAATTTCACCAAACTCCATTTAGCCTTTAAACGTGAGACAAGTAACAAACATATACAACTTTCCATTTATAATACGATAAATTAAAGAAAAAATCATCAAAATTGATAAACAACTTAAGGATATTGCAAAACATACAAGCAAATATATACACAGGAATTGAATATAATCAAATATAACAAAATGGTAGTAATCATAATTGTATAAAATGTTTTTTTCCGCAATAATATATAATTTTTATTTTTTATACAAGTTAATATCGAAAATACTTAACCCATTTTAAATATTAATAAATAAATACCATTTATTTTCTACTTACATTGCATTCTAGGTGACTGTATCCGAGACTTCACCGGGCTGTGGTTCTGATCCTTCAACTGTTGTTGATGATGCTGAGCCTGAAAAGAAAAGTCAACATTTAAATATAATTTTCTAATTGATGACGGATTAATTTATTATATATAATAAATAGAGCGGAACGAGGGTGAGTCACTAATATACAATAAACGAAATGAAAAGAATATCATTTTTATTACGCATTTGGAAATCTAGATTTACACGAATATTTGAATAAAATTATCTATTTGAATTTTTTTGCAAAATTGTTTTGATTTTGTAATTGTTGTGTGTTTGGTAGCATGCTTTACAACAATCACGGTTACGGGAGACCGAAGAGATAGTTTTATTTAAGACTTTCGTTCTTTTGCGCATGAGTATCCCACGCTATATTTTTGATTTCTCTAAATATACCTTTAAAAGGTCAAAGAAATATATTTTATAATATAAGTATCACAAAATAATAACAGTCTTTAATTAAAGGCATAGAACTTACATAAACCAAAAACATGGATAAAAAATTCCTAACATTGTACCATTCCTAAAATACATCATATCAAGTATTTGACTAACAGTTCTATAATGAACCTTACCTTGCTGAGCACAAGGCGCAATTTCCTCTGATCCTCAGTCTCCAGGGCGTCGGCTGTCAAGGGGCAGGTGGAAGCGAGGTACTCGCAGAGCTCCCTCTGCTGGCCGGTGTGGAAATGCCGGCCTTTACCTTGACTGTAGAGCCATTCGGCCTTGAGGCTGGAAATTTTAATAATATTACTAGTTACTAATAGTACTTAAGTAAATAGTACTTATTACAATTAACATGCTCGAAATATTCTCTCGAAAAAAGTTCATATATATAAATATATATATATATATATATATATATAAACTTAATAAATTTAAGAAACTTTACGATCCTGTACCAGAAGATGGGTAACGTTTAACAAATATAAGCAAATTATGCATACATTTTCATGACATCATATGTAAATAATAATTTCTTTACCTTTCTATGGCGCTAACGATGAACCCATCAATAGATTTAACACTCATTATCCAGTTGAGAACAAAAGGACGGTAATCGAAACCTCTGCTTACTTAATGTAAGGAATCATAAATTGTGCTTTATAACTTTTTATATATGTACACAAACGTCAATTTCCTTTTTAGAAATTGCGTTGGTCATTGAGAAGATAACAGAATTTTATTAATAAAGTGGTTCAATGGAGACAGCCCAAAAAAATGGGTGCTTGGATTCCAAAATCATATAAAATTATTTTTAAAGGCAATTATGTATAATGGAGAATTTCAATGTTTCATATTCAATGATAATTAGGCAGATTAGTAGATACTAATACCTTTTACAATATGTACTGTTCTCTCTGAATAAAGGTTATTTTATTTAAGAATGCCAAATGGCTATAATAAAATATTAAAAATGGAGTGGCTCCACAGATAAAAAAAGACTTATTTGAAAGGATACAGTTTGTCCTTCCCAGCCATAGCCACACACGGGTTCCCTTGAACTGTAAAACTGTCCAACTGCCCTAAATGTACCAAATGCGATACTTCATTTAGATCTTGTATGTTGTTGTGGGCTAAACCAAAATGGGTCAAGTGCGGTGGCAAGTAGCGGTCACATTGACGAAGGTCCACAATCCGATTACGCTCTAGATTTAGATGCTGAAAAATTTAATGATGAATTTATTGACATATATAAATTACTAGTGAAAAACAAAAAAAAATCTTTCCTTCGGGAACCATACAATTTCCGGGATAAAAAGTAGCCTATGTGTTATTCTAGACTATAAACTATCTCTGTGCCAAATTTCATCCAGATCCGTTCAGTCTTTCTGGCGTGAAAGAGTAACCAACATCTATTGATCTACCTCACAAACTTTCACAATTATAATATTAAGTATGGATTATGATTATAATGCTTTGTTCATTACTCATTGTGTATTATTAGTAAGCAAGTGTCATTTATTCTTCTTTTCTTAATATCTAGTTATTTTTTCTTTGTATGAGCAAACATTTTTTGTATGGAAATATCAAGTAAATAAAAAATATGGTACATTACATATATTCAACCAAGGATATAACAACAATCACAATGTTCTTATTTTGAAATCATGTCCTTTGCACATAACTAACAACAAATTTGCATTCTATATCACGTTCATTATTACTAGTGATATAAAAACAGAAATATGAGAATATTATTTAATAATAAATGGAGAGCTAATTTTTTTTGTTTGTTTTGTTTTTTTAATGTACTATGCGGGCGGAGCCGCAGAAAAATGTTAGTTATTTCATAAAAATTTACTTAGGGGCACATAATGATAGAATGGAAAAGTACAGGTTTATTTATTTATTTATTTATTTATTTATGTTTAGTGGTCCACAAAACAAATGACAATCAAATACATATAAAATAAGAATAGCTTGTAAAATTAATGCACAAGATTGCATTTTTCTAGATGCAGACACAGCATGCATATATAACAAAACTTAATATTACAAAAAACAAGATTTAAACTACGGTAACAATGAGGAACGGCTTTTATCTACTAACAATAAATAAAAATCTTAAAAAAAAAATATATGAATTACAGCTATTAAACTAAAGAATTTGCTTTAATTTTTTACGTAAATAGGCTATAGAGGTATTATTAAAAATATCTAATTTAAAACGAATAGTATCATACGCTGAACACATGCGGAATAATGGCGAGTGGCTTATTACATTAGTTCTCGCGTTGGGAAGACAAAATGTCTTACGATTTTGTAGACGACTACTAGGACGTGGTATTATATTATATTATTATTATTATTATATTTATTCACAGGTTAGGAATAACACAAGGTAAATAAAGCAATCAGTTATTACAATATGGTAAACTCACCTTTAAATTCTTTAAATATGAAATATCTGCTATAAATGATATTTGATTGTTGGACAGATCCAAATGTTCCAAGTGTATATTGTGGTTCAAGTGCTCTATTGATTTTATATTGTTCCCTTGAAATGCAAGCATATATTATTTGTATGGACAACTGACAATATTAGGGGCTCTGGGCCCTTATTTTTATTAATGTGTAATAAGTAACAACTGATAACTGTTTGTAAATATGTTGTTTGAAATTATGGTAAAGATATTATTTTAATTTCAGTATGAAAAAAAAAAACTGTACATGCCAAAAATATATTCAAATAAGTACATTCAGTTCAAACATATTACAAATCTTTTTAAGTTAAAAGAATACAAAAAATGGGTGCTTTCTTTTTACTTACCAGCTAACTTTAGCACTTTTAAATAAATCATATCCTTTAGACCTTCTATTTGTAGAATGCCATTGTTATTCAGAGCCAAGATTCTAATATTAGTCATTCGGGAAACTCCATGCATGCGGAGTAAAAAATTGTTGCATATTGACAACTATAACAAAATATTTATTATAAAATTCAATTAAAGTATTAATCAAAATCAAAAATAACTGAACTTTGATATGTTAGGTTCGTTTTATCTTCTATTCTTAACAAGGCATCCAGTTAAATTAACTTATAAGTGCAACCTCCTGGGTTTTATTGCTAAAATATAGCATATAGTTATATATATATGCCATGCATAGGGAAAAAAAATAATTATTCTTAATGTGTTGGCTTTGAAAAGACTACAAATGAATAATTTATTATTCTCTATAATTCCATGCAAATGAGATCATGATTTACATTTTAATTTATGTTTACTCAACAGATGAGTGCAAAATCGATGATGACTATGTTGATTTAGAACTCTGAACTATAATATTAAAATTATCTTACGTTTTCAACACGGTTATAGGTGTCGATATTATCCAAACGTTGAAGTTCATTCTGATCAAGAATCAAATTGATAATTGTCTTAGATTCATCTGGAGGCGCTTTCTCTATTTTCTTCAGCCCACGCCTCGATAAATCAAGTGTTTCATTGTTAGAGTCGTCTAAAAGCGAAACTAATTATTCATAAACATAAAAAATCCAACAGTAATTGAAAGTAAACATTAACTTACCCATTTTTATTAAATATATAACATGTTTTGGTTTTAAAAAAGACAAATTTTACACTTCTTCTCAAAAAATCAACATTTGTAAATTAACGTTCGGAACACCAAAACAAACTTCAAGTAATTGTCAATGTAACATTGATTATTATATGTGTTAATTATTTTAATTAAAATGTATGGGATTAAACTATGTTAAATATACAGATTTCGTATTGAAATTAATTATATATTTCTTTATTTAAATAATGGGAATGATTGAAAAAATATATATTTAATATTTTGCCACGCCTTTTAAATTAAGCCTACAATTACATTTTGATTAGTTTTGGAACAGTCCTGAAATGACATAAGAGTGGCTACATTCATTTTACTGGTATGGTGACGTCATCTGCGTCAAATATACTGTGATCGCGACAAAATAGTGATTTCAATCAAGCTTGGTATTTTAATCGACATCGATTATTTTTTATAAATTTAACAAAATGTGTCAGGTGCATTTAATGTTTTATTTATAATTACATTTAATTTTCATAATGAATATCAACATATAATTCTATTTCATAAAATATTACTGAGAAATCGATAGCTTCCTTTCTTAAAATATAATGCCAACTGTAAAGTTGTAAAATTGAAAATAGTTTGGACAACACTACGCTTGCACCGCGGTGGTGTATTTGTTAGTGAGGTTAGTGTTATGTATTATTACGAAATAATTGTTTTTCTTATTGAATAACTAATTATAAAGTACCAAAATGTTGTTTGTCATAACTATAAGAAAATTATAAACTTTTATAATTTGCTTTAAAGATATCATTCATTCAGATTTACCTTTAATTAGAGGGACGCGGCAGTTGACATTTTTGGATAAACTAACTTTCGATAGTAGCTAGTGTTTGATACGAAGGTTCTTAGTAGATTTTCCTAAGTTATACTCGTATGAAAACAGTGTTTACAATAACATTAATATAAAGTAATCAAGCAGGACACGTTTTGAATCTATTTATAGCTGATATGGTGTAACCTCTTTTAGGCGGGAGAATGGCTTTGGCAAAGGGCCTGAAGCCCGCGCAGATTGTAGCGGTGATATTAATTTGGCGGCTTTTGTCAATTTTTGTGGTACAATCCTGGTACGTGCCTGATGAGTACTGGCAGACCTTGGAGGTGGCACATAAACAAGCCTTTGGATATGGAGTTTTAACTTGGGAATGGCAAAAAGGAATCAGGAATTACCTTTATCCTAGTGTCGTAGCAGTTTTGTATTGGTTGCTGAAGCTGACTGGCTTGGACTATCCAGAAGCTGTGGTATTTATTTAAATATTCCAAATAATATATAAAGTGGTATGCATAAGTGTCATACTTACAATAATATTTTTATATTTTAGGTAATTGTTCCTCGTATCTTACAAGCACTTATAAGTACAGCAGCTGATTACAGCTTTTATAAATGGACTGGTAATAGAAAGTGGGCTTTATTCTTAATACTTACATCATGGTTTTGGTACTACACTGCAAGCAGAACATTGCTACAGACCTTGGAAACAGCGTTTGTTGCAATTGGGTTGTCTTTATTCCCATTTAAGGGTGGAAAGCTTGGTTATTATGAAAAAGGTTTGTTTTTTATATGTAATAATTTCTTATTATGAAATATCCATACCACAGATTAAATACAAAAATGCTCTACAAAGCATTTTTTATAATAGCTAATTTACATGTTCTATTTTTAGAAAACAACAACTGGATATGGTTAGCCTGTTTATCAGTGTTTGTAAGACCCACATCAGCCCCTCTCTGGCTTGTCCTGGGAATATATAACCTGATGACCACTAACCAGGGCAAAATGACACTGGCATTAAAAACATACTTACCTATTGCGTAAGTAGGAAATACTTTATTTTAATTTAATTGTATATTGACAATACATGAAATTAATTTTATTATGTATTAATAATATATATGTATTATTAACACCTCCGTGGTTAGTTCCGGGAAATCAATTGTTAACTGCCATGCCGGCATGTTCATAACCGTTGAAGCATTAATAATATAAAATAAATAATAAGGAATATGACCTTAATCATACAAATATTTTAAAAAATACATCCATATGCCCTATTATTTTTTAATTTTTGTATACTTTTGTAATATTTTAATTACATTGTTTATTTTTTAGCCTCCTATCTGGAGGGACTCTGGTGGCATTGGATACCTACTGTTATGGCAGGTTAATTGTTACACCTTGGGAGTTCTTCAAATTTAATATCCTTCATAATGTTGCTTCATTCTATGGAAAACACTCATGGTTAGTATTTTCTTTTACTTATTTTTAATTTATTTATATAGGATATTGTTCACTTGTTTTGAGATATTTTTTGTTCACAAAGTAAAAAAACATTTACTAAAGATTATTTTTTAAATAAAAAAGAAACCATACATTTTAAATAAATTCTCTTTTTTTTCTTCCTTTTTGTTTCTTTTTAATAAATTCTTATCACATAAGTCTAAGAAAGTATCATACATACGCATTTCTAAATGATTATGAAACAAATAAAAAAATGAAGGAATGCTACATGATTTCATTTGTTTTTATATGTGAAAAATGTATTTTTTTTAATTTATAGGCATTGGTATATCACACAAGGTCTTCCAGCTGTTCTTGGCATCAACTTGATACCGGTATTGTGGGCAATCATAAAATTAGTTCAAAGACCTAAAGAAAATAGAATTGGGCTAGTTTTATTGGCGGCTGCTGCTATTCATGTTGCAGTGCATAGGTAAGAATAAATTTTATTATTAAAATGCTTTTTGTTTATACTTATATTACTATTCATAAAAGCAATAATGCGTAGGATTCACATATTGATGCTGTCCTATAAATATATCATACTACCAGACCTGACCACGCGTTTTACTTATAACTTACATTTATGAAGTAGTTTCCGAGTTCATTGCGGACTAACATCGTAACACGGGATTTTTGTATATTTAGGGTGGGTTGAAAAACATAATATTTTTTTTCTTTAGTTTGGGGGTAGAATTTGTAGTTTAGGGTAGCTGTTTCTCAGGTTCTCTCCTGATATAAAAATCGTTAATTTTGCAATAAAGAAGGGAAATACAATATTATAAAACTATCCTACTTTTAAAATTGGAACAAATCACACCACACACAATTTATTATAAATTTATAATTATTGTGTAAATAATAATTTCAGCTTCATACCACACAAGGAATTCAGATTTGTCTTACCCATTCTGCCTATTCTTCTATATTTGGCGCAAGATGTTATTGTTCCATGGAGTAGAAAAGCCAAAAAGTAAGTTATTATATTAATTAAAGGTATATAAAATTAAATAAAAAAAAAACAACATTATAATTAGAAACAAATTAAAACTTTAATATTTGTTCAGTTGATAAAATATTGATGTACTAATTTTATTACAGATGGCAGTTATATAGTGTAGCTTTAGTGATTCTCTTTGGAAACCTTGTGCCGAGTTTGTACTTTGGTCTTATTCACCAAAGTGGAACATTGAAAGTGATGCCCTTGCTCCGAGAGGCCATTCCCAACAACCGCTCTTCTATACTGTTTATGATGCCTTGCCATTCAACACCATTGTATAGGTATGTTTCTTGTCATTATTGTATATTATATATTAATGTATTTTAACCCTGCTAAGGTTCTTTCAAAAGGCTAAAATGAAACCCTTTAGAGTAAATTGTGTGACTGTTTGTCCATCTGTTGGTTACAGTTTTATATAACAAAATAAAGTTTTATGCCAACTTGTAGATGAAGTTTAACTTGTTTTACCTAATTGTTATACTTTCATGCAAAAACTATTAAATGGATATTAATGCCTCCACGACCGCGGATACGCCGGCGTTACAGTTAACAATAGATTTCTTAGAAATTTAATTAATTTCTTAGAAATTTACCTGGAGGTGTTAATGAATCTTTACAGCTCATACGTCAGAACAACACAAAGGCTACGTTTTATCTCAGAATAATGTACAGTTCCTGTGGGATAGATTTGCTATTGTTTTTCTAATATAGCATATTGTCATTAGGAGCCATTCAAGTATTACGTAAGCACCAAAGGGAGGCGGGGGGTCTGTTCTTTGCTTACTTTAGATGACATAAGGAACGGGGGGTCTGGATGGTGATTACGTCAGCATTATTTATTTATTTATAATAATTAAAATTTCGTATATTTTGATTTCTCAAATTATGTTCAAAACGCAACATTGACAATCCTACTTGTCTATTCTCAAAAGCGAAAAGTATGTTCAGGGATTCCCCGAAATAATAATTGAGACGTAATGTTTACGTAAGCATAGGAAAGGGGGAGTAAGTGCTTTGCTTACTTTTGCTTACGTAATAATTGAATGGTCCATTACCATAAATAATGTTTACCTACTAACCCATAGCCATTTGCACACCAACATCACCACCCGCTACCTGTCCTGCGAGCCTACGGGCGCCGGCGCGGCGGAGGCCGAGGCCTTCTACCACAACCCGCAGCGCTGGCTGCGCGCCGAGTACAGCTCCCGGCAGCCGCCCACGCTGCTGGTGCTGTTCGACGTGCTGCGCGGCCGCGTGGACGACTGGCTGAAGGGGTACCAGCTGCTGCATGAGCTGCCGCATACTCAGGTGTGTACTCTTCTTTATTTTATAAAAATCCTTACCTGGATTTTGATTTTTGCCTATGAACTCAGTTGTCCGCCAACCGTCACTCGGCCAGCGTGGTGGACCATGGCCTGATTCCCCGAGTGTTGAAAGAAGTCCCGTGCTTAGCAGCGGGACGTTAAAAAAAGCTGAGTGGTAATGGCAGGTGTATAATACCTGTGGTGTGTACCTTTTTTATGTTAATCCTTACCTGGGTTTTGGGGGTTGCCACATACTCAAGTGTGTATCACCTTTAGTATACACTAGTTTTTGCCTACAACTCCGCATGCGTGGTGCCAGTTGCCATATACTCGTGAGTCGTGTGTACTATCTTTATTGTGTGCTAGTCTTTATCCCTGGTTTTCTAGTAACTGTAGCTGGCCAAAAGGTTACCATCTGCTCCATGAAATACCGTATATTCAGATGTGTACCATCCTAATTGTATACTAATTCTTGCCCGCTGTTGTGCTTGCGTGGTAGGTTCCAGGTAACCTACATATTGTGTAGCTGCATGCACTAACTAAAATGGTATCAGCAGCTACTTGAGGAGCCATATACTCAGTTGTATATCTTCCTTTATTATATGTATACTAATTCTGATCTGCAGCTTTGTTCGGTTGGTAGGTTACCTTGATATCTATATCATAAGTTATATATCATAAGTCCATAACATAAGACATCTCCATTCAGAATTGCAGATATTATTGTGTTTAATCATAGGAATCAAATAATTTATTATTTCCTATTTCGTAGTTATAAAATAACATTTTACTTACGCTTTAGTAAATAAAATTATAACACGGAATACTTACCTAACAAATGTAAAATAAAATGCAAACAATATATATATATATATATATATATATATATATATATATATGTTCAGTATGCATGGATAGACTGGATACAGTAATATTTGTAGTTATATTAATATTTGTAGTTATATATTTGTAATAATATGACGGATAAGTACTGTATATTTTGTTATTAAATAAAGTTAATTTCATTTTAGTACATACATATTTTTATATATAGGTAAAACAACAGAAATTAAATTTAACATATTAAATTCAAAACAAATCAATTTAAATAAATATATGTTACTATTTTTCCAGTTCCCAGAAGGAGAGGTCGGTGAAAAAGTGTTGTTGTACAAGAAAATATCGAACCAAGCGAAACAAAATGACGAAATCGTGCAATGATCCATGAACTTTATACTGAATTAGTAAAATATCAAATCCAAATATCTCCTTCTTAAGGCCCTTGAAGCCGATTTTTCAATGAAATTATCTAAGGAAGAATTTTGATACAATTGTCTATAAAGTAATTGTAAAGTGTTCATTTTTGAATAAATTAATATTTATGAAATATTTTTCATTAAAAATCGATGGTATTATTTCTCTCATATAATCGATTTCGAAATGTGCAATTATATCTCGTTCTTCCTTTTCTAATAAGACCACAGATAATATATAATATAACAAAAAAAAAAACAAATCTTTATTATAGCTAATGTAAGTTAATATTTTGCGATTGAATGATTTTTTATTGAATTAATTTAACTTGTACTATTAGAAGTACATCGATTTTAATTTCGTGACATGACTCTCAATTATAATAGAAATGGTGGATAAACAAACACAACATTTGACATTTAAGTGTGCATTTTATAGACAATATAGTTGTATTTCCCTATAGTTTGACATATAAATAATTATATTTATTCTCTGACTTGCAATAAATACGAGTGTGTCGAAATGTTAGGTTTAAGTTAATTGTAAGTGACAAGACAAAATTAAATATGTTTGGTTTTGGTTCGATTCATAACATGTAGTAATAATAGGCAATAAATTTACATACCTTTAATACTTACAATGTGAAAATCTATACAAATAATGCAAAAGAAAATAACCATTTGAAATATTTATAATTGACATGAAATACCATAAATTACAATTCTGAATTTTTCATATAACTCGATTGTCTCGTCTATGTTTATTATTTCATTGATATGTATTTACTATAAATATATATAAGAGCCATGACTATGATTACAGGATTTTGAACATAAAAAACTGAGTTGCCAAAGCTAAACATTTAATAGTAATGAAGCCATAGATAAATATTCATAGAGCAATAAACAATGATGTAAATTGTAAAGAAAAAGACACGTTTTTGTTTATTGAAATAGTTTATTTAAAAAAAATCGCTTTGATAAAATAAAATAATACAAAATAATTATAAGTAATTTTAATATCAAAACATTTGGTCATTTGCTCTATGTATATCATCTTTTTGAATGAAATAGATTAATTACTATTATATAATATTTATCATAGACAATTTTTTCTAAGCATTTTTTCCTATTTTTAATGCTACCACCGACAAGTTCACAATATTCTAGATTTGCCAGTTGAAACTTAGTTTAAGATTTAATTAAATTGTTTTAGACGCTTTGTACTGCTTAGAAAAGTTAATTTTTAGTTTATTTTCGGCTTTTGGTTAGTGCTTATTTAATTTTTTTTAAATCTTTATTTTATTGACTTTGCAATTTTAGATTTTTATGAGGTCTAATGGTTTCAAAGCGCATTGCCCGTGAGATTATGTCTTGATGTTCTGCCATTTTATATAGATAATATCATACACGTTATGTGTCGTATAACATAAAATGATTTTTTATGCGATTTATTAAAAACAATTAATAATAATTGACTCAATTATATTTCTATCATGTATTAGTATTTAGTTATTTCTCACATTATTATTCATTTAAAGTAGACTTGCAACGAATAGTATATTCGGCCATACGCCGAATACCGAATATTCGGTGGGCTTTCTGTCCGAATAGCCGAATATGAGGCAAAAGTATTCGGCTAGCGCAAAACTTGTGGCGTGAAAACTTGTATCGACGTGTTTGTTGTTTGTTTGGCGCCTGGAAGTAATATTTATTCTGAGCGTCTTTTCTCTAACGCTGAGATGGTCACTTATAAATTTTCATTTTGACAATGCAAGTGCATAGAAATTTATTTGATAGTTTTTTTTTAGGTTAATTTTTGTAATACCGAACATAATTATGTATCTATGACTACTTTAATGATTATAAGAAAAATCTATTATTAAAAAATAAATTAATATTTTCATTTTACCAATTATCTGATTACAACAAAACTTATTACTTAAGTATTCGGTATTCGGCTGAGTAGTATCTAGATATTCGGTATTCGGTCGAAAAAAGTAGCCGAATAGGCCGAATACCGTATATTAGCCGAATATTCGTTGCAAGTCTAGTTTAAAGTAATATTGAATTTAACATTTTAAATATATAACATAATATTTAAAGTAATGTATCGCGACTGATCTCATGCGAAGGTACCGCTTTAACGACTGCAGACCTCAGGGTATTCAGTAGGATAGGTAATGCCTTGCTCAATACGAAAGACGTCTATTTTAAGATCATTTTGTCTTTAATATAACAACTTCAACTATTTACGTATATTTTTATATATGTAGGTATAATATTTATACCGAATAAGATCGTGTTCGTTGTTTGAACTCATTGGTTTACGTATTTGTTGCCGGGAATTATACATATTATGTATTAATTACAATATAATGATATTTGATTTTGATATAAAATTCTATTTTTTAAAGTAATAGCTAATTATAGTGCGATAAACATTCTGAGCCGGTGGCCAAAACTGGAACTACGTGTCGCTATTTTGAAATATCATTTTGTTGTCAAGTGTCTTGGAATTTAGTCTCTAAATTACCCAAATGATTATCTACATCTACATGATCGTAATTATACAATTAAAACATAATTTATTAAAAATGTGTTTTGATTAAATATTTTTATATAATATATCATGTTGTATACCAATGATTAAAACAGCAAATTAATATTTTGATTACTCCTTGGGGTATGCCATTATTTATACCCTAAAACTGCTGAAATTTTATTTAGTGGCAATACTAAATTCAAAAACAGCGACGCCGTTACCGGGTTATATAAGTTTATGGCACTGTATTATTTTTAATTTATATTTTATATAAATATATATGGCAATACTTAAATAAGAAATAGCAATGAATACGTGAACCGTACTTAATTTAAGAACAATTTTGAGCAATTTTACTTTGTGAATAGACACGTTGTTTTTTGTGTAAGTCAAAGATGTCTTCTATGTAAAGTGTGAATTTGAATAAAGATTTTATTTTTAATTGTTTGTTTTATTCAAGTCATCGATCAAAAAAGTACTAGATACACAATCAGCGACAAAATGTGTCCTCATCGAACGACGCTCATTTGAACATTTGAACGTGCCTTGATTTTTTTAAATGTGAAAACAACTTTAAGCATTGCAATTAAGGTTCAATTTACATTGTTGTATATTTTTACCAACTAGAATAATTACCTCAACTGTTAGCTATTTTTATTTATTAACATACTTATCACTCAGTATACAAATTGTCATTAATTGTATACTATTTTAAAATATTATTATTCAGCTTCATGTTTTATTCTCTGACACTATCCATATTATTCCTTAGTCTGAACTTTTCTCAATATTGACGAAGATTATCTTATTGTAAACAATTAAGCTTGTAATCTAAAGACCAATGAAAAACTAGATTTGCATTACGCGCTATTATTGATGTGTCATTTAAACAACGAGTTCCTTTTAACCTACATTGATTGCGCAGTCAAAGGTCAGCGATAACTCCATTAACAAAAGATTAGTGTTCTCCAAAACTCTAATCAAGAGTGACGTCTAATAATGTTCTAAATTTAAAAATGTGCGCGAACTTCTTATTTTCGTTTTTATTTTTTTTTATTTTATTCGTTTACACGCAACAGATAAATGTTATAGGGACAATTAATACAACGAGATCAAATATTGATATAAACGATGGTAAAGGTAGTTTGGTGTTTGTTTTCGATACTACAGGTTCTATGTATAATGATTTAAGGCAACTAAGAGAAGGGGCGGAAATGATTTTGAAAACTGCGCTAGATGAGAGTAATGTCATTGATAACTTCGTATTTGTGCCCTTTCACGACCCTTGTAAGTTTTTATGGCTAAGTTTTTTTTTTTGTTTTTATGCTATGCCATTAGAATAATATTTACGAAACTAATTAGTTACAATTTTTGTTGTGTTTATTTAAATGAAATATATACCTACATAATTGACGATTCAAAAGTACTTGTAATAAAATAAGTCTAATTGAAGTTTATTTCATCATCATCATTTCATCATTTCTGATGTACGCGAACAACGCAAACAAGTTCGATTTTCGCGGGCACTGTTTTTATATTGATCAAAAAAATATTAATTATTTCTTTGGCATGATTCTAAAAGCATGGAATTTGAGTTTCTGAGGGAAGATAATATAAGGAATAAAGATAATAATAAAGAAAATAGAGTATTTATAAAACATCCTATATAATAGCAGATATTCATATTTTATATCCCAACATATACCTACTCAAACTACTATAGGTACTATCTACAGTTAAGGCTATAATCCTTTCCATAGATTTCCAAAGGCAAGTGCAATATAGACATTATATAAAATAGCATCCTGCATACAATTATTATATTTTCTGATACAACAATATCTAAGTATTAATATATATAATTATATTATATAATCTATCTAGCCGTCGGTCCAGTCACAGTAACAAGGAATAAGCAAGTATTTAAATCAGCTCTGAACATAGTGCATGTGTACGGCGGAGGAGATTGTCCAGAAAAATCCTTAACCGGGATACAATTGGCTTTGAATGTCAGTCGTCCACAATCCTTTATTTACGTGTTCACTGACGCGACCGCGTCCGATCATAAACTTGTGGGAAAAGTCCTAGATTCTATTCAGAGGAAACAAAGCCAGGTAAGATTTTAAATTTGAGTAGTTATTTTTTTTATATTATATGTTAATTATTGGGTATAAAACTTATAATAAACATAAAAAGTCGTATCATTTTTACTCGACTGCGGCGAAGCTCTAAGGAGGGTTATGTGTTTCCTTCGTAAACTTGTTTTATTTTTAATTCGCTTTTTACGCTGTCGTTTTTTTTATGTTTGTAAATTATTTTTTTATTTGTTTTTTTTTGCATTTCTCATTCCAAATTATATTTAAACATATACTTTATGTTATTAAATAAAACTATCTTTTCGGATTATTTCGCGGATTTATTTTGATTTTGATTTTTGGTTCCCGACGTTTCGAATGCTTTACAGCATCCACCAGTATATAAGTGTATAATCTATGGCATCCATGGTCACGGGAGAGACTGAGGTGTTACATGTCTTAAAGATATAGTTGTTACAGACAGCCTACCCACAATCAACAAAATGAAAATTGCACCAATTACATTACAATATTTTAACTTTAAACATTTTTATAATTTTAATTATAATTGAATACGGAAAATTATTTATTTAATTTTTGCTATTATTTTTATAATTATTACAATTTTAAAAATATTAATTAGTAATTTATATTTAGTGTTGCCATTATTATATTTATTAGAAAAATATAAAATATAGTATTAATTATTTAAGCTATATAATTGTTCAATGTGTAATTTAAAAAGTTAAAATTAATTAAGGATTATAATTTTAATTTAGTTTGTTATTATTTAAAAACAACTAACTAAGCAACACTATTAATATATACTTTTACAAATGAAAAATATCAATCTGATAAGCTGTCATTTTGATCTACACAGTATGAAATAATCCGAAAAGATAGTTTTATTTAATAATGTCAAACATTCGCGTAAATCTAAGAAAGTATTATGTGAACCAGTACGGACTGGAAACCGCAAACAAGATACGCCGGTTAGAAGATCTAAAGACAAAGCGCGCAAGATTATTAACATCGTTAACTTTCTTGAAGAGATGTCGTGATCATCGTCTCATTCCTACGTGTGTGAAAATATCTTCCAAAAAGAACATACGAGGAAGCGCTAAGATCGTAAACCAGGCAAGTTTTAAGTTGTTACGGACAGTGATTCGACAAAATCGCCGCGATCTACGCAGAAACGACCGGGACATTGAACAGACGTCTAATATTGTTAAGACAGTATTGACACCATCTGATTTCAACGATTGCATTGACACTTTAAATAAGCGCGAAACAACCAAATATAATCAGTGCAAAATTAAACATATTTTAAAATATCAAAAACTCGTTGAAAAATTAAACATCAAAAAGAAAAAGAAAACCATAGAGTGTAACGGAACGCGCCCGTCTACCACAGATACACACTCGTGCGGACCTCAAGCTGTTGTCAATCTGTCAAAACAAACGTTGGACGAACCTACTATTCGGGTACTAAATAAAGGTTTGAATTTTGCTGTAACGCCTACGCGCATTCCTTATGAAAACATTATTTGCGCAGTTGAAGATGCCCTGGCCCAAAACATTATGAAAACTGAGGATATGGAGGCCATACGTCAAGATGTTTCGTCTTTATTACGTCGTAGTACTAGGCCCAAACCAAACCTCAATAAACAAGAGTATTTAGCGTTGAAGAACCTACGCAATAGGTCAGACATCACCGTTCTACGCGCAGACAAAGGAAATGCAACCGTTGTGATGGATACATCAGATTATAATGATAAAATAAAACAACTTTTGTCGGACGAGAGCACGTACAAAAAGGTTAAAACGGATCCAACTACCACCGTTTTAAATAATACTAAAAAGCTAATTAAGGAACACTCCGACACATTAAATCTTGATGTTAAAAATCTTATTCCATCATGTGCAAAACCACCTAAGTTGTATGGATTTCCGAAAATACACAAGACTAACGCTCCGCTACGTCCAATTGTGAGTCAGATCGACTCACCGACTTACAAATTGGCTAAACTAGTAGCAAAAGTACTCTCACCACTCAGAGGATTAACAAGAGCGTTCACAAAGGACTCTTACCATTTTGTCAATGAAGTTAAACACCTAAAACTCATGGACAATGAAACAATGGTTAGTTTCGATGTACAGTCTTTATTTACCAGCCTACCAGTGGAAGACTGTATTGAAATAATATCTAGGTCTAACTAACTAACTAGATCACAACATGTCAATAGAATACATTGAACTTTTAAAACACTGCCTAACATCTGGCTATCTACTGTGGAATGGTGAATTCTATAGGCAAGTGGATGGAGTGGCCATGGGTTCGCCAGTCTCCCCCGTCGTAGCCGACATCTTCATGGAGGACTTCGAGGAGACTGCTCTGAACACATCACCCGTGACCCCTCGTTTCTACAAGCGGTATGTAGATGACACTTTCACAATATTACCATCTGATAAAATAACTGTATTCTTAGAACACCTTAATTCTATAAATCCTAAAATACAATTTACAATGGAATTAGAATCAGACAATACCTTAGCTTTCCTAGATGTATTAGTTAAACGTAACACAGATAACACCTTGAGTCATACTGTGTATAGAAAGAAGACCCATACTGATAGGTACCTGAACGGTGAATCTCACCACCATCCTTCACAGTTAGCTACTGTGGGAAAATCTTTGTTTCAGAGAGCGCGCGGGATCTGTGACGAGCAACACCTGGCCGGAGAACTGCAACATGTCAAGCAAGTTCTGCGTGACAACAAGCTGCAAGTGCCGCGCCTGCGTCACAGTGACCGAGTAAAACCAGCCACAGTCGAGCGCGTCCCTGCAGTCTTGCCATACATGAAAGGAGTCACTGACAAGATTGGCTACATTCTAAAGCGAGCTTCAATTAAAACTTACTTCAAGCCGCCAAAGAAAATTAGTCAGTTCTTACCACCTGTCAAGTGCCACATCCCTCTACAAGATGCAGGAGTTTACAAGCTTGATTGTGATTGTGGGCTCTCTTACATTGGACAAACAAAGCGATCCATTAGAACCCGGGTCAAAGAACACATAGCTGATGTGAAGCACCGTCGCAATACAAAATCTGCTGTCTGCAAACATAGCCAGGACCGCCCAAGCCATTATATTCGTTTCAATAGACCTCAAATCTTGGCGAAAGAAAACCGATATCGCCCTAGAATGATTCGAGAAGCCATAGAAATTAAAAAACATCCAAATTTCAATAGGGAAGATGGCTGGGTACTACCATCGTCATGGGATCCTGTTATTAATATAATAAAATCAAATAATAAATATAAACATAACAGACAGGCAGATGTAGTAAGTTCATACTGTGTAGATCAAAATGACAGCTTATCAGATTGATATTTTTCATTTGTAAAAGTATATATTAATAGTGTTGCTTAGTTAGTTGTTTTTAAATAATAACAAACTAAATTAAAATTATAATCCTTAATTAATTTTAACTTTTTAAATTACACATTGAACAATTATATAGCTTAAATAATTAATACTATATTTTATATTTTTCTAATAAATATAATAATGGCAACACTAAATATAAATTACTAATTAATATTTTTAAAATTGTAATAATTATAAAAATAATAGCAAAAATTAAATAAATAATTTTCCATATTCAATTATAATTAAAATTATAAAAATGTTTAAAGTTAAAATATTGTAATGTAATTGGTGCAATTTTCATTTTGTTGATTGTGGGTAGGCTGTCTGTAACAACTATATCTTTAAGACATGTAACACCTCAGTCTCTCCCGTGACCATGGATGCTGTAAAGCATTCGAAACGTCGGGAACCAAAAATCAAAATCAAAATAAATCCGCGAAATAATCCGAAAAGATAGTTTTATTTAATAATGTCAAACATTCGCGTAAATCTAAGAAAGTATTATATACTTTATGTATATTTTTGTAAGCCATTTATAAAACCTTTCATTTTGATACCCCACTCAATGGATTTTTAGGAAACAAAAATTTTTGAAGACATAATATGGCGCTAAAAATCGGCCATTTTAATTTTTATAATTTTGTTATACCCAGTGTCACTCTCACAATTAAGATGAATCTGCCGACACCACTCAAGCTAAAATCCATCTAGCCGTTCTGCTGAGCGTGCCGAAGAAATATACATACATACATACACTCGAAAAACGTGACCCTCCTTCTGGCCCTGTCGCGTAAAAACATATAGATGGCATGAAGTAAAATTATAACTTAAATATTCTAGGTGGTGTTTGTTCTAACAGGGCATTGTAATGATTTGCATAAGCCTCATTACAAAGTGTACCAACAGATAGCCGCAGCTAGCTCTGGACAAGTGTTTAATTTAAACAAAACCAGCGTATATAAGGTACTATCTCATATATCTTTATGCATTCAATCCTTTTAACGTCCCACTGCAGGACAAGGGCTTCTTTTTTCTTATAAGGAGGAAATCAGGCTATACCTTACCTTTATTGACGTAAACACAAAAGGGTTACAAGACATTTTTCTTAAAACAGTATAATTAGTAGAATCTTTGTTTAAGTATACTAACGTCTGAACTAGGCCGAGCCTATATCTCAGACGCTAGCCTCTTTCTATTACACTATTTATTTATGGCTATAGTTCATCGCCAAGTGCGAGTCAGTCCACCTCAAATGTCTTTCAAAAACTTGCCAGGTTTTCTTAGATATGTAGGTTTCCTCGCGATGTTTTCCTTCACTATACGGATGAAAATTATAAAAATGTTTTGGACATTAAAATATTGTCAGTACGAGATCTGAGATTCGAATTCGTTTCACTTGTTTCTGAAACGAGCCTTACCACTTGGCTACCGGACATTGTTTTTACATATCTTCTTATATTCAAATTACTTTTTTAATCTCTTGACCTTTTTATCGTATTTTGGACACTAAATTGTTGTAAATATTAGTGCGTGTATTCTGTTTTAAGGTGCTGGAATTTGTGAGAAGTTCTATAAAAGGGAGGACTGTTAACTTGGCGTCTGCTGTCAATCCTGCGGGATATAACTACACTCAAGAGGTAACTTGATTTAATATTACTTAAGTTAGATATTTAGACATGATTTCAAATATTTTACAGCCTTAAATGTAAAATGTACAATCCTACGTACAATGTACATCCTTAAGTGTAAATCTATACTAATAGTGTAAAGAGGCAGAGTTTGTTTGTTTGTTTGTACGCATTAATCTCAGGAACTAAAAATCCAATTTCAAATATAGTCTATTTATTTCATACAAACCGTTAAAACATACCTAATTTTAGATATTTAGTCCAATAGCGTGATAGATAGTATTGGAAGTCTTTTGTCTTCGCTCTTCGATGAACAAATTTTGATTTTATTTATTATTTTGTATTATTATAACAATATTACACACAATATTTTGTTATCTTAGTATATTTTTATACATGTAATATTAATTTTAACACATCTCTTTTTTACCGGTCAATACCTTATCCATACCGTGTCTTCTTCATTCTACACGACATTGGCGAAGTAATCTGTGCCCGACTGGCCCGCCTAAAAGCCAAATAACAAAGAATCGAATTGTAATTTTAACACAATTCTTTAGATACCAGTAGACAAGTCTGTAGATGAAGTGACGGTGTCGGTGTCGGGTGCCAAGCCCAAAATAAAGGTGGTCAACCCAAGCGGCGAGGAGCTCACCGGCCCTCCGCAGCTCGTCACCACTTTGGATCTCTCAGAAATTATGGTAGATACCTAATTATGACCTATCAGAATATGTATTGTGTAAATAAAATATTGAGAAAGATTACTAAAATATTGCAAAATTAAATTTGTCTGAATAATAAAACCCATAGTATATCTAGATATTTTTTAAGTATTTTTTGACAGTGAGTGTAGATTTTGTGACCTTTAACTAAGTATTTTTACTAGTTTAAGTAATAAATCTTGTGTTTTTTAACATATATTGAATCAAAGATCTGACTATAGGTACTTATAGCTACCACTTGTTAAACACTCTATTGATATTTTGAATGGTAAAGTCTTTTAACACCACACAAAACAGTTGAACTAATCAGATATTTTAATAAAGATTTTAATTGTGTTTCCAGATAGTAAAAGTTTTGCAGCCTGAACCAGGGAACTGGAGTATAACTGTAGGGAGTGAAGAGGAGCACTCGGTGAAGGTGGTCGGGATGTCCAACTTGACTTTCAAACATGGCTTCTCTGTTCAGACTCCTCGCTCTATGGATGAAACTAGTTATCGTCCATTACAAGGTATTCTGCACTTAACTTATATATTTTTTGTTGGCAGATTCGCCCCTTTTAAAATGTCAATAAGTCTCCATATACATACAAATGATTATAGAAACTCATTTGTATTAAAAAAAAATGGTGAATTTGCTTTAATGTTAAAGTTTTGTAAAAAAGTAGCGAAAATGTAAAAACTAGGTTAAAACAGTGCACACAGAGATGACAAAATTCTTTTTGCAGTATTTTTTTACATTTTTCGGGTGAAGTTTGGCGCATGAGGATAAAAATTGTAAATCACTATGACTCACTCCTATACTACTCCTATACCATGTAATAAGTAGGTACTAGGTAATACCGACAGACATACTTTTTCATTTAAAATATTTATATATTTCCAACATAACATTACTTATATTTATGTTATTTTCTTACTCAGGAACATATAACCACATGCTAATATCTCTGAGCGAAAACAACGCATCTATAGAAATGGACCACGTTCAATTACTCAGTTTGAACGGAACCCCATTGTATGAAATACCTTTAAAAGAGTTCGATAAAGATCAAAAGCTTTATATAGCCAATGCTTTTGTTCCGCCAGAAGAATTTTTTAATATAGCGGTAAGTTATACGTAATTTTGAAATACTAACTTTTGTCCACCACAATAACATGAACCTTACTTTATATGGCACCATTTGTTACAAGTTCAAAGACCTTTGGTCTTTCAAATTTTTATAATACACATATCTTACCTATATTTTTAATTACAATATTAAATATAACTAAATGTTAAGTTGGAAAAGTACCCTATATGTTGACCCGGATAACCAGCTATCACCATACCAAATTTCATCAAAATCCCTCCAGTGGTTTTTCTGTGATGCGGTAACGGACAGACAGACAGACAAACATTCTAAAAATTATAGATTCGGCCTCTGTATCGATAATAATGTCTATTTCAATAAGTTTTTCCAAAAAATATTTAATGTACAGATTTGGCTTAGTTACAGTTTTATTATATGTATAGATAAGATATAGCTTTGGTAAATTTTGTAAAAATATTAATAAATTACCTCTTTTTTGTTAGATAATAGGCCGCGATGAGCACGGTCAGGAAGTAAGGCGAGTGGGGCCCACGGCGGTGCAAGGAAAACCACCAGGTAATACTTATTTATATTTATTTAAAATATTTGTATTATTTAGTCTTTTCTATTTTATAACCTTATATTTTTCGACTTTCAGATGTTCCTTATTTGACGGTGGCCAAACGGGTATTTCACAAACATATTTCATTATTATTAATTATAATAACTTAATTGAACAATATTTTATATGTTTTAATACATAATTAATTGAAACAATGAATTGAAATGGTGGCGCCCGATGTGGGATCCAATTATAAAATTTATGACAGTATATAAACTAATTACCTGATCCCCCTCTCATTGAAGACAGGCCCGTGCCCAGTAATGGGACGTTAAAATGGGTCGAATATATATAATTTAATTTTATTTATTATAGTATCAAGGCACTATTCAATTTCCATCCTCAGAACGCTAATATTTCCTACTAAATAGACATTTGCCGACGCTTTGGTTAAAATTCACATTGTTGAGCCTAATGTTAAAAAAAAATCGGACAAGTGCGAGTAGGACTCGCCAATCAAGAGTTCCGTACAAATTTGTAGGAAATTTGTTTAACTTTAAATTTCATCTTTTTTTTTTTGTTTTTTTTTTCTTTATTTGCGCTCCTTGCTTTTTGCCAATTTTCGTGATTCTAGATCAACGGGAAGTACCATATAGGTTTCCGACCCAAAATCTATAGGGTACTTCCGGTCGAGAGGTCCTAGAATTGTCAATTTAGGTAAAAAGTTTGGTTAAAGGCAAAGTTTGTATCGGGAACCAAGCGAGGGACGTGAGTCGCTAGTAAATATATAAACAAACAGATAGAAGCGCGTCGTCACGAGCGCGTGTCGCTGGCGTGCCGCGTGGAGAGCCTGGTGCCGCTCGCCGCCGCCTGGACACGCCGCCAGCTGCGCCTCGCGCCCGCCGTCGACAGTCTGTGAGTCATACGCATATCTATCTATCTATCTATCTATCTATCTATCTATCAATCTATCATCATCATCATCATCGTCATCATCGTCATCGTCATCATCGTCATCATCGTCATCATCATCATCACCATCATCACCATCATCATCATCACCATCATCATCACCATCATCATCATCACCATCATCATCATCGCCATCATCATCATCACCATCACCATCATCGCCATCACCATCATCGCCATCACCATCATTGCCATCATCGCCATCATCATCACCATCATCATCATCACCATCATCATCATCATCACCATCATCACCATCATCATCATCACCATCATCATCACCATCATCACCATTACCATCAACCCTTTTCAGTCCACTGTTGGATATCTAGTCTATACCACCAAGCAACAGGGCGTACCACACTGTATTTCCCAGTTATCCGTTCTTCTACAGATATGACCGGCCCACTGTCACTTTAGTCTGCTGATTCTCTGAGCAACATCAATGATACCGGTGATAAATCTATCTAAACCTATGTTTAGTTTAAAACAAAGTTGCTGTCTACGTCTCTCTGTTTCTCTGCTTACTTCATCTAAACCACCCAACGGATTTTGATATGGTTTTCATTAGTAAAAAGGAGGTAAACGAGAAAGGTTTATATACACAATTTGTAAATATTCTGTACAAAATGACTGAGCCTAGACGGCATTTTGTCAATAAAACGGTTCTCGTACGATTACATGGCTAATAGTTGGTTACGTAGTCTTACCACCTAAGGCACGCTTACAATAACTATTTTTATCTATATAAAACGTACCGAGGGACAACTAGAGCGAAGCGAAGGAAAGTGATTAGTTTATATATATATATATATATATATATATATATATATATATATATACCTAATACACTTCAAAAAACAAGGAAGAACTCCGCTTAGACATTTGTGTCCGTTAGGGGCATTATTTTCAAACTAGACCCAAATATACCTTTTATTTATGTTGTACTAGCATTGCCCGCGGCTTCGCCCGCGTTCAGATGACCAAAAACCAAATTCTTAGGTATTACATATTAGTATACTGAGATGATAATGAGATATTTTCCCGCGGTAAAAAGTATCCTTTATGTTGACCCGGATAACCAGCTATCATCTTGCCAAATTTCATCAAAATCTGTCCAGTGGTTTTCTCGTGATGCGGTAACAGACAGACAGACAGACAATTTTTTTAAAAACTATAGATTCGGCCTCTATATCGATAATAATGTCTAAAAAATATTTAATGTACAGATTTGGCTTAGTTACAATTTTATTATATGTATCTAGATTTATTATACAAATATACCTTATATGTAACTTGCTGAAGATCTTCTCATAATTTACTGTATTTTTAGACAAAGTACTTCAATAGAGTATGTTATCCCCGATATGAGTGAGGGAGACGTCGGTACGTACCGCTGCTTCGCGAAGAACAGCGCAGGCGTCAGTAGAGCCAATACTATCGTTGATTTAATCGGTAAGTTATGGCTAGTTTGAAATAGATTTAATAGAAGTTTTATTGTTATATATTTCCAAATAATATAGCAAATGAACTAAAGCAGCGCGTATACTCGCAGGTACAAGTGCATTTTATTCCTTATACTCTCAAAGTCCGATGGGACGATACTTTGACATGATCGGTATGAGTTAAGGCCCAGGGCCGACGCAACACGTCCTCTCAGAAGCATGGTTGTAAAATACCACCAACTTCCCTACTGCGGACTGTTACTAGGCCTTCCTAAACAGACAGACTCAATAACTAAACTTGGCTCGTCCCGAGACTCGAATGCAGGACTTCTGGATGTGCAGTCGTACTTGCTAGCCACGACACTACCAAAACAGAAATATATGTACAATATACATATATGCATTTTCGTTAAGAATTTAGAAGATCTTAGTATCTCTATTGTCAAAAATTATGTAAATTTGGATTTATTTTCAGTGGATCCACCTACAGTGACAATTTCGCCAACAAATATAACAGTGACCGAAGGAGAGAACCTCAATATCTCATGTTCCATATACAGCGAGGCGTTGTTACAACGCTCTGTTGTTACTTTTAATGGCTCTACACGTAACTATTGTAAGTATATATTCTATTCCTATATTAACTAGGAGCCAGTAGCCAAAGCCAGTGGTAGCACAGTGGTAATGTGCTCGCTTGGGAAACCGAGTGAAGCGGGTTCAAATCCCGGGTCTCGCACCTCTGATATTTTCATGTGCGAATCATTTCCAACATCATTACCACTTCCATTAAGGTGAAGGAAAACATCGTGAGGAAACTTGCATGTCTGAGAAAACGTAGTAAGTCTCAAAGTATGCCAACGTGTACTTGGCCAGCGTGGTGGACTATGGTCGTGGGGCGTTAAAAGGGCACATACATACGTAAATTATCTAAATATTAACTGTAGTATTATTATAAAAGCAGAAGCTTTAACCACATAGATCAGTTTTCCTATTTTGAACTTAAGAAGTACCTACACTTTATTAAACGAAATTATTTCTACAATGAAATTCAAATATAATTTCAGAAATGATTTAAATTTTTTTATATATATTATTCAACATCGTAATAAGTATTTCAAATTCAATACCTATACATTATGAATACTGTAATTTGTAATAATGAATATTTTTTTCTTTTTATGTTTTGGGACCAGCAATAGATTTCCAATTGGAGCCAACAGTAGACGGGTACTACACGTTCAATAAAACGATTCAACAAGTGAATGAAACAGACAGTGGAGTATACACTTGTGAGGTCGCTAATAGAGGTGATTTCTCATACATTTTTATACAGTTTTTAAATTTTTGACTAAAAATCAGTCTTAAACGTGACATAATTACAAGTACTACGTGATATAGTAGATAACATTATTTTAAATATATATATATATATATATATATATATATATATATATATATATATATATATATATATATATATATATATATATATTTAATAATATCAAATGTTACTGAACAGTACGTTGTCTTTTTTTTTGTTAGGACATTAACATAGCACCATCTAGTTCCACGGTAAGCTACGAGGCTTGTGTTATGGATACCAGATTGTTGATACACTATACATATATAAACTTTAAAAACATACATATCATAAATATGACACGCATGACTGGAGCACAAACATTTGTGCTCATCGCACAATGAATGCTCCCAGCGGGACTCGAACCCGCGACCATTGGCACAGCAAGTAGGGTCTCTACACACTGACCCAAACGTGTCGTCTTGACTTCTGTTTGTTTATTGTTATAGGAACATAGCGTTACTTGGTTTATTTTATTTAGTATTTTAGTAATTATGAATATAGTGAGTTAACATAATTAATAAATTAAGTGTTATTTATTTTTCAGCTGGCAAAAGTTTTCATTCAACATATATCCAAGTCCAATTAAAACCGACAGCGCAACTTATAGGTCCTCACAGTATAGCCATAAGTATACACAAGGACACACAAGTTGTTTGTCAAATAGAAAACGCACTACAAGTCCAATGGTTAAATAAAAATAAGCAAATTATTGAGAAATATGACGTCGATGGTAGTTTTACTGCGGTGTTAGATGTGAGGAATGTGACAGAAGATGAGGTCTTGACTTGTATGGCGATTAGAGATGATTGTAATGGTATTCTGATTGAAATTAATACGAAAATTAGTTTTCGCTTTTTGTTTCAGTTTTTTTTTAGCAAATAATATTATAGCTTTATCCTTTTTTTTTCTTTTTTTATGACATAGAATAGAATTTTTATGAAAGTCGATTTATGTATCGTGGATTTTTTTTTAATTTTTTAATGTTTTATATAAAATGTTAAGAATTAAAGTTCATAATAATAGTAGTTATAATTGTATATTTATTATACGGGAACATAAGTTTGTAAATAATTCAATTTACCTTAAAATCCTTTTAAAAATATGTATTGTAATTAAAAATTTAATATATTATATAATTTAAATTATTAGTCCCGCTGATTTTTACCAGTTCTTTTCAGGACTACTGATTTCCCGAACTGAACGTTTATGGAACGTAACGTTTATGAAAAATAATATATTTATTAAATATTTTTAATTATTTAATCTAATGAATATATATTTTTTATTTGAATTTGTAATATTTTTTTCAGCATCTGACAGTCTCGAGCTGACGGCTCTAATCAAACCACAAGTACTTATCGAAGGTTCAAAGAACGTGACAGTATTCAGCGGAATTCAATATCAGGTGTTCTGTACAATTGTGGCGAAACCTGAACCTAGGATAATATGGCACATGGAGACTGAGGAATTCCTGCCTTGTGATGTAAGTTGGGATATTTTAAAATAATATATTATTTTTAAAGTTATCTTGGAAAGATTACATAGATGAGTGTTTTATTAAAATAATACATCAATTATAAAGAATTAACATATTTGAATACCTAATATTCAAATCTTTAAATTAACGATAAGTAACTGATAACTCAGCGTGACGTGATTGAGTGAAGCATATTTTATTATATTTCAATGTGCACGTCACGTGACTAAGCAATAGAGACGGTTGGAATATTCTTTTTTAAAATTGTATAGTTATAAATTAACACCTTTATTTTTTTATCTTAGTAATTTCATTCTTATTTAAAAGTAATATAATTATAAAATAAAATTTAAAGTGAATAATAAAACAATAAAAATTAAAAAGATAAGTAAATTTTTCTCAAATCAATCAGACAACAAATCCTGAACCAAATGTGTACAAGAGTATGCTGACGTTAGATAGTGAAAAGCGAGCATTAAATGGAACTTACTTTTGTATCGGAGAGAACTCTGAGGGCATCGGCCAGGACAGCATTACTATAAACGTTAGGGACAAAATGATGTTGCTGGAAGGATTTACAGGTAAGTCTATCACTGTCTTCATTATCCTCATCATCATATTATTATCATCATCATCATATTATCATCATTGTTGCGCTCCGTTAAACGCGGGCGCAGCCCCACCATCGACGGCCGGCGAGCGGCCATTACATGACGGAGCGCCCACTTCTATCTGAGAGCCGTAGCCGACAAGACGACCATAAAATAATTTGACTTCCCTACTCTTTTGTAAACGAAAACGACGATTGTACCAGCATTAAAAATATAATACAATCGTCATCATCAGTCCACTTTTCACAGACCACTTTCGTCCGTTGACAAAGGATTTTCGAATCTCGATAGTGAGATCCTTGTTTCCATCCATTACCTGTAACTTTGTGTAAAACCTATCTGAAGGTCTTTAACTACATAGCCAATTGTAACTGAAGCCCCTGGATCCGGATCCTTTAGCTTAGTAATCTTTCAGCTAGGTCTATAACTTTTGAATTTGATCCTTCAAAGAAACTTCAAATAATAAAAGTAATCTCCGAAAATATATTTGACGGAACTTACTTTTATAACTTTACTTTTATTCAGAAAAAGAATTATTGTTACGCTCAAAAAAAATGTACCTAGGGACGCACTCGACCGAAGCGAGGGTCAATCACTAGTTACAAATAAATAGAGAAGTAGCAAAATTTAAATCCCAATATTAAATTAAAATTTAACAACATTAATATAATTAGAAATAAAAAAACTAATAATGCTCTAAGGATCTTTGAACATAACGTACTTTGTTCTTATTTACAGACTCTTCCGTAGAATTATATTCTCAAATTGATTTTCATTGCAATATAACCTCATTTCCGCCACCGACCATCAAATGGTACCACAACAACACTGAAATCAACAATATTAACGGAAGTAATACCAAAAACATCAACATTTCCGAAGATAAAGTAATATTGAACATTCAAAAAGTAGATTTTGAAAAACTGGGGGAATATAAGTGTGTGGGAGAAAATGGATATGAAAATATTACTGTGAAAGGCATTTTGTCTTTACATGGACTAAGTAAGTTACTTTTCGTTTATGTAACTTATTTCCAAAATATATACAGATAAATAAAATTAAAGTGTCTGTTTGAATTGTCAAAATAACAGCTTTTTAATGTATATGAAATTGTTTACGGTACTTATAAAAAAAAGGAATTTGTAAAATTTTTGTTTGTTTCTCTGATTGTTCCGGCTAATCTCCAAAACGGCTGTTCTGATTTTGACGGGACTTTTACTGGTAGATAGGTGATGTTATAAGGAGTAACTTAGGCTATTAACTAGGCTACTAATTTATTTTGGAAAAAGTATTGGGTTCCACTCAAAAAAATTAAAACGTACCCAGGGGTGCACCCGAGCGAAGTGAGGGTGAGTCGCTAGTATGAAATAAAAGTTATGCTCTTATTTTTATTGTTTTTTTTTTGCATTTGTCATAAATTTAGTTATTTTAATATATTTTCAGGTAAACCGATCCTCTTTAAGCAATTGACTAAAATTACTGTACCAAAGGACAAATCGATGAATATTACATGTAGGTAAGATTTTGTATCCGAATAACTATAGAAATAAATGAAACCTCATTTAGATAATATTTGATTATATTAAACGATAAAAACATCTTACGTATGTTTTATTTAATGCGAAATAATTTGGAATCAAATGTATCAGAATATATAGAAACAGTGGTAGTCCAGTGGTAACGCGCTCGCTTGGGGAATCGGGTGAAAGGGTTTCCAAGTCCCGGGTCTTGTACCTCTGATATTTTCATGTGAGAATCATTTCCAACACGATTACCATTAGTCTTACGGTGAAACATCGTGAGGAAACCTGCATGTCTGAGACAACCTAGCAAGTTGTCTGCAGACATGCTCAGTCCGCCCGCACTCGGCCAGCGTGGTGGACTATGGCCTGATCCCCCGAGTATTGAAGGGAGGCTTATGCCCAGCAGTGGGACGTATACAATAACATACAGATACAGAATACTTTTCGATTGCCTTTTATTTATTTATTTCAGAATCCTTAGAGGCAGTCCAAATCCAACACTAACTTGGTACTTTAAATCCAAAACTTTCAACAACTACACGACGCTACCAAAAGAAGTTGTTATACGTGACAATGTTATTTTCATTGAAAACATAACAAAGGAACACTCTGGCTCATATCGGTGTGTGGCAGATAATATTATGGGAAGCGATGAATATGACGTGGAACTAACAGTACAGTGTAAGTAATACCAGTACTATAACATATAGTATGTATGTATCATTATCACCATATTTCGCAGAACTGATGCTTTCGTTTTTCGTGTTCTCATATTCAAAGTAGTTAGTAGTAAGTACATTATTACTATATATATCGTATTCCATTACAAGGAAATAGAACGGCTATATTTTTTTTAAATAGGCGATAGATGGCGTTATTTAAAGCAAAGATCGTTACGCATTTAACAAAATAAAAAGTAATTTAAACGTTTTTAGCCATGGTGAACAATTCTTAAAATACATATATGTAAATGCACGTTTGGCAGCTAGGTAGGGATAGGGTCTAGATAGGGTTATTGATGAATACGGTCTTGGGTAAGTTTCATGTAATCTATACTAATATTATAAATGCGAAAGGTTGTGATTATGTATGGATGTTTGTTACTCTTTCAGGCCAGAACAGCTGAACGGATCTGGATGAAATTTGGCACAGAGATAGATTATAGTCTGGCATAACACATAAGCTACTTTTTATTCCGGAAAAATATACGGTTCCCGTGGAATAGATTTTGTTTTTGTTTTAGCTAGTAAATAATATATAATGGTAAATAAACTAATCAAATAAATAATAGTCTAATATAATAAATAACATAAAAGAAAATATATTTTCTCAGATACGCCAGAACTAAAAGAAAATTCTCAAGAAGCTTATTTAGAAGGCCCTATAGAAGTAACGTCGGGTGGTGAAGTAAAGCTAAGCTGCAACGTCGCGGGAAACCCCCCGCCCATTGTTACTTGGACTAAAGATGACTTACCAATTGTGTTTTCTAACAATATGTATGTGTTATTTTGATTATTGCTTTATTAACCGACTGCGGCCCAAAGGAGGGTTATCTTACGTTATAGTATGGTTTGACCTGTATGTCTGACCCTATGTTCCCTTGTAATTACTAAATGGCACAACCGTCGTTAGATTTGTCGGAAAAATTTGGTACGAATCGCAGCTATTATAAAACATATACGAGTACATATGTATGTCTCCGAATGTATAATACATTGTTCCTTCATCAGCTTGTTCTCATCTTTTTAGTTCGCATACCTAGCTAGCTATTCGTTATTTTTTAATTTCTTGAAATTGATGTTTTTTTAATTGTTTTCTCTAAATGTACATACATTTATTTAAGAAATTTACTTGAACACATTCACAATATCTTTTAGAAATGAAACCTGAGATTGACTGGAGGGATACTTTAATTAAATAATTAATTAGAATAGAAATTACTTGTACTTGTATGGGTGTCTAAATTATATATTTTAAAACATATTGTTAGATAATTCTTTTTATTCTCCCTTTCAGTCATATAACAAATGATAGTAGTTTAGTGGTAACAAATGCGACGAAGTTCGACTCTGGGCTATTTGTGTGTAACGCCAGCAGTATCATGGGGTTTGTTACGAAAAACTTTACCGTCGCTGTCTTCAGTGAGTATAAGTGTTTAATTCTCTTTTGCAGTTTTTTTTAATCAAAGTTTATGACTATAGAGGCAGTGGTAGCCCCGTGGTAACGCGCTCGCTCAGAAATCTGCCTGAAGCGGGCTCAAATGCCGGGCCTCGCACCTTTAATATTTCTATGAGTGAATCATTTCTAACATGATTACTTAACATGTGTATCTAGTACTTTTTCGATGATGACTGACTTTGCTCGCTTACATCCCGAGGTGCCTAACAGTAGCCTTTGTATTACTCCAGGTCAAAGTCTGTGTACTAAATTTCGAAATTTGTTAGCAGTTTCAACGTGAAGACGTGATGTAACAAACATACACACAAACAAATTTATAACACTATATAATATAGTGTGGTAGGCCCTTCTTTAATGATTTATCATATAAGAACTCATTTTAGTGTCACCAATCATAACAATATACGGGGAGCCTGCAGTAGAAGTGTTAGAGGGACAACTAGTGGAGCTGCCGTGCTCCGCGCGGGGAGTCCCCGACCCGACAGTGCGGTGGGTGCACAACGGGGAATCCCTCGCGCCATATAGGAAGTATATTGATGAATACGGTCTTGGGTAAGTTTCATGTAATATTTCTTTCTGAAATATAAGTAGAAATGTGTTTTCTTTTAACATAACAGCGTTCCACATTTTACTAAGAAATTCATATCTATATACACTTTATTGTACATCAAAAAAGAAATAAACATATCGAAGCAGCATTAATTTTCTCTATTATTTTCCATTATTTTATCATGACTTATACAGTGGGCGTTATATGGGAAGTGTTGGTTTAAATGAAAGTCGATGCAATCACAGTTGTATTTCAAATTAACAATAATCACTTTGTACATAGTTAAACAGCACTTCACTACACAGCCATATACCACTTCACTATTACCAAGTATAGACAATACGGAACGCAAGACAGTTTCTACTAGTGTTCACTGTGCGACCGCCCAAGCGTAACTCAGCCGAGCCCGGTCGAGTGTCACAACGTAGACTCTGTCGAGCCCAAAAAGGTGGCGCTCGCGTTCCGATTAGTTGTGATTATGACTCGTCTCCGACAAACATAAATAGATGATGCACAGGAGGCGGCCTTATCGCTTTAAACGATTTCTTCCCGACATTCTCAGGGCGTAGGAGTAATTATGTGAAATGGTAGGCGGTGCACTTCTATACATAGTATATGTAAAACAGTCGCTCCTGTTGTTTGTACGCTTAGATCTTTTCAACTACGCAACGGATTTTAATGTAGTTTTCAGCAATAGATAGAGTGATTCAAGAGGAAGGTTTATATCTATAATACATGCATATTATAGTACAACAAAGCCTAGAAATTCAAAGATTTGTATATCATACTAACCGTTAAAACGTACCTAGGGACGTACCCGGGCGAAACGAGGGTGAGTCGCTAGTACTACATATAAAGACTAGCGACTCACCCTCGCTCCGCTCGGCTTTCCCGGAGTAAAAAGTATCCTATATGTTGACCCGGATAACCAGCTATCATCATACCAAATTTCATCAAAATTGATCTAGTGGTTTTCCCGTGATGCGGTAACAGTTAGACAGACAGACAAAAATTCTAAAAACTATATATTCGGCCTCTGTATCGATAATAAAGTCTACTTAAGTAAGATTTTCCAAAAAGTATTTAATGTACAGATTCGGCTTAGTTACAATTTTATTATATGTATAGATATATTAGACAGATTTTTTTATCGAAGACTATTATAAATAAGTATCTCTTGTAAAGTGACTAGACAACTCTGTAATCAAATTACGAAATATAAAAAAATACGAGTGGAACCTACCACACCCACCTACCCACTACCACACATGCAACTGAGGGGTGAATAAAATATTATTTATAATAGATATAGATAGCCTTAAATTGTAAATATTGTGTCCCCCTCTACCTTTTGAAGTGGTGTGTGTGGGTGGGAAAATATTCTGGGAATTTCTAAAAAAAATTGGGAAAAGTAGAGCTGCCAAAATACTTTTTTTCATAGAAAAGAAGTTTCATAGAAATACTTGTATGAATTATGTTTTTATTTTTTTGCAGATATTTTATTTTCCTTTTTGATTTAATGATTCTAACTTTTTTCAGATTTGTAGCTAATCTTACGGATTTCGGCAATTACAGTTGCGTCGCTAGCAACGAGTACGGCGTTGCGACTCGGAACTACACCGTTTATGTTTGGGGTAATCTTTATGTATAAAATTTCAGTGTGCGTGTGTTCATAATTTTTCTCCTAAACCGCTTGACCGATTTTAATATTTTTTATTTTGTACTTATGGGATCACCTAATTGTATCTTATTAGACACAATAAGAGTTTTAGTATTTTTTTTAATTTTCCAAACAAACGAACTCTCAATGTATTAATGTATATCAACGTTTTAATATATTTTTAGTGCCACCCCGTATTGAGCCTCCATTAGAAGAGTTGAAAGAAGTTAAAATAGGAACAGATGTACACTTACAATGTGACGCCGTCGGCTTTCCGATACCGTCGTTTTTTTGGGAGTTTCAATATGAAGTTTTAAAACAAAATACAACAGATATGAGGTAAAACTTATTGGATTAAATAAATTTAACATATTTTTTGTAAATAATTTTAAAGTGAATAAATCGATATAAATAAAAAATAATGTTCGTACGTTTATCCTCTGTGCGTCCCTAACCACTGAACCAATGGTTCCGATTGAATCCGATTGAAACTCTGGTGGGTTAATCTTTATACACCTGTGAAGGTTCCTAGTACATTTTTTTTATTTGGACCTTTGTCTTGTATGTATTCGATTTTTTTATATATTTTGTATCTATAACCTTAAAAATTAGATAACTAAATTTATCAAAATTAGGATCGGACAACGTCTGTGGAGTCAGCTGGTTATTTATAAAAAAAAACTTAAAAATACGCAAATATTTTTTTTTATATTTTAGTGTATTCTCAAAATTTTAATTTCAGTTTTGACGAGACTGGAAACTTGTATATAAAAAACAGCAGCTCGACACATGAGGGGATATATGTTTGTGCTGCCGAGAATCTCGCCGGAATCGCCCGGAAGACTTTCTTCCTTACTGTTAATGGTTTGAATTTCAACTTGTCTATACATACTGTTTAATTTTATTTATATTTTGCGAACGGAATGCTTTGAATTTCAATTTGAAATGGAATTTGAGATGGAATAATGAAATATCCAAATGTAAAGAAAAAAACTACATACCTTTTTTTTACATTTAAAAAAAATAATTTGCTGATATACTTTTTAGAAGCACCTAAAATTCTAAATGACAATTACACGAGTCCCTACATAGCATCAACTTTGGACGACACGCTGATTGTTACTTGTAGAGCGACGGGCAAACCTCGACCTTATGTTACTTGGATTAAGGACGGATATTACTTGGATAAAGGTAAATTTATACAACTGCACTAATATGCAGACTAATAAATAATTAAATAATTATTTTTAATTAAATATTTGAATATTTTATCTTGGATGGAAGCTTCAATTAAAGGTCCTTGAAAGTTAATCAGTTTTATTTTATTAAACATTCAGACAGCACGAGGTTTTAGGTAGCAACAGAGTATATAGATAATAAACTACAGTCAACATTTAAATGTCATAGAGAACATACTTTTAAAGTTAACAACAAATTATCAAAGACAATATTATTATAATACCAACATTTTAGGCAATTTTATTCAGAACTCCCTGAATCCCATAATATTAACTATTTCTATTTTTAAAACGTCATACACGTTGTTTGAATTAAAAGAACTAGCGTTCGCCCCGTGGTCAAAATTCGACCATAATCATTACTGAAAATTTATAAATAATACTGAACTGTTTTATCCTTGCTATGTAAAAAAAACTGTTTCCAAAAATTTTTAATGACACAAAAACTCGTCAAAAATTACTAAAGAAAAAAAATGTTTGACAAACAGAGGGGAAAAAGGCGCTGGACCGTTTTGTCTTTCCCTATTTACATGTAGATTTCCTGATAATAGTACAATTACCAATTTCAAAACGAAGTATCCTTTATGTCTATTTTACAAGGAAATAATGTTGTTTTATGAAATAGTAGTGGATTGTTGAGTGGGCACTATAACATAATTTTGGTCTTGGACCATAATCATTTTGACATGATTATAGCAAGGAAAGCATTTATTAGTTAGACAGTAATAATAGAGTAGATAAGTTACTTTTTTCCGGTACATAAAGTGATTCCCGTGGGATATATTAGTATTTTGGAAAATATTGCTTAAAGAGACGTTATAAGTCTTTAAAACTTTCATGGTCACTGACAATATTATTATAATGTAAAACATCCCGTGTTACATAAACATGTAAATATGCCGTTTTAAATTATAAAAATACGTTATTTCTTATTATATTATAATCTAATCTTTTAGATTCCCGATACAACATAGATGTTGATGGGACTCTAACAATTAAGCAGCCATCGGAGGATCTGAGTGGGAAATACACTTGTGTGGCGCGAAGTAGCGCCGGTAACGACAGTAAGGACGTGGATGTTGAGATATATTGTAAGTATCTACACATTGGAAATTTATGTTTATTGCAATTAGCTTTTAGAAATAGTAATGCTCTTCGGGAAAGTTTTTTGGAAAACGCCTCACCCAGCCAGTAAGTGCTTCTGTAGAATTATATGAGCGCCAAAATTATTTGGGTGAAAAAAATTATGGTGTTTACTGTTTTCATGTTGGAATAAATGGCTATTTTAACTTCCTGGTAGCCCTAGGTAGGCAACCCACAAGTGGCTAGCCGGATACGGTCTTTTTTTCATCTATAACTGTTATGATTTCAGGTGTGGTCTTTATTTCCATAAGTCTAAAATAAAAATATTGGTACTAGAGAAATACATAATTACAAATTGTGTCGGGTCAAAAGATACAAAATATTCAAAAGTCAGTCAAAAGATACAAAAGCCGCCGCGTAATGAACAAATAACAAATTAGATATGATTAGAATGGTATATTACTTAAACTTTTTCATTTTGCTTAGCTGCAGGCAAAAATTTCAGCTTTCTGAAATCTATAAAATAATTCTGACTTAAATGACAATACCTTTTCCAGATCCTAATTTAAAAGTATAAAACTAAATATATGAATAACATTTCTTCTATTTCCTTCCAGCTCTCCCAACGCTACTCCAAGATGAAGGCTCTCCCGCAGTGACCACAGCGCTGGAGGGCGCGGCCGCCGCGGTGCAGTGCCCCGTCCGCAACGGATACACTGTCAAATGGTATAAGGTTAACATAAAGTTTCTACAATTTCATTTAATTAGTAAAATTATATATTGCCCCGTGATAACGCGCTCGCTTGAGAAACAAAGTGAAGCTAGTTCGAATCCCGGGTATCGCACCTCTGATATTTTCATGTGCGAACCATTTACAACATGTCTTACGGTGAAGGGAAAACATCGTGAGGAAACTTGCGTGATGTCTGAGAGAAACTACCAAGTTTTCGAAAGACGTATAGAATCCATCTCGCACTTGGCCAGCGTGGTGGACTATGTCCTGATCCCCCTCGTACTGAAGGGAGGCCCGTGCCCAGCGGTGGGACGTTAAAAAGGGCTGAATACGAAGACTACTATTATAATTGCGAAAGGTTGTGTGTATGTTTGTTACTTCTTGACGCTGAAATGGCTGAAAGGATTTGGGAGAAAATTAGTATACAGATTGGCTATGTGCTGGAGTAACACAAAGATCTGGCTGTCCTACATCGTAAGCTCCATACCTAGAGACGCACCCGAGCGAAGCGGGAGTAAGTTACTGATAATAATTTATTTATATATAGTGTTTTAAATAAACCTCTTTATAAATAGAGAGATTTACTGGCGATGCATCATGTTGCACGTAAAATTTTATTCCATAGAATAGTTCGTATTTGAGAAAATACTTCAAGCAAAGGAAGCTGACGGCCAGTGTCCTTTTTTACTAAAAAAATACTTTTTAGTCTCGGGTAGTCGGTCTGAGTATAATTGATGCGTTTTTCTTGCAAGAGATTCTCAGTAACAGCCCGGAGTTAGGAAGTTGGCGGTGTTTCAACTCCGTCTCTGCCCTGATCTTTCACATCTATATCTCCTGCGCAGATATCTATATTCTAGTTAAAATGCCAACGTGGAAGACATTAATTATTATTTATTATTTTGTTAACTTTGTCTCTATGTAATTTAGGACGCTAAGGTCATTTCCAATGGAAGTTTAATCATCTCTAACGTGTCTCGACACAACGAGTCTCAGTACGCGTGCGTCGCGAGCAACGCCGTCGGCTCCGTACATACAAATGTTATGCTGAAAGTTGAATGGCCACCGAAGTTTATATCACAAGTCAATGAAACAGTAGATATAGTGAAAGGAGAGGATTATTACTTCGATTGTAAAACTGATGCAAAACCACGGGCTAAGGTTTGTATTGTTTTTGTTGTGTTTTGTTGGATATAGTTTTAGTTGAATGTTTGGTACTAAATTAAGCTGAAACGGTTAGTGAATTTGTATGTAGATATACTACGATAGAACTCTCTGTACTGGAATAACACATAGGCTACTTGTACTGTACACAGGAATGCACGAAATGAGGGTAAAGTGTAAAATAAATAAAAAAATAAACAATTACAGATTGAATAAAAATATCATTGAGTTTTATTAAGCATTATTAAAAAAAACTCAAAGTTTTTTTTTATTAACCAGGAATAAAAAATAACATAATTTATAGTGATGTAAGAAGTACTCAGTTGATCTTTTTAACATGTTTTTAACATGTTTATACATTAAAAAAAAATAATTATTAATTTTTTTGCAGACAAGATGGTATTTTAACTCCAAATTTCTCTTCGGAGAAGATAAAGAAGTATTAAAACTAATGAATGTACAGATAAAACACACGGGCGTGTATAAATGCGTGGTGAAAAACGAGCATGGTACGGTGTTTAAGCAGTTTAATGTTGACGTATTGGGTGAGTGATGAAAAACGCAATTTTTTACAGACAAAAATTTATTTGATTTTTTCTATATTTTTTAGATATACAAAATTGTATAAATATCATGTATACAAATAATTTAAGTTAAACTTAATATAGGACTAATAGTAATTTTAAAATAATACTTATATTTTTTGTACGGCTTTAGATTTTTTTCAACTTATATCTTGTTCCAACTAAATATTTTCGATACAGGTATAGAAATAATTAAATTATTTTCCTGTTTTTTTTTCAGAACCACCATTTATATCAGAGTTTAATCTGTTAGACGTGCAGTTGAAATCCGGCACTAACGCTACCCTCGAGTGCGAGGCGCGGGGCTCGCCCAAACCCAACGTTACTTGGACTTTCAAGTAATTGTTTTCTACATATTTCGAAAAATATTATTTAAAAATTAATGGTATTCTTTTTTTAAAGATCCTTTGAGTTTTTAAATAAAACTCTTTTATTATAGTTACGCGAATATTTGATATTTTACTCGTAAATAAAGCTACCCGTGTACTCCTACCTGGGTACGCCCATGTAAATAATAAATACTTCTCGTAAATGATTTATGTCCGGGAAATTTTTGTTATAGTGTTGGATTAAACTGGCTTTTGATTCGTTTGTCTGACTGTCCAGTATAATATTATTCTAGAACATATTTTTTGCTTCCAGCAACACAAACTGGATCGTTCAAAACGCAACAATAACAACAACGAACGTAACACAACAATCCGAAGGTCTGTTCCAATGTGGCGCGAGCAACAAAGCCGGCGTGTCTCGCATCGTGTACCGAGTGGTTGTTATCTCCGGCGCTAAAATAGAAGAAATATTATTATTTATGGACGGTACAGGAATTCATGTGGAGGAGAAGGCGGAATTAACGGTAGGTTTTTTATTTTGATTTATTTTACAATAAACAAAAGACCTCAACTTTATAAAGGAGTAAGAACATTTTGCATTCACCAAACGATCAAAGTGAATCACTTATGAATGTCTAAAAAATCATTTATTAACTAAGCCAAATCTGTACATTAAATATTTTTTGGAAAATCTTATTGAAATAGACATTGTTATCGATGCAGAAGCCGAATCTATAGTTTTTAGAAGTTTTGTCTGTTTGTCTGTCTCTCTGTCACGTCTGTGTTACCGTATCACGGTGAAACTACTGGAGAGATTTTGATGAAATTTGGTATGATGATAGCTGGTTATCCGGGTCACCATATAGGATACTTTTTACTGCGGGAAAATATCTCATATCTGAGAAATCTGTACTAAAAGTTAAAACGTTATTAGGGACGAAACCGAGTGGAGCGAGTATGAGTCGCTAGTAATATATATTATGTTTTATTTTAGCTAGGTACAAAAGTCAGAATAGCTTGCAAAGGATCCGGCAGTCCGCCACCAATAATTCAATGGATCCGATATGGCAACACTGTTAGTGAGAATGACAAAGGCGTTGGATACGCTGATTTGGTGTTGCCAGATGTTAGGACTTACGATTCTGGAGAGTACACTTGTGTGGCGTCTAACGAAGGCGGTACTCACGATAAAAAGATATCAGTTAATGTTTTAGGTATGCTTAATATTTTGTTTATAGCTATGTTTAAAAAGTCCTCGATTTGTTCAGAAGTGTTCTATATCTATTCTAGATAGTAACAAAGTAAAATCTGTACAAAATTATTTAAATAAAATAATAATGATTTTTATGAATTGTCTGCAGAAGATAGAGCCCGAAACAATGGTTGTTGAAATTTTTGTCTGTTTGTCTGTATGTATTTGTGTATTTCCATCAGTATGTGTGCCGTATTTAATTTTTTTGTGTAATTACAACTTATTACACGAGTCAACATTTAGGGTGTACATTTTACTACAGAAAAATCTAAAAAATCCTACAGAATAGTCTGATATCTCCTAAGGTACACTCGCGATAACTATTTTTATCTATTTTTAATGTACCCAGGGACGAAATCGAGTGAATCAATGTTAAGTCGTTAGTCATAAATAAAAGTGAAGCTTATAATTACTTTAAATTATATAACCAACATAATAACAAGAATATTCCTGCACAACAATTAATAAAAGTATATTTTTTTATCAGTACTACAAGTTTTCAAATATTTTTAGAGCCTCCAAGAATATTTCAAACGCTATTGCAAAATGCAAATCATTCAGAAAATATCATAGATTTAGAAGTGATATCCGGTCAAGCGTTTTACTTACACTGCCATCCTTACGGGAACCCGTTTCCGGAAATATACTGGTTCAAAGATGGCTTGCCATTGAGATTCTATGATGAGTCTATGGTCTCAACTGATTTTGGCGAAGTTGTTCATTCAAAGAACGCGATGTATGAACAGTCGGGGAATTACACGTGTGTTGCCAGAAATAAAGTGGGTGAAGCCAGTGTTGTTTACTTGGTCGATGTATTGGGTAAGTTGTTTTGATTATTTATAAATGAAACATCTCAAAGTTGATATAAAATTTGAATCTTATTGAATGTACATATAGAATTAGAAATTTGTACAAATTCCATCCCACTTCAGGCACTTACAATTTTATTAATAAATATACTATTAAATTACTATTGAAAACACTATTGAAAAAAAAACCAAATCCTTAATGGTTAAATATCGATAACATATACCAATTTTAAAAAGGAATTGTTATACTATTAAAACCTTTTATAATATTTAGGACGCATCCAATATAATACTTCCCACTGTAAAACCACAAAAACACTCAATTGGAAGTTATAGCGAATAATATTTTCTAATTATGTAGATGTATAAAAAAAATATTTCCAGTTCCACCCCCACCACTAAAAGACAACACGAAGCAAGCCACTGCCCTCGTGAACACCCCCCTCAACATGTCGTGTCCGGCGCCGCGCTCGCCCGCGCCCGCCGCGCTCTGGCTGAAGCATCCGTACACTGAAATAGCCGAAAACTCTAGGATAAAGTTGCTCGACGATAATTATACTTTGGTAAGTGTACTATTATAATGATACTCGTAGTTAAAACTAAAAAAAAACCGGACAAGTGCGAGTCGGACTCGCCCACCGAGGGTTCCGTACAAAGTAGGAAATCTGTTTAATTTTCAACTTTTTTTTATTTTTTGGAATTTTTCCATTATTTGTGCTGTAAGACCTTGCTTTTTGCCTAATTTCGTGATTCTAGGTCAATTGGAACTACCATATAGGTTTTCCAATTCCCAAAACCTATAGGGTACTTCCGGTTGACCTAGAATTGTCAATTTTGTTTAAAAATAAGGAAAGGAAATAAAGGGAAAATTCCGAAAATAAAAAAGTTGAAAATTAAGGTAAATTTTAGTACTTACAAGTTTTCGCGATAATCTAAATTTGCCCTTAAATTTATCGTGTTGACTCAGGACCTTGATTTTTATACACCTAATAGGGACTATAGTCTATAGAGCTCAGTATCTGGTATAAATTTTGAACTTGCTAGATCTGGTCCACCCATTCTTGAGAAAATCGGTGGTGACACACGGACAGACAGACAAGAGAGTCTTATAAGGGTTTCTTTTTTTATCTTTTGAGGTACGGAACCCTAAAAAGCGCTTTTGGCTAGCTGTGATACATGTAAGCCATAAATATGAACAAACTAGCGGCTAGACCTCGCTTCGCTCGGGTTCGCCTCTAGAAAAAAAAACAATCCCACGGGATTTTTCCAGAATAAAAAGAAAAAAATAGCGTATGTGATATTCCAGACTTTAATCTATACTTGTGCCAAATTTCATCCAGATCCGTTCAGCCGTTCTGGCGTAATCAAGGAACAAACATCCATCCGAACATCTAAACTTTCACATTTATAATATTCGTAAAATAAAAAGTAAGGTAACAAACTCAAAGATAATATAGTGACTATAGAAGAGTTTTACTATCGAGCCTCTTCAGATTAGCTCAATGATCTTGAGAGCAACTTTTGAGTATCTCGCCGGCTCTTCTCAGCAGAACTGCCTTCCGAGCCGGTGGTAGATTCCTCACGGACTGACTACACTTCCATTAATTTAAATTTTTTAAATTTTAAAAGTGACGACTCAAAAGAGCTTAAATGAATGAATAACTTGTTATTGTACACCCAAAAAGAGAAAAGAAAATAAACAAAATATAGAACAAGGTACAAGAGGCGGCCTTATCGCTAAAAGAGCGATTTCTTCCAGGCAGGCTTGTAAAAGTCTATTTGAATAAAGTAAAATTTGATTTGAATTATTACTTTTAACCAGACTGATTTTTTTTCTAGTATCGTTAGTTAAAATATTATTAATATAATCTTTATTTAATGAAATTTAAAAATGACAGTTATTTTTTTAACCACAGTTAATAACAAAAACAGAAGTGGCAGATAGCGGCAAGTACTCCTGCATAATGACAAATAAAGTCGGTACAACGGAGCTGATTTATGATGTAGTTATTCAAAAACCGCCAGAAATAAAGGGGAATAACGGGAATAATACTATTGAAGATCACATAGTGTCCTTGCGGAGGAGCATCGTGCTGAAGTGTGAGGTTGATGGGAATCCACCGCCTAATATTACTTGGTTTAAGGTTAGTGAGATGTACATAAAATAAGCTAAAGGCTACGGGCTAGATAATATATAATTTATATCTGTTACAATGAAAATAATATCAACTAGTAAAGTCATACATCAATTATTCTTGCATCATCATTTTAATTTTAAAATCTACAACTAAACTTTAGATGTAAAGTTTAGTTTTATGCATGTATAATATGTATGATGTATATAATGTTCAATGTTTCGTTATAAATAAAAATATTTATAGGTATCTTATATAGCATTGCAAAAAAACTGTGTTTTTTCTACTGTGAAAAAAGAAACTAAAAAAAACGCGTTTTTTTGTCGAGTATGTTTTCTTTTTGAGAGTACAGAATTCAAGATTAAGGTAGTTTCCGTAAAAGATTAATACTGAAGAGTTCATATTAGAGTTTTTTGTTTATTTTTAAACCTACCGTATATACTTTTTTGATTGAATAGTACGAACCTTACATGTGAAAATTCCGACACTGACAATAACAAGACTAGTGTAGGTGGCACTGATAGTGAAAGTGATACTGACATTGATGCAAAGGAAGAATAAATTTTTATTTACTTCATTTATTATTATATTCGATTTGTAATTTTAGTAGTAGGGGAGCCCAAGAGGGGATTTTCTGTAGTCTCTTGGGCTCCCCTACTATAGTAAAATGTAAGAAAATGGAAAACATACTTCAATAACACATGATTTTCCTAGTTTTTTTTTTGAAAAAATCACAATTAGAAAAAAAAACCAGAATTGTTAACTTTTTTCGTGTCCTTTTTCTAAATAGTGTAACTTTTTTTCGTTTTTTGTTTTTTTATGTTACATCAATAATCTTATAATATCAAATGAGAAAATCTTGTATATTTTTATATAAATGTATTTCGTGCATCTCGGAAACGGTTCTAACGATTTGGATCAATTTTTGTGTTTAGATAAGGTTTTGCTTTTAAAGTTTATCTTATTGTATTTTTTTTGAAATAAACGCAATTTTAATATCTTTTCCGAAATCAAGCAAAGCTCGGTCGGCCAGGTACCAATATTTTAATAGAATAGTATTTATTTAGTATTTTCATGTGTGGATCATTTCCAACATGATTACCACTTGTCTTAACGGTGAAAGAAAACATCGTGAGGAAACCTGCATGTCGGAGAGAACCTAGCAAGTTTTCGAAAGACATGCTCAGTCCGCCCTCACTCGGCCACCGTGGTGGACTATGGCCTGATCCCCCGAGTACTGAAGGCAAGCCCGTGCCCAGCGGTGGGGCGTTAAAAAGGGCTGAATACATATATTTATTTCGTTGTTGTGTTCATCCCCAATCATCAGGACGTCCAGGCACTGAGCCGCTCACACCCCGATATCCAGTGGGTGGCGGGCGCGGGCGCGCTGGCGCTGTGGGCGGCGCGCGCGCGCCACGCCGCGCAGTACGTGTGCGTGGCGGAGAACGCCGCGGGCGCCGCGCACCGCCGGTACAACGTCAGGGTTAAAGGTCTATATCGCATATGTTACTATTTTTTTTTTTAAGAAAAACTTCTTAACGCACGCTTGACTTGGGGGATATGCTGGTGAACGGGTTACGAAAATATGTACGTACGTTTGTTGCCATGGCAACCGTTCTTATTGTCTGACAGATAATATGTAATATTATATTCTTTCTTTAAATTCCCATATTTATAGATTATCAATTCTATAAATATATCATTGTAATATGCCTAATATGTATTTATTTTTAGTATCTCACTTATCCTAATCCAATTATTTAAAACATTAATTGAATTTTATAAAGAGTACCGATAACCTACAAAAGTTTTACTTCTTGCGCGTGAACACATTCATACAGGCACTCTTTAATGTTTTTCCTTTATTAATTAAAAGTTTTACATATTTTTTAAAGTAAAACTTACTTAAAAAGTGACTGAAAAGTAAGTCGAGATATTAAAAAAATGAGTGTCGCAGAAGTGAGTGTAAAATTTGTTATTAAATAGCGACTCATCTTCGCTCCATTCAGATTTTTCCCTAGGTACGTTTTAACAGTTAATATAGATTTTTCAGAGATGAGATATTTTGCGGCAATAAAAAAATATCCTATATTATTTATTGCGTTGACCCGGATAACCAGCTATCGTCATAACAAATTTCATCAACATCCGTCCAGTGGTTTTCTCGTGATGCTTTCCCAGACAGACAGATAAGCCTAAAATATCTATCTAAAACATAACGCCAAATTATAACGCAACTATACTGTATTATATTGTTCCACGTGATTAGTTGCAGATAAGACGCTTACGCCGCAATCACAATGCAAGTCATAATTACTTCGTCGTTGCATTCCGTATCGTTCAGGCGTCTCTCGTGTAGTTACCTGATTTATTATCAATGTAGGAGATGACAGTGATACATTGGAAAGTGAAAATGAATAAATTATGTATAAAACATTTAAAAATACTGTTATTTTTACTTTAATGTAGGTTTATTTTGTATGTTGATTTTATTTTATTACAAATTATTAATAAATCCTCACTAAAGCATTAGCCACATGAACGAGCCCTTTGATTTCAAACCATTTGCAAGTGTTAGTGGGCGGAGCTAGACAGTTTTCTGTCCTTATCAGTTTGTATGCTAATGTGGGACAGAGAAAGCGCTTTGCATGGTTCATTCCGTGAACAGAGTATAATGCTGTACTATGTTTTTTTTACTTCCGTAATCTAATCTTTAATTGAACCATATCTAATATTAACTTATTACAACTTAATTAATTGTATGTATAATATTATACAGTAGTTGAAAGTGGAATTTGACGTAAATTCCTATATGAATATATATCCGACTCCCTACCGTAGTGCCGGGCAAGTGGAGCGCGTGGTCGCCGTGGTCGTACTGCAACGCGACGTGCGGGCTCGGCTACCAGCGCCGCGCGCGCCGCTGCCAGTACGTCGACGACGACAACAATGTTATTGGTATTATATACTTGTTTAGTTTTAACATAGATTTTTTTTGTCGCTTCAGTATAGGCCCGATTTTCAGCGAAAGTGCGACATCGCCCTGTTGTCGTGGATTTTGGGACTACGTAGTTGATTGGGTTGTTAAAAGATGCATCTGAATGAGGGCTACAAAATGCAAAAAAAAAAATAGAAAACACTTAAAGGCTTTTTTTTAAATCGAAAAAATGTGAAAAATGCGGTCGGTTTTCGCTCGATTTCGGTCAGAAAAAAAATCATATCTCGAAATGAAATATAAGATATCAAAAAAATAAAAAAAAAACCCCTAGAGATATAACTTTGTAAAATCCAATCAGTAGTTTTTGTGTACTAAACTGTATATTGTATAAGTTAGTATAGATGTTTAACTATCCCACGGAACTCTTTAATTTTCCGGGATGAAAAGTATCTAATACGTTGACCGGGAATATAAGGTACCATGCAAAATTTCATTTAAATCGGTCCAACAGTTTCGGAGATTAACCCGTGCAAACAGACAAACAGATAGAAGAAAAAAATTGAAAAAATCTCGATTTGTTCTATTTCTCTTCTTACATCTCCCTGACTCGGTTTTTAGCGTATTTTTTCTATGTACAGACATTCGGCCTCTACAGTTTTATTATATGTATAGATAATATCTTTATGCATCCAAATACTTTTTTGAAGTCTGAAACCGGGCAAAATCGGTTGTTCTGCTAGTAATTAATATGTTAAAAATTTAATTTAGTTCATTTGGTAGATTCATTTTCAATGTACTCTAAGGTCGTGGCAGACACGAGATCTGTGTATTTTTTTTTAATTTATTTAGTAAGTTACGTACTTGTTTATTCGCTTGCTTATATTTTTTTTTTTACATAATATTTCAATTCAATTTTCTTGTTAATGGTTTCTAAGCGTGCGAATAATATTATTTTTACTTTATTTTATAATTACAAACAGAAACAGAAAAACAGAAAAACAGAAACGAACCTATCCCACGGGAACCGTATATTTTTCCAGGATACAAAGAAGCCTATGTGTTATTCCAAACTATAATCTATCTCTGTGCCAAATTTCATCCAGATCCATTCAGCCGTTCTGACGTGAAAGAGTAACAAACATCCATACACACACATCCACAAACCTTCACACGGATTGATTTTCATACGGATAATATTTCAAGACATCTGCTTTGAAATAATCAAAGAATTTTTTGGAATTTTTTTTATGTACTAATTAAATCCAAATGATTCAGATTAAAAGAGTAATTTAAATAATATACGTTAGAATATTTAAGTAGAACAACGTTCTAATATTTTAGAGCTTTATATCGAACTGTTTATAATTTGACTAAATATATTTTTTATAGATAAAATCAACCAGCCAGATAAAATAATTTTGGATGAATCAGAGTGCAAAGGTGTGGCCATCGATAGACGAAAATGTCACATGCCATCTTGTGAGGTGACGACATTTATTATTACAACAAAATAACTGATTTATTTTATTTCTGTATTTTTTTTGTTGATCTATATAATATTATTTGATATAATCAAACAAAAATAGTAAGTATATCTCTAAAGTACTGCTAAAAATCTTAAACAAAAATCGATTTTCTTGTTATTATGAACCAATTCAATCAGCCAAGTCTAAAGTCTTGATTTTTAATTTTGTCATCCGAAAAACAATGAATAAAAGAGATTTGAATAAAAGCGCAATTCAATTTCGATTGTGCACTTGTTTTATGAGGACACTTTTGTGACCCTAATCGTTAGTGTACTTTGGGTTTTTGTATATCAATAATTTAATACCAATAGAATTAACATTTAAAAGTCAATAAAATAGTTGTGTATTGAATACTTTTTCTGTAAATTGATCGTGTGGAACACCGTGTGCAGGAGGCGCCGCGGCCGCGCTGGTCGCGGTGGTCGGCGTGGGGCGCGTGCTCGGCGTCGTGCGGCGCCGCCACGCAGGCGCGCGCGCGCCGCTGCCGCCGCGCGCCCTGCGCCGGGGACGCCCTGCAGGTGAGCGCGCACGGGAGCTTGCAACTAACTAGTACAGCCGTTTGAAGTGAAAACTTCTATAGGCAATGTAGGCACTTGGGTGTGTGTATACACAAACATCCTTTTTATACTTTTTCTATTTTTATTAAGACGTTTTTCAATAGCTTTTTTTATAAATTACAATTGTGACAAATTAGAAAAAAAAAATAGTAACATTATAAGGCATACAATATTAAGCACGATTTTTATTTCTATTTTTAATAAAATAAATTAAAACAATTATACTGTGTTGGCCGAATGACTCGAGCACTGAGATTTTGTATTTCCACGTGATTAGTTGCAGATAAGACGCTTTGGCCGCGATCACTATGCCAGTCATAATTACTACGTCGTTGCATTCCGTATCGTTCACACACGTCTCTCGTGTAGTTACCTGATTTATTATAATCAATGTAGGAGATAATAGTGATACGTAGGAAAGTATAAATTAATAAATAATATTATATATACATATTTAAAAATACCATTAATTTTACTTTAATGTTGATTTTATTTTATTACAAATTATTAATAATTCCTCGCTAAAGCATTAGCAACATGAACGAACCCTATGATTTCAAACCGGAGCTAGACATTTTTGTCTTTATCTGTTTGTACATCCTAATGTGAGACAGAAAGCGCTTTGCATGGTTCACTCCGTAAATAGAGTATAGTAGGGCCTTTTTGAAGTGAAAACTTCTATAGGCAGGTTTGGATGGGGACTAAATTCATGTAAGTCGTCATCGACATGGTCACGTGACGTGTCAACGTTAACACTCAGAGCGCCGATAGATGTCAAAACCAGATAAATGTAAATAGTTTTAATTTACAAATCAAACGATTAATTTGAATATTATCCAAAAATAACAACTGTTTGTTTATAGTTTTAAGTTTTCATTTCTGTCGGCATTCCTCATGACTACTTTTTTTTAATGTTAGGAAATACATTTACGCGACCTCTTATTTTACCTTATTGATTTTCAATGCTAGACTAAGTATAACCTTTCAAAAAAAATGTTAGTTTTAGTTTAGTGTAGAATAAACATAAACCCGTTTTGCACTTGAAATTATTCTATTCTCAAACAAACAAGGCTCCGTTAGAATGGATGCTGACTACAATATTTGCGAGACTTTAAACGCACGAAACCACATTTCTGTTTGCTACTTTCCCTGTTTTCCTACGACAATAAATATTAACCATGCACTTGTCGGTCATATTAAATGAATAAATGAAAATTTTGGACTACTAATATAAGCAGGTTTTTAATACATATGATATAAATTTTCATAGATAAGAAAATGTCAGGGTCTCCCGCAATGCAGGTACCAGCGGAAACAAACTAGCGATGAATACAACGAAGGGGATGTTGAAGACGTAGAGGAAAATATTATTAAAGAGAATGTAAGTTCATTATTATAAGAGAAATATTCCTTTTATTTAAACTATCTATATCTTAACATTAACGATAAAATTTCATTAATTTTTAATTTTTAGAATTTAGATTATTTACCCGAGGCAACATTTGAAATGGACCCCGAAGGAAATCATCCAGAACATACTGACAGTGTTAATGATTTTTATATTCCTCCAGGTAAAATATTATTTTCATACTTATCTATACATATAATAAAATTGTAACTAAGCCGAATCTGTACATTAAATATTTTTTTTGGAAAATCTGATTGAAATTGACATTATTATCGATGCAGAGACCGAATCTATAGTTTTCAAAATTTTTATCTGTCTGTCTGTCTGTCTGTTACCGCATCACGCAAAAACCACTGTAGGGATTTTAATTAAGGGAAATTTGGTATGGTTAACCGGGTCAACATATAAGATACTTTTTACCGCGGGAAAATATCTCATTTCCGAGAAAAAATACAAAAACTGCAATGTAAGAGTATACTAATATGTAAAACCTAAAAATTTGGTTTTTGGTCATCAGAACGCGGGCGGAGCCGCGGGCAATGCTAGTAATACATATAAGAATATTCATGTCCATGAATATTTCAAACTTTTGTTCGCTTTTTTCTTTGTATTCAAATGGATACGTTAACAAAAGTTACAAGTTCAGTAGAAAGTAGCACTTACTGCAATTACCATATTTACGAGGAATCCGGCTCGAAGGACTAAGTTATAAATTTTTTTGTCTTATAAGAATACTTACTCGTTACAGCATTTATAGAAGTGTTTATGAACATTAATACCAACTTTCTTTTTTTTTTTGATTCAAGATAAATATTATTTTCCTATAAAATACTCTTTAGTTCAGTTTTATTGCATTTGAGAATCGAGTATATTTTCTACAAATATGAATCTATTATCCACTCCCTTAACTAGTACATTTTCAAATATTCAATCAATCACCGTACGATATAGCAAAATAAACAAAAAACTGAAATACCAACAATAATTGTCCATAGAATGGCCACAAACAGTATACTACGACGTGAACGTGACGAGTAACTTGGACGGCAGCGAGCGCGGGCCCTGCGCGCCCGGCTACTCGCGCGCCGGCGACACTTGCCATGGTGGGTATCCGTGAACTAAAGTAAAAGAAAAATCGAATCACGTAAATCTATACTAATATAATAAAGAGAAACGCAAATTAAAAACTGTTACGGAAACCTTCGTGTGCAAGTCTGACTCGCACTTGACCGATTTATTTTTTTATTTTGATTTCTAAACTAGCGCGAGTAAATTATATTTATCGAAGTGGTAAGTAAATCTAATTATAAAGATTTAATACTGTTAAGTCAAAAAATATTTTAACGTTGCTTTAGAAGATATCTGAAGTGATTATATAATAAGTAAATATTATTTATAAGCAGTGGTAGCCTAGTGGTAACGCGCTCGCTTGGGAAACCGAGTGAAGCGGGTTCAAATCCCGGTTCTCGCACCTCTGATAATTTCATGTGCGAATCATTTCTAACATGATTACCACTTTGCCTTACGGTGAAGGAAAACATCGTGAGGAAACCTGCATGTCTGAAAAAACCTAGCAAGTTTTCGAAAGACATGTGAAGTCCACCAACCCGCACTTGGCCAGCGTGGTGGACTATGGCCTGATCCCCCTCGTACTGAGGAGGCCCGTGCCCAGCAGTGGGACGTTAAAAAAGGGCTGAATACATACATACAAATATTATTTCAATGAGAATAGCGAAAAATAATTTATGACATTTTCCTCACACCTCTAAAACAATCCGTTCGCTTTTAATTTTTTTATTGTTGTAATATTTTTTACGAAATACTTAAAATATTAAAGGTTTTTTTCTTGTAACTTGATTTCTAAACATAAAATTCTCAAAAAATAATCCTTAATAAAAGGCCGTTAGATTATCAAATTATTCTACTATTAGGGTTGTACTTATCTAACGATTAAAAAATCGAATAAATTTTAGTAATCGATTTTTATGATTTCATCATTTATGCCCAGACATAGACGAATGTGTCATAGACAACAACGAGTGTCACTTGACGCAAGTGTGCGTGAACACATACGGCGGTTATCGCTGTTCATGCCCTCCTGGGTATACATCGCTGGGCGCAGGGAAACGATGCTTGGGTGAGATTTCATACTTTAAAAAATTAAAACTTGAGTTTATTTTACAAAGATTAAAATATTTGTTAAATACAAACTATTTTTATTAATATTTTTTATGAAAAAAAAAACAAATTATTATTGCATTAAGAATCACTTCTAAGTAGTAAATATTACCACAAACGAATTTAGATATATTTCCATTGTATACTGTGCAATAAAATCTACAATTTAAATAGATATAAACGAGTGCCAGCAAGATTTGCACGGGTGCGAGTTCGCTTGCGTGAACGTGGCGGGCGGCTACGTGTGCGCGTGCCCGCCGCACCTGCGTCTGCATGCAGATAAACATCATTGTGTTACACGTAAGTTGTCTATATTAAATTACTATAAAAATGTAAAATAACATTTTTATGTGAAAACTATAAAATAACTGGCTGTCCCCGACTTTGGTCTGTACTTTTTTTATAATATCACGGATAACACTATCACCACATAATATATGTATATTGTTATAAATACGCCATTTCTTCAATTACCCCGAGATATTACACACCATAGCCAAACTACGATAAATTTAAAGACTATGTAAAATTAAAGCTACTTGTATCAGCTTAATTAAAAAATGCTTTCCTCCATATCTATATGAAGTGACGGTTGAGAAAAAGGGGCTTGAAAGACAGACTAACGGACAACAAAATGGATCCTATAAAGTGCTTATTTTATTTCCAGATCCGGTACCTCAAAAATGATAATATAATATGTATATTCTTTTTAGAACTGTCGTTTTAGTATTTTACTAACTTTATTATCTTGGAATATGTTTTCGTTTTGTCTGACTATTTATTTTATTCCAGCGCCATTGTACAGAAAACCAATCTCGTATGAAGACTTAGTCGATGAAGAATATCATAGTACGTCCATGGAGTCCAGTACAAAAGGAGACATTAAGTAATAATATAAATAAATAAATTATATTTTTTAACTGTATTCTTATTATTTATTTTTTTAATAAATACTTTGTTAATAATATGTGTTTCATTTTACAGATTAAAAAGACTTCGCAAGTAATAAAACAACATAATTTTGTGTATTTAATTTTTAATTGCATATTTGTCAAATAAAACCACTGTGGATTTATCATTATAATTAACTTCAATCGGTGAATAGTTCATTATTGTTTCTTATAATCTATTAATATCGTGTTTTCCAAGTTGAAACACCAAGGGTTGCGTTCTACTAATCCTTAAATATTGCAAAACTAGATATAAGTTAGCTATAAAGTATAATATAGGGTCATTTTATGCATGATTTTCTAGTTTATATCATTGAGTAGCTATAGGTGGAAGGCGCTCATTGCCGAATATTTTCTTTATAGGTCCTCGCTTTGGGTCCAAGACTCTCTCGTCGTTCTTACGGGGAAGATGCCTGAAATGTAATTCACTTTGATTTTATTATATGGATAATATTACATATTATATTATTTTATTTGGTATTTAAATGATAGTAAATAGTCAGTCATTATTTAATCCGTGGATAACAACATTAGCATTTTTAACGCACATACACACATAAATACATTGGGATTATTAAAATTGGTTGACAAAGGTAATGAATTTTTTTTTTATATAGTTTTTTTAGCCAATTTTGTTGAATAATAGTAGCTAACAAAGAATTATGCATGACTGCATAATACTATATTCCTTTGTTAACTTCTTTTCATCTTTTTAGTTAGCTTTTATGCAGTCGGGTTATTTTTATAATATATATATATTTATTTACAGCTTTTTAGTTTATGCCAATTAGACTTTTTAAGTTTTATTTAGCAATACTTTATCGTAAATTACTTTTAACACCTCCAGTTAAATGTCTAAGAAATTAATTAAATTTCTAAGTAATCTATTGCTAACTGTAACGCCGGCGTGTCCGCGGTCGTTGAGGGATTAAACATAATCATATACATTGTATATATTTTTGTGATCGCCTCTTAAAAACCTTTATTTTGATACCCCTATCGATTGATTTGGAAGATTTTTCTTAACTATTTTATGTAGCCTATGACATTTAAATTATCGAGACGATAGATTCGTCTATGAATAGAACGACGTATAAATTTAAAACTTCACATAGGAACAAACAAACATACACAGATTACTCTCCTTTGCGTCGTGCAGTCGGGTAAAAAATACTAGGATACATATTATGTTTATATTTGTAAACTTACTGCCAATAAGATCCATTCCTTTGGAGACGCATGATGTTGTTTTGGCAAATCATGAGTTCGTTTTGTAAGTATGTTCTTTGGTCATTAACTCTCACAAACAACTGTAAGAAAAAATAAATAGGCAATTAACATGGACTATTTAAGTTCATAATCACGTTTATTTGGTTGTTTATTCTAATTTTTCACATACCTTCGACTCTGAATCTAATCGCCATTCTCTGCTACGGAGAGTGCTTATCAAGTCAGTTTTTAGTCTTTCGAATCGTTTAACTGTACGTAACAATTCAGCCTGAAAAATGTTTTGTATAATATATTTCTTAGCACGACAGATGGATAAATGTATATTATTATATTACAGGACTTACAGGAGTAAGAATATCCAAATTGATGTTTAAATCATCATGCTTCAGTTTGCAATCTAAAAAAATTAAAATATGTGTATAAGAATTTAGATATTATTTTTATAATGTAAACATACAATATTCATTACCTAGTCCACAAACTTTCGCGCCTTTGATTTTGTTCTTCAGTATAGGCAGCTGTTCTTTCAAAGTATCGATAGCTTCAAGCAATTGCTTATGTTTTAAGCTTTCCTTTTGCAAGTCAAGATCTAAATCCCAAGAATAATCTGCTTTACGCAATTCTTCCTGTATACAAACTATTTGTTTTTCAAGTTCACCATTTTGCCATGCCGCTGATTCTCTATACAACAAATGTTAAAAAATAAATATAAAAACGTGTAAGTTTATGTACTTAATATTCTTTGGAACGGTTTTGGTTAAAAATGTTTTATTTTACCTGCATGTTTTTTCATGTTCTAATTCAGTTTTTAAATTTTCGATTTCGTTATCGTTCATTGTGATTTATTTAGAAATATGAAGACAAAACTTATTTAAAACAGAAGAAATAGGTGAAGGTTACTTGTAAATAGTTAAATCGATTGTACCATGACGACCACAATAATTATTATATTATTTTTGTTGAACAGTTGAAAAATTCGCATAAGCTATTGAGAGAAAAATATTGAAAACATCACGATATAATCATCATAACATTAACTCGAATTTTATTACTCCAAAGATAACATTAATATCGATTATTTAACTGGCGTAGAAAGATCATTACTAATATTTTGAATTAATTATCTGTTAAAATTTAGTGTCATTGAGATGACACTGACAGATTGAGAGATCTGTCATCTGAGATTTGAATTTTTAAAATAAAACCGGTAGATAAAAGTTATTTTGTAATTTTTTGTTATATATTTTATATTGAACAATATAAGTAATACTTTTTAGATTCGTGATATTTTAATAGCAGTCATGAGTTTGCTTAGTGCAGTTTTACAAGAAGCAGATAAAGGTACTACAAACGAGTTAAAAAAGTGTCGCGATGAATTAATGCCCATGTTAAAAGATCTAACTGAAAGAGTACAAATGTTATCTTGGTCATTACAACAAAATTTTATAGATACGTACTTTCATTTTACACCTACCAAGAGTTTAGAACAGTTAAACTACAAAAATCGAAAAGAAAACATACTGACTGACTATGCAAAGTTTAAGGAAGACATCAAATCACTTCAAGAAAAATTTGAAAACAAAGAGGTAATTGAAGAATTTAACAGTAACTGTAAAAAATTGCATAAATTAATGAAAACTTTAAATGATCTATGCGTTGTTGTGGAGGGGAAAAAGATATTTTATAACGCAAATCGTGAATTTGGCAGAAATAATTACATCGAAGCAATACTAAGTGTAAAAGAATTACTAAAAAAAATACGTGATTTAAAGTTTGAAGGTAATGGAATTAAAGCACTACAAAATATAACTGCTCAAGCAGAAAATTATTTGGCTCATTACACAGCACAATTGAGTGTTGAATGGGAAGATATTTTTACTTGGTCAGAAAAGAAGGGAGTTCATTTTCTTATATATTCTCTTTCTGTACAGCAAAGTGACCCGAGTTTAATACAAAATATTTTAAAATCTTTGTATTTTACTGAGAGAATGAACGCAGAGCTTGGACTATTTTCTCATTTTTTCATTGATCAATTGCTTCACAATGTTATTAGACATAATTGTGAAATATTTACCGAGGACCACATAGGTGCATTAGTCTTTAACATAAAAATAAGTTTTAATGAAACAAAGAGACCCAATTTTCAAACAATATTCAATAATTTAACTGCAATATTTGAATTTCTACAATCAACATTAGGTTCACAGTTTGAAGCTGACAGAACATTCATTCAAGTTTTTTCTGATACCATTAGTGAAAAATTCTTCAGTAAAATAATTGAAGACTGCATTAGGAATAACTTACCATCTTGTGATAGTAGCTATCAGAACTATAAAAACATTGTTATGGAGCTGGATTGCTTTAATAAATTTTTGATTGAATTGAAGTTTGTTGAAGCAGATGATTCTCCTCTTAATAAATATATTAATGATACTGAGTGTGTTCTATATAATAAAAAATGTGACAAGTTGTTGTCAGACATTCGTAATTTACTCGGGGAGAGTTTATCATATGGCACTGTAGTAGTAGGAAATACTTTTGAAACAGTCAATGATTCCATATTCACAACATCATTCCGAGAGGTTGATTATGATCTTAACAACCCATTGTTCTTACCAAAATGTGTAATATCTCAGAATGTTAAGAAAATAATGACCATGATTGTGGAGCACCTGGAAGAGAGTGTAAAGTTGCCTGAGAAATATAGAAATCAATTAGTCATGTATATAAAAGACATAGCAGTTATGTACCAGTGCATTATACCTAAGAAATTTAAAGTAAATTTAGACTGTTGTCCTCTGGATATTGGTAAGTATCTACACCTTATCTAAGGCAAATAAAAAAGATATCATATTATTACGAATTTTTTAAAGCTAATTAAACTAAATATCTCTTTCAGCTCTATTTTTCAACAATTGCTTTTACTTAGCGCACAGTCTATTGGGTCCACCATGGAAAAACACATTGCCACCAGCTTTAGCTGACCTCCTGAATACTATGCTGTTAGAATGTATTCAAGATCTTAGAGTTCTGGGCTTGGAGAAAATGTCTTTATATTTACAACACCAAAAAAATGTCATCACAGAGAAAATTGAGTCTAATGGTAAATAACTAGATTACACTTTTTTTTTTCTACATATATTTCAAAAGATAATGGAGAAAAAAAATCAATGAATGTTTGCTTTGTTGTTGTTTTTGTTTGATTTTTGTCAGTAATAACATATATATTTGTAACACTATAAATTCTTTAAAAAAATTATTATTTTGTATTCCTTGCAGAACTTCCCTGGACTCATGAATCCTATGAAACTTTAGACATTGCTATTAACCATGCAATTACACTTATGCATGAATTAAAAGTTACATGGTACAACATATTACCAACTAAAATGTATGAACTCTCCATTTGTACATTGGTTCAGGCTTTATGTCATTCCATGTTGGAGCGTATATTTGTCAATACAAAGCCTATTAGCGAAGACTTGGTTTATATGATGGCTGTAAGATTTGAGGACACCATTGCTGAGATAATGACGTTATTTGAGGTAAATATTTAATAGCATATTTATAAAGCTAGGTAAGATTTAATAACTTTTTAATACTCTACATTTTACATGTCTGTTATATAGTTTTAATATATAAAAAAATATGGTATAAGTGTTTTTGTATTTCTTTGAATATCCAAAGTAGAACAAAGTCTGCACCAAATTCTAATTGTTCTGGTTTGCTTGTATGAATGTATACAGTATGTATTCAGCCTTTTTTAACGTCCCACTGCTGGGCACGGGCCTCCCTTCAATACGAGTGGCATCAGGCCATAGTCCACCACGCTAGCCAAGTGCGGGTTGGCGGACTTCACATGTCTTTCGAAAACTAGGTTCTCTCATACATACAGGTCTCCTCACGATATTTTCCTTCACCGTAAGGCAAGTGGTTCATGTTAGAAATGATTCGCACATGAAAATATGAGAGGTGAGACCCGAGATTTGAACCCGCTTCACTCGGTTTCCCAAGGCGAGCGCGTTACCACTGGGTTCCCACTGCCTTGCATTGCTTGCACTAGTTTGCTTAAAATATTGTAATATTTTGGCCAAATTAAGAAATTAGTGCGATTGTGCTTAAAAAGTAGAATGCTCATTTACATACTTTTTGGTTTTACACATATGGGATTTATTTGTAGTATAAGCACATGAGTAAATACGCCTACAGAGACAAAGTTTTACACAACCGTGCTACGATAGATATTAGCTATAAATATTATATTGGGACGGTGTGTGCGTGTCAGCTCACAAACGAGTTCGCGTTCGCATTGCCCGTTGACAAAACCGATTGCTTCCGGCTCGAACCGTTGACTGTGGTCTGTGTAAAATGTCCCTCCGAGAGGCCACTCACTCAAAAGAAAACGCATATACTGCCTTATGGAGTAATACACTTGTCGTAGTTGTATAAAGCTTTTTTCTGTAGGGATACTGAGTCATGTCAGTCATGACGACTCATTTGGCTCAGCTTGTAGTGACCCTACTTGCTGTGCCAGCGGTCGCGGGTTCGAGTCCCGCTGGGGGCATTCATTTGTGTGATGACGAATGTTTGTACTCCAGTCATGGGTTTTTATATTTATAATATGTATGTATTTACAGTTATATATGTGTAGTGTATCAACTATCTGGTATCCATAACACAAGCCTCGTACCTTACCATGGAACTAGATGGTGCTGTGTGTTAATGTCCCAATTTATTTATTTATTATTATTTATTATGTGGTATGAATCAAAAATTGCTATAGTGTGAAAAATCATGTCTCATTATAATAAAAATACCCGGCGTTTTTTTGGAAACATATAAAATTGTTTTTTTTTTTTCAGAAAAGACACCTATATAGATGAATTTAGAAAGCAAAACCTTATCTAAATATAAAATTTAATCCAATTCGTTAGAGTCCTTTCCGAGATACACAAAATAAATTTATATACATAATATATAAGACAGTAATTGCTCATTTAATATTTTAAGATTATATTGACACTCGTACAGCACATTTATATATTTTTTTTTCGAATACATGGCACTGTTTTTCTATATGCCATTAGGTAATTAAACTTTTTAACGAATTAATAAAATAGATTACATAATAACTTTCCTTCCTTGCGGAATAATGAAGACATATTTTTTATCTAAATAAATCTGTACAGGTAAATAAAATTGAAATATCTGTTTGTAATGTCAAAATAATAGCTTTTTACTAAATGCTTATATAATATGTAATTATATACGGTACTTATAAGAGAAACAATTTAAAAAAAAATATTCTGTCTGTTTGTTCCGACTAATCTCTGAAATGGTTGGTTACTTTTATTTTAGAAAAAGCATTAGGCTTCTGCTCAAAAAAATTAAACCTAGGGACGCACCCGAGCGATGCGATAAGTTGCTAGTATATATATGAATATTAAATTCTGTAAATTTTTCCAGGAACCTGTACAATTTGAAACGAAAATCAGTGTATGGAATAAGTTTATTAAAATGCCAAAACTTTTAAAAGCGCAAATGCTAGAAATAGCCAATCTCTGGAGTGGTGATAATGAACTGTCTCAGAGCTATGCGTGTGAAGAAATACGTCTTATAGTGAAGATGAGATTCCCCGATGATAAATACAGATTAAAAATATTAAAGGAAATACAATAACTTATTTATAGATTGTTTGTTTTATTTATGATTTTTTTGTTGACGATTATAAAATCCGATAGAAGTCAACGTTTAGAACGTAATTAAGGTGCAGATTGTTATTGCAATCCATTAAAATGTACTTGTTTTTATTTTATATTGTAATGGTCAGAGTTAAAATGTTGACTATCACCTGTTTAACCGAAAATGCTAAATTAAAATCCGACCAACCATTCAAACGAAAAGAAAATCCAAAACGTAATTATTTATTACCAGAGTAGGTATATAATTGCAAAATTTTTTATGTGTTTGCATGTTTGTTACTCCTTGACCCTGAAACGGCTGAACACTTCTGAACTGGCTACAGCACTGTACATATGTAGCAATTAAGAAGAAAATGTCAAATCTACGATACCTATGATAATTTACTTATAACTTAACTAACACAAAAATCAACATTCCCAATTAATAATCTTGTGTGGACATACACCTTAGAGCTAGACCACAAAAATACCTATACATCAAACGCAACCCTTTCTGTGCACGAAGAATGAACCCACAGCCACCGATCCCGGTCAGATTTACGGTTTTTCCTACTAATCTACTCCTATTTATATATTACTAGCAGAACCAAGTTCAAGTAATTCTGATCGTAAATATTTTTTTGAATTGTATTATAACGTGTTTTCCCGTGGGAGTGAAATAATTTCCCGCGGTAAAAAGTAGGCTATGTCACTCTTCAGCCCTCCAACTATCGCCACACAAAAAATCACGCCAATCCGTCACTCCGTTTGACGTAAAAGAAGGACAAACAAACACACTTTCACATTTATAATAGTATGGATTTCGCTTTAATATTTTTTTGTAAAAACTGTACTTCAGAAAGAATTACCTTACGCGTCGGGATTTCATTTATTCTCTGCCTACGAATATTACACATACCTAATTACTCGTGGCAGTTGGTACTCTATGAACAAAAAACTAAAGATATATTTTAGAAACAAATCGCTTTCGCGTGGGGAAACAGAATACAAACTAGCGTGCGAATGTTTACGTCATTATATAAGTATGTATGTATAAAGTAATTTTGTTATTAGTATTATTTGCGGAAGAACGGAAATAGGAAATACAGTAATAGTTGGTTAAATTATGCCACTTTAACTGTACGATATACTAGGTAGGTACATAAAATCTATTAAATAAACATTACTGGATAAATTATTATTATTTATTAAAATAGCGCAAGTAACGTAAGTTAATATGTGTGAATTAAACACGTATAATATAAAAAAAAACCAAACAATCTATACTAATATTATAGAGGTAAAGTTTGTGAGGTTGTAGGTGGTAATCTCTATATCTACTGAACCGATTTAGATTAAATTTCGTAAGAAGATAGTGAGAGACATAGGGTACTTTTTATCTCGGAAATCATCGCTCAAGGGGATGAAACGCGATTTGTAAGGGGAAGCATTCTAGGAACGAACTCAAGCGAAGGGAGGGTGAGTCGCTAGCTTTTAATAAATTGTCCAAACTTCTTTAGAAAATTGTTTATTAACATGCAGTATGCTCCTAATGCATTTAGGTTTATGTAAGTGATGTTCCTGTCAGTACTAAATCATAATAGCTTCAGCAAAAATTTGAAGATCAAGCAAAGTAGGTAACTTTAACTGTGATTTTAATATAGTCTGAGGCTTGAGCAAAAGTAAAAATAGGTTTAATTAAATTTTGATATACTTAAAATTAATATTTAATTATTTATTCAACATTAATTCTTAAATCAGAGTAAAAAATTATGCCTACTTTAAGTCTCAAATTCTCAAAAGAAAGCTATGCAAAGATAAAAATCATAGAGCCAATAGAATATTTCTTAATCTGAGACAGCATATTATATATGAAGTATATAATTATCTCAACCCTGGGTAAATATAGGTCTGGACTATAAAACTAGTTGATATTGGCAGGGAAAGTTACGAGCTATATAAGCGAGAAATGCTTCCTACCTCCTATCATTACGTATACATGTCTGCTGTCCACAGCGCCACACACTATGCAACACTTAACGGTAGGTATTCATTTAAAAATAAACATCAAAAATGGCGGGAAAGTGAAAAAAAATAGTTTTTTGGTGAATCAAAATGGATGTTTTAGTGATAGTGATATTATTAGTGAGTGTTTAAAAATTTTATTTAATCTCGAGGCAGGTAAAGTGTACTTAAAATTAAAGTGGCTCATACCTACATATATATTCTAACTTTTAATCTTTTCCCGCGGCTCCACCTGCGTAGTAAATAAATGTATTACTACATATGTATATCTTTATAAATTATAGCCTATTTGTAAGCCTGACATTTAAACTATATTACTGTAAAGTTCCATCAAAATCCGTTCAGTAGTTTTTGCGTGGAAGAGAAACATGCATCATCCTCACAAACTTTCGCGCTTATAATATTAGCAAGATTCATAAAATTTTCAACATGTTTATTAATTTAGAATATTTCATTTGAATTACATAATTTAAATTTGCATTCGTTACAAGCGCTTAAAAATATACCCCTTGCATACATATTATGCTTGTATAATTATTAATTAGGTGTATCACTTAGAACTAGTTAATGATAGTGATTTAGAAACTTGTACGTTTTATATTTTTAAAGATAACTTTCCATGTTCTATGTAGTATTTCTTTATGAAAAACATAGTTTGCGTGAGATAGATTTACACGCGCTACTAGCAAAGTAAAAGTAATTAATGAAATACAAATTTGCAATTTAAACATAATATCTTACATTCCGAACTTTTATTTTATTTAGATATTAAGTTTAAATTCGTCATAAATGCTCATTTTTGATTATTTTAATAGATGAATATAAAAATTTTAAGCAACACCCCCACACATAATAAAAAACCTCTAAAAAGGAAAAAAATAAAATTTCTCTCTTGACCTTTTAACTACATTAAAAGTACCTATTAATATTTTGATGGCGAGTATCGCCTCGTCGGGGGACCGCTTATACTTTACCATTATCAATCTTTTTATTTGTATTCTGGTATTTATTTTATTGACTTAAAGACCCTTTTGTTTTTGTTTGAGTAGGAAATGAGTGATAATAATCGCCTGAATAGATCTTCATAAATTACAGCTAAGAACCATCTCGATCACGTCAGCTTTTAAACAAAAAAACCGCATCAAAATCGGTCCATTCATTAGGAGCTACGATGTCACACACAGACACACAGATACCAAGACAGACACACAAATACACCAACACAAGTCAAACTTATGACACCCCTCTTTTACTGTCGGGGGTTAAAAATATACGTAATTGTAGTGTATTTATTTTTATTTAGACAAATAATAATTAAATAGTGAGTTATTTCTGTTTCAGACGGCATTCCTGATCATAGCGTTAGCGATCGTCGTCAATGAACGTGTCGTGACCGCACAAAATGTCATTAGCCTGGATCAAATGGCCGTTGAAACGAAAAACAAAGCAATGACTATTGTAGAGGGTCCAAAAATTGAGAAACCATCGCAACCGCACCAACCGCAGAAAGTGAACCAAACCAATAGTCCCGAATTAAGACCGCCGAGTAAACCACCAATCCTTCACACTAATGACAAGAAACTATACTTCGATATTCCTCAGCACTACTATAATTCCGGAAAAAAAATCGTGGCGCCTCCTGTACATTTGTACACAAAAGAACCACTTAAACTTTCAAACTCAGTTTACAAATATCAGAATATGATTCCAATGCAGCGAGGTAATCTATATTATAACAAGCCGATGCGACAACCACCTATATTTGCTGCATCTAATGGAAATCCATCGATAGTAGCCAGCCCGAAATTTAGTTTACCAGTGCAAACTATCAACGGTATTCGGACAGATTTTGTGAAACCACCAAAAATATCAATTTTAACAATATCGACTACAACAACAACTGAAACTCCTACAACTACGAGAGTTTTACGAACAAAACGAATATGGCCGAAGAGAATATTAGAGAAAATGAATTCAACATCTCAAAACCTAACAATCACTTCAGAAACAAAGATCACGAATGTTACAAATACCACTGATTTGACTCCATCTTCAAGTCGCCTCCGCTTGAGGTTTGCTACGACGGAAAAGTCAACTTTATCTACCACTCCCGAATCCACTACACGTGGTTATCGCAGAGTGACTAGGGCACCGAAAATTAAATCTACTACTACTCCTTACGATCCTATCCGACCAAATGACTGGGTCCCAATAGTACCTATACCTTCTCATTATGTTAAAGTAAGAAAAACTCGACAAACACCCATCAATAAACGATCAGATATTATGATACAACCACTTGGATTTTTTCCATTGGATCAATCTATACGAGGTGCCCCAGCTGTAGGTGGTAGAAAGAGAATGATATTTTTTCGTAAACGAAAACGACAAATGAATCCGTACTTAACACAAGATAATGATCCTAAGTTAGTTTACTCACAACCCCAAATTGGTTACGAGGACTTACAGCCGGAAGCAAGTCAAAGCCAGCCTAAGCTTGTCACTAAGATTAAGCATCATCACCATCACCATCACCACCGATATATCAAAACTGTGGAGAAACCCGTCAAGGTACCGTATAAAGTCGAGGTTGAAGTGCCGAAACCATATCCCGTAGAAAAGAAGGTTCCAGTGCCAGTGCCTGTGGAAAAAGTCAAAGTTGTCGATAGGCCTTATCCTATCCCAGTAGAAAAGCGAATTCCCTATCCTGTAGCTGTCAAAGTCCCACAGCCAGTTCCTGTAAAAGTTGTTGAGAAAGAATACGTTCCTAAACCATATCCAATAATTCATCATGTTCCGATTGTAAAACATGTAGAAATTAAGGTACCGCAACCGCATCCAGTGGAAGTAGAAAAAAAGGTTCCCTATCCGGTACAAGTACCAGTTACGGTCGAGAAACGAGTTCCTGTACCTTATCAAGTAGAAAAAAGAGTCCCATATCCGGTACCCGTCAGAGTACTCGTACCGCAACCCTACCCCGTCGAGAGGAAAGTTCCCTACCCAGTAGAAGTAAAAGTGAAGGAGCCTGTAGAGGTTATTAAGCATGTGCATGTTAGAGTGCCTTACCCGCAACCATATCCCGTAAAAGTACCACATCCAGTTCCCATTACAGTCGAGAAAAAAGTTCCCTATCCTGTCCAAGTAGAAAAGAAAATTCCTGTTCCTGTAGAAATAATAGTTCCACGAAAAATAGAAGTCGAAAGAAGAGTCCCAGTTTACATTCCAAGACCTTATCCTGTAGAGAAGAGAGTGCCGTATCCCGTAAAAGTTCCATATCCGGTTAGAGTACCCGTTAAAGTGCCAGTCCGTGTGCCTGTAGAAGTGCCTGTGTATATCCACCATCCTTTTCAGATCATAAATGACGACGACGTTGGTGCTGCTGGAAATCAATACTATGCTGATCGAGGACGAGAAAACCATTACTATACGGTCGAAGGTAACCAACATTCCCGCTCGGGCAAAGACCAAGTTACGAGTGCGGCGCCGTATGGCTTCATATCGCGGTCTGATAGTGAATCTACAACGGCAAAAACAAAAAAGGATAATTCAAGTCAAAACACGTAAATAAACATTAACTTATTTATGAGTGCTGTGTATGTGTGCGTGCTATGGACTGACAAGTGCGTGATGCTGTGATATATCAAATCGCAATTGTTTCCATGTTATTATTCGTCCATGATTGTTTCAATCATTTAAAAAGAACCCACCAGCTAAATTATTATTTATTACAAAAATAATTTATTACTACTTTAAAGTTTTGATAATACAAAAAAATTATAATTAATAAAAACATTTGCCATTTTATTAACGTATTTTCATACCATGTTACTTATTTGGATCTTTTTTATAAAGTCACAGACAGCTGTTTCGCCAAATTAATTATATCTACATCGTCATCCATCATTGATCATATATTTAATTGGACGATGATCATTCAATTAAAATTTAAATATATGTATCTATTACATCATCGTAAAGAAACTAAAGCCAAAAACCATAAACTAACGATAAACAATAATTATCACGGTCTTTAAGCACTACGTAGTGTTAATAAAATCTTTTCACAGAACTACTATATTAAAATTATAATTAACGCTTTTTTAATGTACTTACTGTCGGAAATGCATCAAATATACTACAATTTCTAGTGAAAAAAATTAAAATGTTATATTTTAGTGTCTGTTTATTTATCAGGAAGGGTATATAAAAAAAAAAAATTGGAACATACGAGTAAGGCGCGATACCGCGTGTTTATCTATGCGTAACTTCACTTTCGATGAATGTCGATGTTTCCTATTCCGTAGATTACTATTACTATTTACTGCTCTATTGGTGCTGATTGAATAATTAAAACACCTATGTAAGCTCCGATTGCAAATTACTTATTGGGTTATTGTTAATACTTGTAATTATTATAGTTTACATTTTCAGATTACCTTGGCCTCGAGGAAATTAACTATGTATCAACACATGCATCGTTTTTTATCGTTTTTTTTGTCTTGTTTGATAGCTTGTAGTTGTGAATCTGCGAAAACTTTTTACTAATTACTTTGAAATTTTGCCATAATGTACTTAAGAAACAAAGAGAGTTGAAAATCATTTTACTCTAACTATAAGATGATCTACATGTTTAACCAATGAAAATTGAACAAATGGGTATTCTATTACCCATATACCTACTATGGAATATTTTTACTTTCTCCATTAAATGGGGATAAAGGCTAGGTAGTCTAATTTTTATAAAATTAAGGAAGTTTCTCTGAAACTAAATAAAAATCACAAAAAATAAATATACTTCATTTTATTAAAATAATTATAAAAATGTAACTTAAACTTTAAATGCGTCTTACATCATGATAATAATCATAAAATTTTATTTATTTACTTAACTTTCACAAATTGCCATTCCAATTCATAAACTCCAACTGATGTTTTATTCTTCTCATCATAGTCCACCCATTCTTTGTCAGTTAAATCAACATCTTCAAATTTTTTACCTGAAAAATACAATTATATCTCATATAATATAAAGATAGTGAAAATATTATATAATTATTATATGTATGGTAGAAAACAAATTATTTATTTATTAATTTCTTTTTAATGCTAATAGATCCATAAATTGAATATTTTGTTTTATTATTCTAGTCTTTTCTATTAATATTTTATCATAACATACTTAGTACTTTAATCTTTACTAAGTTAATCTAATAGTATGTTTAGTAAGTGTATAGATTAACTTTTCATATTGTTTTATAATACTTAAAAAAATACCATTCTCTTCTGCTTCGGCAATCCAACCAGACTTTGGTTCAAAGTCAACAGGCTCTACTCCTCTGCAGTCAAATGTTACGATAGATTTGAATTTGCCTACATCATTGCTTGTAAAAGCAGCTAAAAGAAATTACAAAAAAATAATATTTTAATTGCTAATAAATTTTAAGGAATTTCATTTTCGGTAAAAAAGTAAAATGTTAAAATAAAAATTAGGGCATTTAATATTATAACACAAACATCAGTAATCAGTAGTAATTTTATATTTATTTTCAAAGGTTATCTTGCCATACCATTGCTTCCTTCGATAACATCTATGCTATTTTCTCTGGAACATAATTTGCACTTTATAAGTAAGTTTGTTTCTGATCTATTATGCTTTTGCGGCACTTTTTCCGCTTCAGTAAGATCGTGAAACTTATCGGTAACTTCACCACAGTTGCCGCATTTTAATTTTAAGAACCATTGATAATGTGGATGATTAGTATATAATTTTTCTACACATTCTAGAGTCGCACGAATTTGAAGAGATATTTTCACCATTTTGTATCAATCGTTTAATGTTTGTATTGCAAAAATAACTTTCACAGAAGATACCAAAAAAAAAAAATGTCACATTATACAACCGATGTCTGTCACTTTGACAATAAAGCACTATGACCAACCACAAAATAAAATATCGTAATCTCTAAGCCCTTAAAGAAAAAAAAGATATAGTAATGAAAAAAAATATATAAAGAAACCCTTTCTTTATATTTTTTTCTGTAAAATTTGCATTTTTTTATAAATTCTAACTATCCTATTTTTGTAAATTTTCTTTTGTTTCTTTGACATTTAAGTGAATTAAAATTTTAATAATTTCAAATTATACTTAAATAATTCATATCGATACACTTTTTTGTTTGTTCTTTTATTTTATATTTTACTATGATGCACTTGATTAGTATCTTATTTTAATTTCCTAGACATTCGTTTATATGTAGCAAATATAATTATAACGTTTTTAGTCCAAGAAATTCGTAAAAAATAGGGTGTGGGAGATAGAAAAAGACGTAAATAAGGCTTGTATCCAGCTCTTTTTAACGTCCCACTGCTGGGACACGAGCCTCCCTCAAGTACGAGGGGAATCAGGCCATAGTCTACCACGCTGGCCAAGTGCGAGTTGGCGGGCTTCACATGTCTTTAGATAACTTGCTAGGTTCTCTCAGACATGCAAGTTTCCTCACGATGTTTTCCTTCACCGTTGGGACAAGTGGTAATCATATTGGAAATGATTCGCACATGAAAATATCAGAGGTGCAAGACCCGGGATTTGAACTCGCTTCATTCGGTTTCCCAAGCGAGCGCGTTACCACTGGGCTACCCCTGCCTTTAATATATAAGGTTTACATAAATTAATTTATGGATAAATAAATAACTGCTCAAGCATATCCGATTTGAATTGACAAAATATTTTTTATATTGTTATATATAATTGTACACAGCAAACAAATATTATGAAAAGAAATATTGAACTCTATTTTTATGCCAAATAAAAACTAGTTTTAAAACAGATTATTTTTGCCAAATGTTGCGTGTGACCTTAGCCTTAAAAAAAAACAAATAAATTTTTAAGATGCTGTTTATTGCATATTGATCAGATTCAGAAGAATAAATATAATGAGTATAGCACCTATATCTATAGTGTATAATTTTAATGATTTGATGTACAAATATAATAAATAAAAATTAATTAATAATATATCATATGATACGGATGTTACATGTAAGAATATTGAATTTGTAATCTTATTTTACTAAAATCGAATACGAAGGAATTGTATATAAAAAGCATTCATACATCTGGAAGTCCTCTTATTATCTTAATACATTCTTCCATACATGCAATGAAGTTTTATCACAAAATCTTTTATTTTAGAATCACTTGTGAGATACGTTTACCAATTACATAATAATTATTTATTAAATAATTTGTTCAGTAAAGGCTATGTATCAATAAATATTATTCATGTAATATGCATTAAACGAACCAATCTTAGTTTAATGCATTACATTTTAATTACGAGGTAAAGGAACGATTTTAATAGAGTTTCCTTGAGAATCAGTATTTAGAGTTAAACCCATTTCCTGCAACACTTCGTTGTCTACTGGCCCCCGAAGAGTCATTTTTGATATAACCTCCTGTGAAAATAAAATTTATAAATATTATTAACTAACTAAAACTGCTAGGATAACTTATGATTTAACTTAAATGTATGTTTCCAAAACCTTTTTATTTGAATTCAAATCATAAATATTCAAAATATGCCTAATAAAAATTAAAAACGTACACCCACTCGAGAATCGAACCCGTGAACATCGTTGTATAACATAGTGCCATATGTTAACAAACGTCTCATAATTATAACAAATTGCAACAAACAAGTCAATACATTTTTTTTAAAGCAATTAGTAATTATTAATATTTTTTGCGTTAATCTCATGTCTCATGTGATTTATTCTTATACTTTAAAGTTTAAACAATAATTAAATATGTATCAGATAAAAAGGAGCACAATAAAGTAGGCGTGCTATGTTTAGTTGTTAAGTTTATAAATCTAAGATTTTTCTATTGGATTTTAGCAAAAGAATAATAGCTAAGGTATTTTTTAGTCCGTTTTAAATAAGTACTTAGCGACTTAATTTTATATGATAGCGTCACACCCTCGCTCCGCTCGCGTTCGTCTTGAGTTACGTTTTAACATTAGTATACATTTCTCAGAGATGAGATATTTTCCCGCAGTAAAAGTATACTATATATTGATCCGGATAACGAGCTATCATCATACTAAATTTCATCAAAACCTGTCCAGTAGTTTTTTCTTGAGATATTTTCCCAGACGACCAACAGAAAAAAATTCTAAAAACTATAGATTCGACCTCTGTATTGATAATAATGACTATTTCGACAAGATTTTCAAAAAATATTCGATGTACAGATTTGACTCATTTTCAGTTAGAAATTTTCGCTTAATACCATTTAAATGAATAAAAAATTATTCGATTCATCTAAAATGAGGGCCGAAAAAACTATCAAATCTTTCGTAAATGTTTAAATACAGGTATCAAATACCTAAATAGAGGCATAAAATAAAAATAAACCAAGAGGTCGTTGACGTAGGCAGAAGCAAGTCAACGAAAATAATAACAAACGCGGGACCTACCTGATTTTCTGGACAGTTTTCGCAGAGACTACGAATGGCGAAAATAACCCATTGCATAATAACTGTTTTTATTAAGGAAATATATTATATATATTATTAATTATTATAAACAATTAAATCGCACGAGTGTGATAAAGGATCTCTCATAAAATACGTTACGCATAATTTCCCCTTGTTGGACCTCTCCCCCAAATAGTATGTAGGTATGTGTACTAAATTTCATCAAAATCCATCCAACAGTTTATGCTTGAATGAAAAGTAACAAACATATACAGTGATGATGATGATGATGTCTTCTTTTTATTTTTTAAAGAAAGATTTGCCAATGGCAGCCATTCTCACTGCAACTACCAAAATGCGCAGCAGATATTACAGTGCACAAGTGTATGTGCAGACACCAGTGTACTCTATATTCGCTCTATCACTTTCACACTCCAGTGTGATCATAATTCAACACTGGCTGGGAGAGATCAGGTGCAGGTCCGACGGCTTGACGTGTCTGCCTCGGCACGGGGGTATAACACAGCCTACTTGCCAACTCTGGGATGTTACTGGGACTTTCATAAAAAAAGACTCGATAACTAAACTTGGCCCAACCAGGGACTCGAGCCCAAGACCTGTGGATGTGCAGCTGTACATGCTAGCCACTAAACCACTGAGGCAGTTCAATAAAAACAAACACAGTATACATATACACACTTACGTATTTATAATAAACACTATTCATATCATTATATTTATCAGTAATATACTAGATATCATATATTATATTATACATGTTACATATTAGTATGATGTATTTTAGGTCAATTTAAAAGGATACGAGGATTGCGAGCGTCGATGTTGCAACAGTCGAGTAAAACTGGGATAACCTCCAATTCTCGCATCTAAAAAATAATATTATATAAGGAAAGCAGATTTTTTTATTACAACTAAAGGTTTAAAAGTTAAAACTAGATATTATAACTTGAGTATTTCAATTATTTTATGGATTTTTTTCACATATTTCGAGTTTTTTTTCTACGAGTCAAGTAAATGCCGTTTTTAGGGTTCTGTAGTCAACAAGGGACCCTTATATTTTCGCCATGTCCGTCCGTCTTCCGCAGCTTAGCTCAGAGACTCTTAATCTAGACAGCTGTAATTTGGCATGGAAATTATTCGTATTGCTATCGATCCCATAAATAACGGCGTCAATATTAAAATGAAAATGGATTTTTTATCACAAATTAATATAATTATAATTACCTGTCGTTTATTTTCCTGATTTTTCCAGCACAAATTAGCTAACGTCCTCACAAGAGACGCCTTGAATCCAAACGCCACATGCCGTTCAACTGTTTCTACACTGGTTATTGTTTTCTTGGGCGTAGTCATATCTATTGCTCCTAATCTATAAAGAAAATATATTAATTAAATTAAAAAAAGTCTCAGATTTGATTTTTTAAAGCCTCACCCTCAAAAACATACTAAAATCCAAATTTAAATCTACCCCTTAGCAGTAGTTTGTCTATTGATTAAAATAATTTATCTCGCAAATATTTTAGATCCTATGTTCTATACTCGTAAATTAGAAATCAAGCTAATTAATAATATTTAGCTTTTAATAAAAAAAATACTTTCTCAGATTTACGCGAGTATTTGATATTTAAAAAAAAATCTTTACGGATTTTTCAGCGAATTTAATTTGATTTATGGTTTTTTTCCCTGACCATTAGTTAGTATCATTTTAGTTTTTATTAGTAACATTAACGAATTAATTCCAGAGGAAAATATAATATATTATATAATTGATATAATAGCTTCATTTCATAATACTTTCTTAGATTTACGCGAATATTTGACATTTTAAATAAAACTATTTTTTCGGATTTTGTCGCGGATTTATTTGTATTTTTGTTTCCCGACGTTTCGAATGCTTTACAGCATCCATGCTCACGGGAGAGACTGAGGTGTTACATGTCTTAAAGATATAGTTGTTACAGACAGCCTACCCACAATTAACAAAATGAAAATTGCACCAATTACATTACAATATTTTAACTTTAAATATTTTTATAATTTTAATTATAATTGAATATGGAAAATATGGAAAATAGTTGGGCCAATTAGTAGCGAAAGTACTCTCAACACTCAGAGGACAAACATCAGCGTTTACAAGGGACTCATACCATTTTGTCAATGAGATAAAACACCTACAACTCATGGACAATGAAACTATGGTCAGTTTTGATGTACAGTCTCTATTCACCAACCTACCAGTAGAGGACTGTGTCAAAATAGTATCAAGAAAGCTACGGGATAATAGTATGCAAGAAGAATACACTGAACTTTTGAAACACTGCCTTACATCTGGCTATCTATTGTGGAATGATGAATTCTACAAGCAAGTGGATGGAGTGGCCATGGGTTCGCCGGTCTCTCACGTTGTAGCTGACATCTTCATGGAGGCCTTCGAGGAGACCGCCCTAAACACATCACCTGTGACCCCTCGTTTCTACAAGCGGTATGTAGATGACACTTTCACAATATTACCCTCTGATAAAATATCTGTATTCTTAGAACATCTTAACTCCATAAACCCTAAAATACAATTTACAATGGAATTGGAGTCTAATAATTCTTTAGCTTTCTTAGATGTATTAGTCATACGTAACCCAGATAACACCTTGAGTCATACTGTGTATCGAAAGAAGACCCATACTGATAGGTACTTGAATGGTGAATCTCACCACCCCCCCCTTCACAGTTAGCTACCGTGGGAAAAATCTTTGTTTCAGAGGGCACGCGGGATCTGTGACGAGCAACACCTGGCCGGAGAACTGCAACATGTCAAGCAAGTTTCTGCGAGACAACAAGCTGCAAGTGCCGCGCCTACGTCACAGGGACCGAGTGAAACCAGCCACAGTCGAGCGCGTCCCTGCAGTCCTACCTTACATGAGAGGCGTCACTGACAATGATTGGCTACATTCTAAAGCGAGCTTCAATTAAAACTTACTTCAAGCCGCCAAAGAAAATTAGTCAGTTTTCTAACCAACCTGTCAAGTGCCACATCCCTCTAACAAGATGCAGGAGTTTTACAAGCTTGATTGTGATTGTGGGCTCTCTTACATCGGACAAACAAAGAAATCCATTAGAACCCGGGTCAAAGAACACATAGCTGATGTGAAGCACCGTCGCAATACAACATCTGCTGTCCTGCAAACACAGTCAGGACGCCCAAGCCATTATATTCGCTTTCGATAGGCCTCAAATCCTGGCGAAAGAAACCGATATCGCCCTAGAATGTTTCGAGAAGCCATAGAAATTAAAAAACATCCTAATTTCAACAGGGAAGATGGCTGGGTACTACCATCGTCATGGGATCCTGTTATTAATATAATAAAATCTAATAATAAATCTAAACATAACAGACAGGTAGATGTAGTAAGTTCTTACTGTGTAGATCAAAATGATAGCATTTCTGATTAATAATATTTTTTCACTTTTTCATTTGTAAATGTATGTAGTAATGTGTTGCTTAATAATTTGTTTTTAAATAATAGCAAATTTAAATTTAAATTAAAATTATTATTTTTTAATTAATCTTAACTTTTTCAAATTACACATAGATCAATTGTGGCTTAAATAATTAATACTATATTTTATATTTTTCTTATGGTTATAAATATAATAATGGCAACACTAAATATAGATTGCTAATTGATATTTTTTAAAATTGTAATAATTATAAAAATAATAGCAAAAATTAAATAAATAATTTTCCATATTCAATTATAATTAAAATTATAAAAATATTTAAAGTTAAAATATTGTAATGTAATTGGTGCAATTTTCATTTTGTTAATTGTGGGTAGGCTGTCTGTAACAACTATATCTTTAAGACATGTAACACCTCAGTCTCTCCCGTGACCATGGATGCTGTAAAGCATTCGAAACATCGGGAAACAAAAATACAAATAAATCCGCGACAAAATCCGAAAAGATAGTTTTATTTAAAAAGCTTCATTTCAGTTTATATTTTCATATTATTTGCTACAGCTAAAAAAAAATATATAATACAAATTCCTCACCTAGTCTTTTGACTTTCTGGCGAATCTATCTTCACAAATGGCACTTTGCTGGCAGGATTGTCTTCTGACATCTTAACTTCTTTGGCCGCTTCAGTTTTTTTTTCTACATTACTACTATCAACCCGTGTCTTTTCCGATGTAATACCTAAAATTTTTTGTAACTGTTCACTCAAGTCGAAATCAGTTGATAGATTTTGACTCTTTTTTACTTCTTTCGGTGTGTCTGGAGATTGCTTTTGGGATTCTGTGTCCTGTTGATTTTCTGATAGGGGAGGAGATATTTCGCTAGGCGAGGTTTTAATTTCTTTACTATCTGATTTTGGCATATGAATCTCAGTGGGTGGGTCATTTGGTGAACTGTCCTGTGACTCTGTCCGACTGGATTCTTGCAGTTCCAATCTCGGGTGCAAACCTACTGGTATAACTTCTGCAATCGTATTCATGCTTGTTGGTGATTGTGCATCAATTATTAATGGCGGCTCGTTATCATCAATATCGATTTTGTGCTCGAGACTTATTCGTCTGGTAGGTAAATGGATACGCTCATCAGTTTTTGGCACTGAACTGCTCCTTTTGAAGGCTACTTTTGTTAGGTCGTTATCAATTTTGGCATTGGAATTCCCTTCTGAGCCGCTCCTAGCTTGTTTGTCTGGCATATCAAATATTATTGGTTCATGTAAATTTTCTACAATATTATCAAGTTTGTCAAGGAATGGAGGATTGTCGTTACATTCAAAGAACTGTTCACTGCTTTCCGACTCGGTGCATTCTGATGTGGTTTCATTACATGAAAGCATATTATCTGCTGAGTCATTTTTGCAGAGTGGATCTGTAACATAGAAAAATGTTAAGAAATAACTTATATAAAGAATAAATGAATAACACTAAAGGATTAATTGTTTCAGTTTGCACATAAATTTTACAATTTCGAAATAACAAAACACTTTGTACAACACAACATATTATGAAAAATCAAAGTCATTATTATAAATGTTGGGGGAAAGTGTTATTTAAAAAGAACATAGAACAATTGTTCTACCATACTTATGGTGCAAGGAAAAAATATAATAGAAAATTTAAATTGATTGTAGCAAAATAATAAGAAACTTACTTTCAGGTGGCACAGTAATTTCAGGCATATTTTCATCATTCACAAGTTGTTTTCCTGTAGCTTCATACAATTTATTTATAGATGAGAAGAAGTTATTGCTCTCCTTACCTAGTTTATGTATAGCTCTTAAGAGAACTAAAAAAGAAATTAAATTTTGTTAATAAATTAAATAATTTAAAAAATTGAACCAAAATAATCATACATTTCAAGTATAATATTGATTGATTGGTTCAAAAAATTTAAACACTGTTAAATTTTTTAGGCCATTGGCATTGTAAACGTGAAATATATTTATTATTTATCATGTAATATGAAAATATAAAAAAAATCTATTTATGAGATATCAGTGTATCAAATTATTATAAAAAATAATTAACTTACAAGCACAATTAATAAAGAGAGATGTGTCACTTTGCAAACAATCCATGTATGTATCCATACTGGAGGCTGTCGCTATAATTTCCAGTAAGAATACTACTTCTTGAGGTTCTATAGTATTAACATATTTATCCACAGTCTTTAATATACAGTCCGACTTACTCTTAAACTCATGAGCCATGAATTTTACAAAGTTAACTGATACATTGATGTCTTGAGATTCAGTTGACATTAATATATTATAAGCAAGATTTAAAACAAGCATCCGACAGTCTGGATCCAATTTTGAATATAATTTTTCTATATATGAATTTTCTACACCAATTAAATATTCTATTATTAGATGAGGGTATTCTGTATTCCCATTAATATACATATAAGCGAGAGAATTTAATACTGCAACATCTTCTGGCAATACATTTGGCTGGCCTAATAATATATTGTATATTATCATAGCCGCAGCTGAGGCTATTTTTTCATTATGGCCAACCAAACAATTTAGAATTATAGCATCAAATTTGTTCCAAATCATAATTTGATTAAAGGGATTATTTACTACAAGGTTTCCTAGTGTTTGTATTAAAACAGTCATACACGATTCATATTTCTTCTGTAGCTCTTCGTTAATGAAATCGACACTAGGGTGTTGGTATTCAGTGGCCAGAATTAGCATGGAGTCCAGAATGGAGAGTTCCTTTGAAATATATGTTTGCATTTTAGTGCCAGCAGCAGCGCAAGAACGGACTAAGCGCAAACACTGCTCAGCTACAGCCAAGGTACTGCGGTTATAGGATGCCTGCTCTACATCTAACCGCATTATGTGCAGAACTTCGGCGATAAGACGTAAGGTATATTCCGATGCTTTTTTACTAATAGAGAAAAATTAAGACATTTTCAATATTAAGGAATTACAAATAAAAGTTATTACAGAAAAAATCAAATAAGGCATGCTTACGGTCGCAATCTCCCGGTCTCTGCGTCTCTTGAGAGTTGCGCTTCTGCGCGTAACATTTCTTCTACTGCATCCCATTCTCCGGTTTCCAATTGAAAATTTATAAGTTTGGCATCTAGAAGTATTTCTTCTGCAAACCATACGCTTTTATCCCGCGACATTTTTATGGAAAATATGAATAAATTCTCTACTTTTTGCAATCTGCATGAATGTTGATAATTTGGTGATACGTCAAAGTCCATGTCAAATTGACTCTCGAGTCTCGTCTACACACCCGTTCTTGTCAAAGTCAAATTTGCTTTGACGTAGGCTTCCACCCTCAAGGCCAGAGACAACCGTCGTAATTTAATTATTGCCTGTGCTACAAATGAAAGCCTTAATTAAATAATATACAGACTTATTACAATTTTTGTATATAAATAAAATAAAACTTTCAATATATTACAATAGTTTAAGTATTTTGTCAATAGAACGCATTAAAGTATTCATTCATATTCTTTGATAATTCTATGGCAATTCACATTTCACAGTGATAGTTGCATATTCCTTCCCCCGCTTCACCTGTCGCGACTTGTCTCGTTCGCTGTTCGGTGATCGGTCGAAGTTCGAACGAATGAAAGTAGCAAGCGGCGAGAATGGCATTTGTGCGTGAAATTATATTAGTTTTTGTGTGAACAAGTGCATATTTCTCACAATAATAACTTCGTCCGGCAACCCCTTGAGAATTTGTGATATAATTACGTTAGTAGTGCCGTTACGATGAAGTGTTGTGTAAAAGCGTTGGTGTCTTAAAAATTGTGACTGGTTTGGGGTGGTATCCTGGTTTAGTTTAGTGCAATAATGGAATGACTTCCCGCTAACGTTGGAATTTAAAACATCTGGTGAGTCATCAGCATTTTCGAGATGTAATCATTTCACTCCGTAGTCCGTGTCCACTCACGACGACGGTTACATACCAGGATCTTAAAACAACTGCTCAACTAGTTGACTTGCTACAAACGTTGTCAAGATTACATATCGTGTTAAATCTTGTCGCGCTATTTTCGAAATTATTGCTTTCAAACATTCGGAGAAATGTAAACAACTTTTATTATTCAAATAATTTTGGCACCTGTCCATGATTTTACGTCCTCATATTGTCTTACTTATTGAATTGTAACAGGTTGTTACAGTATTTATATGCGAGCATATATAATTCATGGTTAGTATGTAAAATATCTTAAATGCAGTCACCTTCCTTATTTAATGTAATTAAATAATTTGGTTTAAAATTTTGGTCTAAAATTGGTTTTTACAGTATGTACCTGAATATAAAAAATCTGCTTGGAAAGATTAGAAACATATAAATAAGATAAGAAAGATCTAGTAATATTTTATACACATTAAGAATATTATTGTATTTAGGCAATTATGTATAAATTTCTTATTTATATTGTTAACACTAGCCTTTAACAGTAAAATTTATACTTATTACTTAGTTTATTTTACTATGTACTTACTAGTAAATAAAGTTGTTATTGATATATTACAGAAGTTATTGAAATTTATGAGTTAACAATAATAAATATATAGTTGATGTCATAAGTTGCTTTGTCGTTTCCCTTTCTAAAATGTAACCTTTAAATTGATTGTTAAAATTTATGAATGATCCAGCACAACAAATGCTGGTTTGTATTCAATTAAAATATTGTACTACTCTATAATTTATCAAGAAAAATATAAAATATAAAGGTTTATGTAAACCTTAAGTTATATTTTGGAAATGCAAATCCTAAAATTTTCAAAATAAAAAATATTTTTAAATGATCATTCTATATTTCTATATTTTATTTTTATTTTTAATAAATTAAATAGAACCCTGAAGAATTATTAGAAGCTATGTCAGTATGCAGTACACTATTGCCCAACCATATTATATAGAATAATTAAAAAATATATATATATATATATATATATATATATATATATATATATATATATATATATATATATATATATATTTATATATATATATTAACTGAGTTTGTGATTCTTGGTGATAAATACATAAGCCATGGAACAATTTTTCTGAGAACAAAAGTATTGTTATGAAAACTCAAGCACACAATATGATTGTTATGCAAATCAAACATTTGTTGCATTAATGTTTAACATTTGTTTTAGCGAGTTACTTCTTTACCTCTTTTCTTTACCCATCAATGGTTTGTAATTTTTGTTGCAAGAACATCAGAAAGGGGAAGCCAGCAAGATATACTAAATATTATCATTCCCAATTACCATTATATGGAAAAATGGTCTAAACCTGAATTAGTGAAATACCTCATTAAAGTCAACGTCAAATATACATTTATACAGAATAGTTGATATGTAATTACATCTAATTATAGAGTACATATTGCATGTTCCGATCAATGCAACACCACTCAAAAAAGGTTTGAACATTTTGGTTTCCTTGTTTACAATGAATGGGGACTAATATTTCAGACTTATTAAACATTCATTTTTCTATTTGTATTGAATCTACATGAGTCATATAATATGAACATTTCGATTATGTATCTATTTTGCGGACAGTTAATCTGTTAAGGTTGTCTTTATGCATTGTTTTTATTTTTAATTTACACATTATTTTTTTTTAAGTTTATGCTGATTGGTAGTGAGTATAATAATTATATGATAATAGGGTGTGATATCTTTCCCACCCCTAGTATAATGTGTAGGGGCATCCAAAGGAGTCTCAAATACAATGTAGACTGCTTTTTATAACTATATTTCGCTCAGTGTGGGACAAGTTTGTGGCATGACTCATACGTGTCTAAACCATTTGTTTCCAAAACGCCTTAAGGCATTATTGCCGTCGTAACCAGTCTCGTAGGAAATGTCATAAAGATCAATTTAAAATAGGTCCAAAAACGAAATGTCTGCTGTTTGTCTCTTAAGAGAGAGTTACATACTCTGCAGACTACTGGTATTATCATTGAATGAAACATCAAATCATATAATATATACTTTATTCAAATAGACCTTCACAAGCGTTTTGAAATCGTCAATTTTAAATTTAAATTAAATGTCAGTGTAGTCAGTCTGTGAGGAATCTATCACCAGCTTGGCAGTATTGCTGAGAAGAGCCAGCTGAAAACTCGACAGTTGCTGTTTTTAATTATAATTTACAATATATCAATGCAATAATTATGTTCTTATCCTGTGTGAGTATCAACTATTAGTAATCCAACACATTTATCAGCATAGTATTCCACATCGGAATAATATGCTTTGCTCAACAAGTGCATCAAGTCTATCGGTCACATGGAAATATATACATACCCATTGTATGTTTGAAATTCCTTAATTTATCTTGCAAAAGAGCTGGTTATCATTTCAACAGCTGTACATGCTTTTATAGTATTAATAATAAAAACTCTTTATTGCGCACACAAAAGAGAAAGAAAAAAAAACAATACAGTGGTAGGAAAATGCACAAGAGACAGCCTTATCGCTAAAACAGCGATTTCTTCCAGGGAACCTTTAGGTGTAAGAAATAGCAGTGTGAAGTGGAAAGGTAGCGAACAAATAACAGAGTGAAGAAAAATTAAAATTATGATGCTTTTATCAAACATAGCTTAGTAAAAATATTAGATGGTTTCAGTACTTATAAAAAGCACTTTCATCTTTCATTATTTCAGCTATTTAATTGAAATCCAAACTCCTTAATAATTCATTGCAGTTAATTACCCTTTGCCCTTTAGACCCCCAGAATGGTATTTTCTATTAGGCTTATAATCCACCTGTCAACAAGGTTTTGGGCTTTGCCTACAATTTAAGAATTACTTAGGGATGAAAGTAATGTACTTACCTAATCTTTTAAAGACAGCTGTTAAATAATTTTAATTATAATTATGTACGAGTCTTAGCTTAAGTGTTTATATAATTAGTCCAAATAAATAATTCTTTTTTATTGTTTTCAGAGGACCGGGATGGATGAGGGTCTTTTGAATGACCTTCTTGAGTGCTCTGTGTGTCTAGAGCGGCTCGACACTTCCTCCCGAGTTCTGCCGTGCCAGCATACTTTTTGTTTGAAATGTCTCAAGGTAGGTAGTTCGTAATTTTACATTTTTGTTACACAGAATACTAATCTTTGTTTTTTTTTTGTATTCGAAGTATACTAAGACCTAACCTTTTAAAAGTCAGGTAAAAATGCGAACATGCCAAAACACATTATCTCTGTATCTAACTAAATTCGATATTTTAAAAATGGACGATAATTATTTTAGTTTTTGGTAATTTTTTACGATGTTAAAAGAGGGATCCCTAATTCTGAGTTTTCTTTTCGAAATAATGTCGGGTATTTTTTATAGAAATAATAAATAATAATTAGAAACAAGCTTAACATTATAAAATGGTTTGATGTCGAATCTTTTATTTAAATAATCTTTTTTATCCTACTTCGCTGTTTAAAAAGATTTTTTTGCTTTTATTTAAAGAATCTACAAGATACATTTAGTATCAATGTCAACAATTTTCGTCTCTCAATGTCTTGTCTGTTTATTTAATAGTCTATAATATTATAACATAGCTATCGGATACTGGGATGAAGTATATCCGTTGCTAGGAAATCTATGGTACAGTCAAGCATATAAATCTAGTATGAAAGTTGTTTTTTTTTAATATAATATTGATTGTGACCTTGAATATTTATGATTTAACATCTATGCGTTTGCGCATCGTTTATTCGTACGAGTTCAAATAAGTTTTTGCCGGTTTCCGATATGAGGCACATTCATTAGGTATGGTTCTATTCGTATGGGATAATTTATTTTTATTATTTGACTACAACTGGTAGAACCAGTTAGCAATTATGATATATGGATGTATGTGTAAGGATGTGCATGGTGTAATTAAGGCCTGAGGAAGTGAAAACTGACGACGTTGGCTTAGTAATATTATGAAATATATTTATACTAGAGACTTAACCTTGCTTTGCTCGGACTCATGTGCATCTCTATGTGCGTGTATATAACGTCGTGTTGTTACAGTTTAATAGATAGATTTTTTAAGAGAAATTATTCTTTAATACATTGTTTTAATATAACTTTATTTGTTTACGCGGCGCACGCCAATAAAGCTCTCAATTGGCATGATTATTTCTGACATCTTCAATAATCATCGTCATATTTCAAGTCAATTTACAAAAAACCTTAATGAATTACGCCCCAACCTTCCTCATCATGAACCGGTCCATCTATTGGTGAAAACCGTATGAAATTCCGTTCCGTAACTTTTGAGTTTATCGCGTTCAGACAGACAGATAGACGCGTCGGGGGACATTGTTTTATAATATGTATTATGTAGTAATTATCGGTTACTTGAACCATATTATTTTTATCTCTATGTATATATTTAGTGATAGCGACTCACCCTCCCTTCGTTCGGGTTCGTCCCTAGGTGATTCTTTAAATTGACATAACTTTTTTATTCATGAACCGATTGAAATAGAACAAATACTGAATATTAAGTGAAGCTTATCACAAAACATTAATGAAAACCACACCCAAGTCGGTTAAGCCATTTTTGAGATTAGCGCGCACAAACGAACAGACAAACAGACAAAAAATCTAAAAATCACTGCTTTGGTTTCTATTGCATTAATAAAGACCCCCAATAATAGTTTTTCTCAAATATCTTCAACTTACAGACACCGATCAGTTATAATTTTATTATATGTATAGATTTACTCACGTGGAGTAGCTACAGTTAGAGGAAACAAAGTGACTCATCATGTGTCCCCTCTCCCATTTCCACCAGTATGCTAGACGACGTTAATATTTGTGATCAATATAGACTATCGTCCTGTCCCGTGCGGATATCGACCCCACGACCCTAGATATAGTACATAGAATCAAGACAATTTTCAATAATAAATAGATATAATTTTAACGAAGGTACGTTATCGTTTCGTTTGTTGACTTTCTATAACAGGACTTAAATTACCAAATTGTCTGCCATTTAGATTAGATGACTATTATTATTTCATTCACATAAAACAGCTCTTGTTAATTAGTACTGATAGTTTAAGATAATAATTAACATATCTATAATTGCTAACAAAACCCGCGGCTACGCCCGCGTTCAATCTACATAAAAAAGCTCTTTGGCTTTATGTCTTAAAGCGTATGTATGTATATGTATTTATATAATATTGTTCATACAAAAATACTGATATCACGATTTAAAAATGGAGGGGTGGGAGTAAGAGGGTGAAAAATATTTTAAGACCTATTCTCATATTTACCAAATATACAAAAAAAACCCTATTAAAATCAGCCGACCCGTTTCGGAGGAGTGCGACCACAAACACCGTGACACGAGATATTTATATATTAGATTTGCCAGACGCACGTTTTTAAATCGATTTCCGTCTATAAATATTTTTTCTGACACAATACCTACTTTTCATATAAGTTTTTTCATTATCACCACTAGTATGAGGTTTAAAAGTATTTAGTATTTACGGTCTTAAAGCCCATTTATGATCGCGCAAACGATGAAACTGACAAAAACCTCATCTTTGTTTTGAGTTTAAAATAAATACTTTCAGGTTTATTTAAGAAAAACGAAAAACTTTGGCTATTTTGTGAAGGCAGCTAAAAGCATAGTTAACTTGTTACAGAATATTAAAACAGCTCTCTCCAGAAATTAGGACGGATAGTATGTATAAACAATACCTGTAGGTACAGTCAAGGGAAAATGCACCCATAAAAGAATGCTAGATTTTCGGTTTATTTTTTGGCAACGTTTCTGTAAAGCTTCATATTTGTTGGTTTTTTAGGTGAATTTCGATGTTTTATGAAAATGCTGGGGTTGAAATGAGCTTTAAATAACTATACTTAGTACCTAATTGCGAAATTGAGAATTTTTAAGTCTATAAAATATCATAAAAATACGATAACGTTTGCGTGGTAGGTTAAATTTGAATAGTTAATCCGTGGATTGTCGTAAGGGAGCATCCATTAATTACGTGAGGCAATTTTGCCGATTTTTCGACCCCCCCTACCTCCTTGGTATGATTTCGTGAGTTATTGCTGGACCTCCTCCCTCCTCCTCTAATCTCACGTGAGATTTTTTTTAAATATGGAAAAAATAAAATTAATAAATAAACAATGGTCGTAATATGTCATATAGATTTTTTTTTCAGTGAAAATTTATAGTGCATCCATCGTATGTTTATTACAAAAGGTTATGGCAATGTTATTATTTTTTATGAATGATCTTCACATCGCATCTCATATAAAAAGGAAAAATTCACTCCAAAATAATGTATTGAATATTAAATAAATATTTATTAATTATTAACGAATATTTATTGAAATGTAAGTATAAGAAAAATAAACAGAATGTTCTTAAACTTAATATTACTTAGTGCTAGAATAGGTACTTCCTACTGATTTTAACTCATGTATCTTATTTAAATATATCCGTTAATGATACGAGTTGAACACTAATTACTTCGACAACATTGATCTATTACTCTGCTCTCATTGGAATTCTATACTGTAAACATTATTATACGAATTGCTTTGAATATATTAACATATATAACAAAATGTATTATGTAAGTATCTACTGTATTACGTATCTACTGCTCTTATTTCTCACTATAGAGAGTGGACTGAGTGTTCCCTTGCCAGCCGTCAGCAATGCGACAGGGACAAAACGAATGTGCGGACAGAACTCTTCTGTATTAATTGAAATACGATTAACGAACATAGATATTTATAACCAATTTTTTTTCTATCACAGTGTGTTATAATTTTTTTCATCCCATATATAAATTCAAGTTGGAATAACAGACAGGTAGGTACCTATCTATAGGCCGCACGTTCGCTCTCTCTCTTTCTAGAGAGTGGTCAATTTCATAAGAGTATTGCTCAGTCCATTCTCTATATGTTTCTCATATGCAAATCGCAGTTCGTAGTTGCAATATTTCATCTCCATTTCCTTCCCGAGTGTACGCAGCATCCTGAGTTAACAGCCCCTTCCTCCGTAAATAAACATTAGTTTATTACTCCGTCTAATCTAAACGGCATTTGCTTTGAGTCATTTGATTGACTCACGGTCGCGTAATTTATAATGGACTTAAGACAATATGTCATTCAATGCACTTCATGATTAAAGTGATTAATAGAAAACAAACTCATCAGGACTTTGTTTTGTTGTCAGGTTTTTTTTTCTTGGAATGAAATATTATTGTTTCATTTTATTTGTGCTTTTTCAGTACGAGGGGGATCAGGCCATAGTCCATCACGCTGACTCAAGTGCGGGTTGGCGGACTTCACATGTCTTTTGAAAACTTGCTAGGTTCTCTCAGACTTCCAGGTTTCCTCACGATGTTTTCCTTCACCGTTAAGACAAGTGGTAATCATGTTGGAAATGATTCGCACATGAAAATATCAGAGGTGCGAGGTCCGGGATTTGAACTCGTTTCACTCGGTTTCCCAAGCGAGCGCGTTACCACTGGGCTACCACTGCTTCTTCTGGGTTTTTCTATATAACATTTATTATGTATATATTGACGAGGTGTATTTTATTTTTGAACTTCGTACACGTGATATTAAAATAGCTAAGTAAATTGTGTAGGAGTAGGAATGAAGCTATGAAAGAAATCTAGTACGCTTAGAGACTTCTTTTACATAATACTATCTGGCATATTTGTGAAGTTATCCGACTTTTCTTTGAATTTAGTGATGATCAATTATTTTGTGTTTCGTTCTAACGAATTTTTGTTTTTTTTTCTATTTAAACCTGACGCTAGCTTTATAAAAAAAAAAAACATAAAATGCGAAGATATCAAAGTATAATGTTGAATATATATATTCAATTTAAAAGGTATAGAAGTGAAATCTAACAGAAAAAGTCATTGGATGATACGCGACCATTAGCTATTAGCTATTCAAGCCGTTTCCACTTTTATGCGAGTCAAAAGTAATCTATGGTGATTTCGTAAACGTCTTCTATTACACTTACACATATTCTATTACATAGTAATATATTATTACATAAATAATATACAAATTCTCAATAAGCCATAGTC